TAATAATTATAATATTTGATCTTATTTAAATCCTTTTTAGATTTCTTATTATTATTAATTATATTAAGGCTTTAAGTCTTGGTTGATTCCTTTTTTTTCTAATTCTTTATTATTTTAAAGCCTTTCTTCTTTTTATTATATCTTTTATATAATCTATTATTATAAAAAATTATTTTAATTATATATTTATCAATAATGATAGGTTATTCTTCCTTAAAAAATTCATCCTTTATCCAAATAGCCATTCCTTTATAAAAATAATCAAATTATATATCTTCAGGTAATTACCTCATAACCATAAATTATTTAAATTCTATTACATAGAATATAACTTGTTTTTTCTATCTGAGATAATAGATGACCTTCTATATTTCTTCTTTTTTAAATGATTTATTAAACATTATTCATATTTTATTTTTAAAATATTTATATAATTTAAAAATATATTAAAACTTCTTTATTTTTTTTTAATAATATTAAAATGATTTTTTAAAATAGATTAAAATTATATAAGGATAATTCCATTTAAAAATTAAATAATAATAAATATTTATTATTCTTTTTATAATAGATTTTCCTTATAAAAAAATAAATAAAATTTTATATATATAAATTAATCTTTAATATTTAAAATTTCATTATAAATTGATAGATCTATTAGTTTATATCTTTTAATAAGTAAAAAAGGGATTATTATTTTTTCCTTTTTTAGTTAGGGATTTTTACCTCCCTTTTCCTTCTTATCTTTTCCATTATTATCATTATTATCATCTAAGGGTCTAAGAGATGTTAAAGATTAAAGAAATATTGGTTATTAAGAGATTCCTAATAAGGATCCCTTAAAAACCTTCTTAAATTTGGTTTCCTTTAAGGTTAATTCTTTTTTAAGCCTTTTAACCTCTTTAAAGATAACTATTATTTTAATTTATCAATTAAGGGCCTCTTCCTCCTCCTAGTTATCTTCTCCTATTCTAATATTAATTTTCTCTTATATTTCTAATTCCAAAATTTATAAATATATCTTAAAAGGCACCATCTTATTAATAAATTAAAATATCTTCTTTATTAATAACAAATCTTAAATAATATAAATAAATATAGATATTTTAAATAATAATAAATTAGATTATTATAAATTATTTAAGTCCTTATTCTAGAATTCTTTTTCATCCAATTCTTTTTTACTTTTTAAATTAAGATCTATTAATTTATTCTACATCTAATCATAATATTTCTTAAAAGATAATTTTTAAAAGGTATAAAGGTTTTCTATTTTATTTTTAAAAATTAATAAAATAAAAGAAAATTTAATTAATAATAATAAAAGAATATCTTATAAATAACTTATATCATTTTTTAATCTAATATTAATATTAATTAAAGAATTATTAAAATATAATAAACTTATATCTTAAAAAAATATAATCATTATTAAATTAATTAATTTAAGGTTTTTTAATTTAAAGATAATAATATTAATAATAAATTAAATAATTAAGTTAATTCTGTTTATTAAAAAAGTTTAAAATTTTCTTATTATATTTAAAAAAATAATCTTAGATTAATAATTAAAAAACCTATAAAAAAACAATTAAATATAAAGGAAATATTTATGATTATATAGTTTAATATTTTTTTTTCTATTTTACTTTATTCTTTTCCATTTTAAAATCAGCTAAAGTAATACCTTTTCTATTCTATTCTACTCTGTTTTACTTTGGAATAAAATAGAACATTATGTTCTGTCAACTAATAAAATAAACTGCTTATCATAATTTCTCTATAATTAAATGCCTGATACCCTATCTGATTAAAAGGATACAACTATAAGTTATTAGGTTGTGATAAATAATATATTCTTATTTAATTTAAATCTATTCCTTGATTATATAAGTTCATTCTTTTATTAAATAAGCCTATTCTTTTTTAATATCTTATTTTTTATTAAATTTTAATAATTTTAAATTATATCTTTTTAATAAATCTTTTTAATAATAAAATTGTTATAATTTATTAATCTTTTTTATCATTTTTTTATAAGTGAATTAATTTATCTTTTATATCCTTACATTCTTATTTTAAATAAATATAAGTTTAGGAAATATAATTAAAAACATTTATTTCTAAGATATTATAATGTTTTTAATTTTAATAAATATAATGGTTATAAATTTCAAAATTAATAAATAAAAAATAATCTTTTTTAAAAATGTTATAATTAAAATAAGAAAAGATAGATTAATTATGAATTTTAATATAATTTATATAAATGTGGCATTTTTATTATTAATTAAAACAAATATTTAGTTTTTATATTTTTTTAAATATGATTTCTATATGATATATAAAAAATTAAAAAAAAAAGGGAACATTTACCTTTTTTATCTTTAAAGATAAAGATTTTAAAAGGAAGGATATAATGTTATAAATCAATTATAAAAGATCTTTATTAAGATTATAAAAGATAAAATATAAGTAACTTATCATAATTAAACTCTAATTTAATATATTATAATAACCTTAAAAATGAAAAAGAAAAGAGAAATAATTATATAATTATAAGTATTTCTTATATATTTAATTATTAATTTAAAATTATTCTTTTAAGTATAATAAAAGGACTATAAGCCTTTTTAATAAATAAAACATATTTAATCATTTAATTTATTATTAATATTATTATCTTTAAATTAAGACATTTTAAATTAATTAATTTAATAATAATTATACCTTTCCGAGGCATAGGTTTGTTATATTATCTTTTATTAATTTATAATATTATAAAAGAATTTAATTTATGATAATATAATATATATATATTTATATTTATATTATATAAATATTTTATTTTTAATTAAATAATTTTATTAAAATATTATTTTTATTAATAATTATAAATTAATAAAAGAAAAAAAACAATATAATTTATAACATGGAGTACGATCTATTCTCAATGTTTAATATAAACAAATTAACAAGTCAACAATATGCCGATATGCCGAACTGGTGTTAATGTATCATCGTACGTAATGAGTAAGGTTTTATGGCTATCATCCAGCCTTTAAAAAGAAGGGGGAATCAATCATACGAGCCCTATTTTCAACTCGTCCCACTTATATCGATGATACCCTGCCGTATCAATTTGAGTGAATGCCCAGCAGCCCAGCCCTGGAGGTCTTATCCATTGGGATATGTTACAGAGTTATCCATGCAAGTAACCAGGTACATATACTTACTAGTCCAATTTTCAAAGAGAACCCCTAACAAATTAAACTAAACTAAACATTATACACCCGGCCGATTGCATCTTCCGACTTAAATACATTCATTACCAGCCGGATGAGATCATTTCGATTATCATAAAGATAATACAATCAATGGAAATTGAAGCAAACACAAGCTTCTAGTTTGTTTATACCTCGACTCCTCCACATCGGAATTATATCACTACCTAACGTATCCACCTAGGATAGAAACCTATCTTATCCCCGACCTTGCCCTCCTACATACAATATCTTGGAGGATGGCGAGCAGACAAGCTAGATTGCGTGTTACCCAAGCCCACAGAGATCAGCGTATTCATCGTATTTAAGCCCGTTATTTACACCCAGGTCTACCATCACACTATTGAGTACGAAAAACGTAGCCTCGGCGAGCCTAAAGACATATCTAGCATAGTGTAGGTACGAGCATAATCCCGGAAATACTCAGCCTTAGGCCCTGAAGGACATCACATAAAGTGACACTATGGATTGAAGATCCAATCATACTACCAGTATGTAGAAGTATTTCTGTCTCGGATTATTGCCACGAGCTAATAGATCATTCAGCGCCCGTGCTAAGTTTGAGGTTTATGATGCCATGGTAAAACCCCGTACCTAGGTAGCTATCCATGGCAGATCTTCCAGGGGGTGTATGTGTCGGCCTCTTATATCTCTTGGCATCGAGTGAGTTAAGCTGAAGCTGAAAGATTGGAGATGCAATTGCTTTTTCTTTCCCTTTTCCCTTTTTCTTTCGCCATCGCGCAGTATGAATCTACAAAACTAGAAAGGGATCCTCGTCCCTACCCGTCGTCGATTTTGAAAGCTCCACCAGTACCTAGACTAAATTGCTAATCATCAAGTTTTAGTTTGGATTCGCTCGGGCAAATAAGGTGGGTTGGCTCATTCGAGAATTTCTCTAGCCCATAAACTACCTAGGTAATATATTACGCCCTCATCCACTCATATAAGCTTGGTAGATTCCTTTTTTTCTTTTCCCGGAGTTGAGAAGAATCCTCCGGTTCACGTCATTCAACATCACACATAGAATTCCCGCTGGGTGAATTAATGGCGCTAAACGCGGTTCAAACCTGACGTAGTTGACGATAAGAGCCAGGGTTTGTCAGGGGTTGCGGATGATCAGCGAAGATCTCCCTAACTACGTGGTTGAAAATATTATTGTTCCGAATGAATCCACGCTTGTTGCCACAAAAGTTAGCTGTTTTACGTGTACCTATAATCTAGAGCCCGTATGTATTTTGTTCTTTTTTTCCCTTTTTTTTCTTTTCTAGTACGTACTACAAAGGTACGAAGCACGAGGAAATCATAGTCTTTCACCCAAGACAATAGGTCCCTGAAATCTTTAGCAAGGATATAGGGTACACAAAATACAAAGCTGGCAATTTCGGTAAGATATGACGTATGTGGTGGTCCCCTTTCGTTAGACCCATTACTATGTAAGTACATACTTAAAGGGGTTTCAATGGGATACCTATTAAGTCCGAATCAACACCACTAGGACGAAAGAATTGAACTTGTCATAATAATATCTCTATCCTCAATCAACTAAAATGGAATTAAGTAGCATCATCAAAAGTCCACAGCCTCAATCCAGTCCAACGTCGTATGATGTAGCAAAGACTAGAGACCCGTGTATCTGGCAATAGCGAGACTACGTAGGATCCAGAGTGATGCACGTAATTTGGGACACGACATTATAGTATGTTACATATTTATATGGGAATTGCTTGATACTTTCACATGAATGTATACATACGCATCTCCAACTGTTGCAGTGGCATACCCTCCATGTAGCTGCGTTGCAATAGACGTCATGTCCTGCCTGAATGGCGGCATCATTCTAATGCGAGCGAAATATGCAAAGCGACATACCATTAGTATGATAATTATTCTATATAGAAGTGGCGAGAGCCGCAAACCGATAGCCTATCATGGATATGGGCCCCGAACGACCTCGAACAGCCGCGAAAATGTCCAAGAAATAGCTCCCAAGTACCTATTATGTCGTCACATAACCACCATAACAAACACAAAGTCAAGAAATCCAAAATACTATGGGGTATCGAACACATTTTCAACGCCAATTGAATCCTTGCCGCTTTCTTCATCACAATCCTTCATACTCTAGCCACCCACCAGCGCCGAACTTGAACATAGCTCATCTCAATTAAATTGACTCGGGGTCGCTATGCTGTCCAACCAGTTGAGCGGGTCGAGCCATTGCGACCCAGCTTAGCACGGCCGGTAAAGCGGCTGCGCCGGTCACGGTGAGTCCACCAGTAGGTGGCACTCGCAATAAATCCAATAAGCCAGAGCAATGCGTTCGCTAAATCGACCCAAACAGCATTCTTCATCCGTTGAATGTCACCGTTCCCTTCCGGGTCCTCGTGGATATACATTCTACCAAACAGGCCGAAAAGGGCGATCCAGAGGACGAATAGAACGAAGCTCCATATCGTCACAGCGGCAAATCGTAGGATGAATGGAACGAGATAGAGGATTGCCGTAAGCGCCCCAAGAGCACCAACAACTTCTGCGTAGACCTGGGCGAGGATTCTCTGTTAGTCTTTCGTTTTGATGTAGAATTTCTGTGCCAGTTGGTCACAGCAGAATAGTTAATCTTACCCATTTCCCGTCGACATATTTGCCTTGGGAACGCGCACGTTGGAGGTCAACGCCGTATAGCCCACAGACAGTAACAGCTAAAACGAATTGAGCAAAATGAAGGAGAGAGAAGAGCAAGTAGCTCGCAGTCATGCCCAAAAGACCCATGGTCGCGAGATGTTCGGTGAGGAAAAGAATGTAGGTCGCGAGAATGTTTGACAAGTATCGTCACCAACTGTAGGTAATATAGTTGGTGATGATATTGTGCGCGACACGGTTGGCGCGAACGACGGAATTTGACTGAGACGACCACAAAACAAGTAACAAGTAAAAGTCGCGGATGTTGGTGAAATTGTCTGGCCAAAGCATCTCTGACGCAATTGATTTAGGAGATTTTGGTAAGTGGGTCGAACGATAAGGTTAGATATCTGCGGTACTACATAATAAGCATCCATGGAGAAAATACAGATGTATGGTGGTACCCCTGTCTTAGCCTGGGAAGATGCTTGCTCCGTATATAATTGGTCATTTTTGAAAAGTGACTATGACGCAGCACCCTGACGGTTTGTTTCGATTTTACATGTACCTAGGTATCTAGGTAGTCTGTGCTTTCCGAAGATTGGGGGTTCAGGTTCGTTGCCAAGAAAATAACCCCGAAAGTTAAATCGCAGCTGGAAAGTTGATCCTAACCCTGCTATCTATGTACCCAGGTACTTACGTATCTATGATGTAGATGTGCAATTTAACAATACATATTATGTAGCAAAACTCTATCACTGGACACTGTTAATCGCACCCTCTTCTCACAAGCTCTACATAGCGATTGCATCCTCATTACCTATGTAGGTACCTAGGTATGTTGGCAATTCTCCAAAAGACCACATCCATAAGGCCGAGAGACAATAGCCTTATCTTCAAAAAGCATTTTTCAATAGTGGCTTATCGAAATACTGTACATGTTTCCTCAGGTTTAATGATAACTGATAACGATATTCAGCTTTAGCTGCAATGGTCCCCGCCGATCAAATTAAAAATACCTTTCAATGGCGGCCTCAGGTTCGAAACTCAGGTAGGAATACAACAACATCGAGCAGTTTGAGACGAGCACGACCATCATCAATAGCTCCTCGCTAGGGTGATCAAAGAATCCTTCAGCCTTCGACGCTACCTCTTTGATGCTCAAGGCTCTCCCCCTCCCACCGAAGCCGATGAGGTAAATGTTCAATTCTGCGGGTTATTGCATTTCTGCTTCTCTGACGCATTCATATCTACACATCTACACACATCTACATACATCTAGGTAGGTAGTCGGGCAACGCGGGATGTTTCGCTAAGTGTGCCAAAATGCTAGGTTAGGGTGAATCCCAACCATTCATACCTCGGAATGCCCCTCCAACTCTGCTGCATATCTATTAGTCCTACAACATATGTTGAGCCGCATGATGATGATGAGAAACGACATTCCCTTTCTTATGATCTTGTAGAGCATAGATGGGTCTATAAAAGCAATGAGACCCACGGCCAATTCTTGTAATTGCCGCGAGGTGTTGCTGACACCGCCGAAACCCGTTCGTCGATAGGGCTGTCGGCAGTGCTTACCGCCTTCGACCATGAACGAACTGCAGCTTGCTGCACAGTTACACCATGTATTCGGTATCCTCCCTCTGCTTACCTCATACATTGATTAGGAATATGTAGTACCCAGGTACACCTCCAAGAGGCTAGATTACAACTTTCGCCTCACATACGCGAAGACGGACTCGGCCCGTTTCATACTAACATCAATTCAGGTCGCTCGAGTTACGCGTGCCGTTCAGGTCAATCCAATTGCGGTAGATAGTATGGGCGATCCTGCGCCTTCTAACCGCCAAAACTGCGGTCTGGTTATATTGGCAGTTGTGCAGATGACGGGCCTACCAACAAGACATCATAGGTCCCGAAGGGGCGGGAATCAGCCCTATGAGTACCACCGGCCTTATGGGGCTCCAGGGTTACCTACCCAATGTTACTCTTTGCGCAGCATCGAGCTCATCACCTGAACGCGCGGGATACCGACAAAGCGGAACCAGTAAATTGCGTAGGAGAGTTACCGAAACCATCGTAGCGGCAGTACGTATACTCACGCGAGAGACCTTTGCTGACTCTCCTGAACAACCTCGTCCGCAGTCAATATCGCAGCTTCAATGGGTCAATCAGCACCCTGTAATTTACCGAGTTTGGCATATTGGAGTGGAACTATGTCCTACCGAATCTATTCGGACTCCTTCTCAGGAAATATATCACATGTCAAAATTCGACTTGCTCCATGAGAGGCCAATGTTTCGTGGGACAGCAAGCTTGTCAGCTACGCCGTTTCGCGTCTAACCACTGGGACCAGCGATTTCTGTAGGCATATTGGTTTCCCTTACCGAATCCCAGTCATGCGATGCTGACAATGTGACTGAGCCACTCGACTCTATGGATGTGACAACCAGAATATGGCTATTAGGAATACAAGCTGGTTTGAATCAGTCTCGGTGTTGATCTGGTTGCTGGGCTGTGGATGTTCAAGTTATAAGGATATAAGGGTCGTCGATGCCTCCAGCATTGGATTCTCTACAGTCACAATCATAGACAGTTCTACACAAGTCATAACATTGAAACCATATCAATTTGAAACTTCGCCTTTCGTCTACCAGACTTACTCACATATTCATAATGGCGTCTCAGACTTTCTACAGCAATTCCACTGACAAGAAGTATACGGAAAACATGGAGACAAGAAGCATACACGACCACCATACTCACATGGGAACTTCTAACCTCACCATTGAGGGGCCATCTGGTTGGCTATCGGAAGGTGGCTCTGGATTGACATCGGCCCCAAATGCCGGCGTACGATGGAACTGCGTGAGTTCAACTGACGACGTCCTTCTCTATCTGTAATAACTGACATTTATGAAGTGTACATGCACAGGGGGTGGCAACCAATCGTATGTGTACAACGTCAATTGTACCGAATGCGGTCATACCAGATGCAGTGACTGTACTGTTTGGTCCATGAAATAAACGGTTGGGCTAGGCACCAAGTTTGGGGAATTTTGGTTACGACACGCTTCTAAGGGCAGTAGGCAAAAAACACATACCATCTCCGCATGGAATATTTGGCTAGGGGCGTTCAAAGAATTTTACTTGGCTAGAGTGTGCTTAAACTTGGATCTAAACGATGGCTCACGCCTGGGCTGGGTTGGTGGTATACTGACAATCTTCATCTTAAAGGGGAGAGGGGAAACTAAAACGGGAAAAAGAAAAGAAGAAGAAAAAAGAAAAAGAAAAAGGGGGTGTTGTAGGATCCGGTTACATTCGTCTATCTTTATCATTTTTAGATCTCCTTAGTATCTTATTTTTTTCCCCTTTACGACCAATACGTTTCGAATCGGCCTTAATGTGTGCAATATGAAACCCATATGCCCGAAGTACTACTCCTAAAAGCCATTGCATAAAACCTAAATACCCTTAACCGCACAACCCCTGCCTCTTCTCTTAGGTGTCATTAAGGCTCCCAAGGTCTCGAAAATAGGCCTCTTACTTAATGATCGGTAGGAACTCGCATACGCCTCAAGAATTGACCTTTAGTCATTTTATGAATCACATTGAGCTAGCTGAGCATAAGCTAGTCTTGGGTAATCTCAATGGATATGAATGTCGTCATGATAGGGTCTCGGTCCGTTAGATGCCCCTTTTCTGGTTGAAGAATCTGGCGCTGGGCTTTTAAGCCAGCCTTACAGGACGCTTCCCCTCCCTTGGAACACATACTCCACTCTTGTGAAGTCCCACGCTGCGTATACCGAAAAAGCTCGGCGCGCAACTACCAATTGGCGAAGGAGCGTTGCATTGTGATGGAGCCAGGGGTAGCCAATGGCACATGTGGTTAGACAACATAGCATTGATGACCATTAGCTGTTAATATAAAATTTGTCAGGACAATCCCGAGGCGGAAACGCTAAATACCAGGCAGCATGTCGCTGCCTTCTAGGCCGCATCCGCATAACCTTTAAGATAAGAACCTGCGGCAGACCAGTCAGCCATGGTGTTCGTAAAATAGCGGTGGAGAATAGAAAGGGCATGCTATAGATATTTCGCCCCCCGACTAGTTGCCATGGACAAGCAGGCGGGCGGGGCTATCAGATTCACTCGCCCATTTGATTATTTCTTTAGCCACGCTGAGTACATACCTGGACCTACATTTTTACTACCTGTTCGCAGCTGAGTGAGGCTGCCGGAGGTGTATGCATTATAGTATACTGTCACTTGTCACCCAACTAGGCTCGATCGAGCTGGGTGTGCATTGTTATTACTAGTACATATATCTCTAACCGGTTCCTTTAGCTGTTGGGGAATATATCCGGATTTCGCATCTGCCCAGGTGGGAAGAATGTACACTCAAGGTTGGTTAGGTGGTAGTTGGTACCAAGGCTGTGAGCATGGGTATACGTGGACTTGAGGGTCCGCTTCAACTTTTGAGGCTCTGCGGAGAAGATCGGCTAAAGAAAAAGAGGAGGAGAAAGAAGAAGGGAGAAAAAAAAAGAGGGTCAGCATAAACGATGAGATGGAACGGAATATTAGCTACCTACGCACGTGACCTTCGGGCTACGATAAGAGGTATCCCGACGAATACATACCTTATGTATTCAAGCCCGATGTACATACTTTTGTTGTGCAGCATGCTACTGAAATATGTATGCTAAGCGATGTACCGCCTACATACCCAAGTACCTACTAGGTACATATGTAGGTAATCACAGTGGCCGCAGATGGGCTTAGATTTGAAACTTGTGTCTCCCCTCTAGTCTTCATTCATCTCCTCGCCTTGTTCAACTACATACACATCTATGTACCTAAACTCCTTCAAGCCTCGGTCTACCTACCTACAGGTATACATAATAACTCATGGAGAACTTCCACTCACCGAAAATAGCCCAATAGGCTATTAATGTACCGCTGGTTTTTCCTTTTTGTTGCTTTCCCTATTCATTCACGGACATCTGGGATCGATTGACAACTCATTCCTGTCACGCAGACTAGGCGCGAATGCGCCACATGCGCCCAAAGTGTGATTTGATTCAGGGTTGTGATATTATTATATTCCGTTTGGGTACATTCTCGGAGATCTAGGGATTCTAAGGATTTTCGTGCGACCAATGAGGTACCTTTTTGAATACTATCTCAAACTATCACATCTCATTGGCGCCCGCCGCTTATTTGTTAGTGCGCTAACTATTACTGCGTCTATCGTCTATTCGTCCAATACTCGTCCCCATGTTGCCGCGCCCTCGCCCTCGCCCTCGTCCTCGGGAACCATTCTCACGTACTCACTCCATGTCCACTTAACGTGGTACCCAGAGTAAGCCAATGCTTTTGAACCCTCACATTTTCATTTCTTCACCTCTTGTCTCCCACCCTCCATGTCAATTTGGCGAGCAATCTTGCTTAAGGGGGGATCAAAAAGAAAAGAAAAGAAAAAGCAAACCGAATACCACGCTAAGATGACAGGCGACGAACTCCCTAGCCCGCCTTTCACAGCAATTCCGGGCCTACCTAACTTCCGCGATATCGGAGGCTATCCGATCGTTGTCTCAGTCTCGGACCCTAGTTTGCCCCAAGCTGGAACCAACGCCAAGGTTGTGCGCCGAGGATTGGTTTATAGATCTTCGGAGCCGTCTAAGGTCACCGCTGATGGCGTGGCGATAATGCAGGGCTTAGGCATCGGGAGGGTGTTTGACCTACGCTCAGCAGTGGAAATCGAGCATGGTCAGCGCGATGGTTTCGGGTGGAAGATCAAGGAGTGGGATGGAGCTCAGCGCCAATTTGTTCCCGTCTTTCTCGACCAGGATTTCTCGCCCGAAGCCCTGGCACTGAGGTACAAGAATTACTCCTCAGAAAGCGCACAGGTACGTGTGATTACATCCTACAAACGCTACGTATTGGGCCAAGGCGGGAAAATGATCATGTCCCAGAAGGACAACCAAGAGGCTCCCGGTGGCAAAGGAGAACCCCCTCTTGTTCGGTTCTGGGGCTTGGGGGTCGAATAGATGGCCGCTGAGGACAAGGGGGTTGAAGATTTTAGCGTCGTACGTGGGGGCCGGACACTAACCTCGTCGGATACCAACGCTGAAGAGAGATGATAAATGGGGTCCATTGGGCGTTTACGCTTGCCTTGTCGTATTTATTTCACCGCTCGCTCAATGCAGGCTACCTCCCTCCTATTCGCGTGTCACCTAGTCGTTTCTCTACCCCTAATAGCCCCTAATGGGCTGACAGCTCAACTGGCAAATCCATCTAAACTGACAGTTTCCAAACTAGGGCTTCGTGGTAGCGTATGGTGACATTCTTGAAGCGGCAGCATCTCCGAGCAACAACTATCAACCCTTCAAGACAATACTAGAACACCTCGCCTCATCTTCTCCCTCGCCGCCAACGCCATGTCTCATTCACTGCACAGCCGGCAAAGATCGCACTGGGGTAATTTGTGGATTGATCTGTATGTGACGGCGGAAGTTTGCCCCCCCCTCCCCCCCTTCGTCCTGTTGCGGGATTTATAACTTCCCAATTAGGCGCTGGCTGAAAAGGTCCAGCTCTTGAGGCGTCCTTGACAACCGCCCATTTACTCGAAGGAGCAATTGCTAACGTCGCGTGTCAGTGAGCCTTTGTGGTGTGCCCGATGAAATCGTCGCCCATGAGTACAGCCTGACAGATTTGGGGCTGAAGTCACGGCACGAGGAACTCATCGCGCACTTGATGAGCACCCCATCGCTGAGAGATCACCCAGTAGAAGCTCGGAGAATGATTTCGTCCCAGTACGCCCTCCAAACCCCATAACACCTGAATTTTATGATCTTTCTCGTTGTAATCTTGCTTCTTGGTTTCTATTATGAACATGTTTATCTTTTGCTTCGGTCTGTTTCTTGCGGGTTTTTCGTGTATCGAAAGGCTGATTTGTCACACTATAGGAAAGAGGCTATGTTGGGCACACTCGCTAGGCTGCGTGAGACCTACGGATCGGTTGAGAAGTGTGTTATTGCCCTAGGACTACTCTCGCCCGACGGGATTCAGCAACTGCGTAGTAACCTAATTGTCGATGTGAACGAAGAGGCAATAGTCCCATGGCAGAACCATGCGAAATTATTGTTGTAATTGCTGGGTATATGCAAGTCTTCGGTCATAAATTTACATAGAAACTGGCTGCTTGCCGGGCCTAACCTATTTTTCAGCGCCAAATGAGTTGCATTTAAACTCCAATATGGTGCCACGGATCCCACGCTTCTTTTGAATCCGTCCACACATACTTCATACAAAGCTTCTCGTGCTACAGGCTCACCCCAAGTTGGATCAAGGTACTGATGTAGGGATCTTGACTTCACCCTTAGAGCGGTCGTAGTGTGGCGCACCGTATCTCCAGCCGACAGCGTTCCGGGACCTTCCTTTGGGACCAACGTTCTCTGAGTTTATCTGTTTAAAGCGAAACTCACAGCGCTTGGTGTTTACTCGAGTAGTATATTTCTCCTCTAGAGTAACCTTGGCGAGTTCTCTGTCGGCTGCTTTTCTCTCCGACTCCATCGCGGCTTGCTTAAACCGTTCCGATGCATCCCACAGCGACCGACCTTGTAACACGTCCTTCTCCATTTGTATTAATTCTGGATGGGGAACTCTCTCGTCCGCAGAAAGCATTGTATGATGGAAAGCTTTCGCGGCATCGGCACGAGTAAAATGGCGAGATTCTGATGTTGGCCAAAATATTTGTTTCATGGTATATGGATGCACGTGGATTTCGTTAATAGGCTCGAAAGGCTCGTTCTGTAAATCAGGTCGTATTGTGTGCCTAGGCAACATAGATAGCATAGCTTTGGCATATGGCTTCGCTAATTGTTTTCCCTAAATTGGTACTACGTTAGCGAAAACACGGCTCTCGCACGGCAGAACTATCCGAAAAATTTATGGGAGGCAGCATTATCAGAGAGGCTCGCAACAAAGTTTGTAACCATGTAGTTGTCTTCAAGACTTATCGAATTGGGTATGTTGACAATCATCATATAAAATATAGGGCCGGTTGGAGAGCAAGAAAAATGCAATGGAAATAACTCACCTTAGCTACCCAGTCCATTTCAACCTCCTTTAATCTTACAATAGCGGCTACTCTTCTAATATCGACGCCCAATTCGGCGGACACGGCTTTGATTGTCTCGCCATTCCGCATCACCTTGCTCCAGATCAATTCTCTTGATGTTTCGTCTAAAACAGGCTCGCTCTTAAATTGGCTGTTGAGGGGAAAAGGCCGACTAGAATTTTTTATGATATCCAGTTTGGTCTGAATGTAATTTGTCTCACCCCGTCCGTTTTTGCGGAGCGCAGCGCCTTCGCCGTTGATCCATATTCTGAATAGGCGGCGCTCCTTTGTAAAACGAGGCCGACTAGCCGTCGTCGAGAAGCTGGCTTCACCTTGCGGATAGGGCTTGGGTAGAGATGACTGCACACTAAGTGGTAATGTAAAATTCGCCAAGGCGGATGAGGCCGTTGACGACTTCGGTATGCGTGGTGGCATCGTATTAGTATGACACCTCTACGAAGAGGGTAGAGGAGCAGCTCAAATAGAAATTAATTGTGAAGAGAAATTGGTTAGGACCTTGAAGATGGGTACCGGGTTCGGAAAATCTTTAAAGCGAAAAGAAAAAGAAAAAGAAAAAAGGTGAATAGAGAAAATAGAGCTAGACCCAACTTGTCCTAGCAGATCTTCTAAGGTATGGGTAGGAAGATCTGGTAATTGGAGAAGCAGAGCTAAGCTTAGTACTGAGGTAGACCATAACTCTATATTCCCTTCCTTTTCCTTTTCCTTTTCCTTCTTTCCTTCATTTTAATTATCAATTATTCATTGATTCTGCGCCGCGGCTCTCGTCATCAATGTCAGGTTGATATCAAACTGGTGATTACTAAAGAACGAAGAAAGAAAAAAAAACATTTTCCTCCTGTCTTTCTTCAATGTTCTTATGCTTCACCTGCACATGCAGCAATACCTGAATGGCTGCATGTTGCTTACTTAGGCAGGTAAGTCTACTGGAAATTGCCGGCGTCTCTACCTATTCACATCTCACTATCGTCGAGCCGATGAATGCTTGAATCAATAGTGAATGCTTGGCAAATGCGTGCTTAACTACAGCTACCTGGGTACCTAGGCAGGTATTCTTTTTTCATTACCCAGCTTGTATACCTAGGTAGGTACCAACCTATTTGTTGAAGTCGGACAGGTATGATGAATATACCTCCTATAGATACCTTATGTACCTAGGTAGGTATACACATGTGTCAGGATCTTACTTATTTTCTACTAGTGAGCAAGCACTAAAAAAGACCCGGTCGAGATTAGATTTAATGTTGAGAGGAAACGCGTCGAGAGAGAACGATGTGATGCGGAAATCCTTGCTCTTGGCTCACCCATGATCGCGATCCCTCATGCACGGAATTCCCCAAAGAAGATTAACACCTTACTGCACATCGACTGGCGTGGACAAGGGGGACAGGGAGTTGGTCGCCTGTCATACCATCCATACCGTCCATTTCGTTCTTGATACGTGCCCTGCTACCTACATTTACCATTTACACTGAACAAGATAAAGATACATTGCCTTGCTTTACCTACCTAAATACCTATCTACCCAAGTAATACCCAATGTCTCTCTCTGTTTTCTCTCTGGCCAGCAACTAGTTGTGTACAGGACCTAACCTACCTGACGATACCTACCTAGGTCCAGATAGGATAAGGAGATACCACTACCGCTGCCGCCTCTACAGCCACCTATACCTACCTACAGCTACCACTAACACCACTACTACCTGTTGAAATACCTACAGTATGTGATGCGCACGCATATAAATTAATTATATTGGCTATACATCCAGCATGTAAACGGAGGCAATTCGATTTTTTATACTTCCTCCCTCTGCTCTCTCTAACTTTCTATTTCCTTTTTTTTTTTTGGTTTTCCATTGCATGGTCGCTCATCTTTCTTCTTGCAACGCTTTATTATCATTATCATTATCATTACTATTACTATTACTATTGCTAGTAATACTGTGGGTTCGAGCTCGAAACAACAAACCACTCTTATTTTTTTAAAATTTAATATTTCGTCGTTTCAACACCCCATATAGAAGCAAAAGAAAAACACGTTGGAGCTTGGGTTCCAATTCCGTCCCCTTCTGAATCCGCACCAACGGCGGACCAGATGGGTGATCTCAAAGCCCGGATCAAGGCCAAACTCTTGCGAAGACACAGCGGCATTCCCTCGTTAGGTTCGAGTAAACAGAGTCTCAGCCGCGAAAGAGCATCTAGCAGCACCCACACCCAAGCTTCTACTACGGGTTATGCAGCGTCGTTGAGCACAGCTGCTGGCGACGAAAAGGACAGTAACGAGAAAGGTCACAACGCTAAGGATGATAATTCCCGGCACGGATCTACTCATTCTTCTCGTGACAGCCCAACAGCAAAAAATGGAGTAAATAGAATAGATCCGAGCCAAAGTCGAAGTCGTGCCGAGAGGGTTCCACCGGAGCTGGAACAAGCCGAGCAGCTAGACCTAGTAGTCAGTACCAGCAGCAACAGCAGCAGCAGTAGCGGTAACAGTAACCCTACTCATAACAACAACCACAACCATCCCTTTAGCGGCAGCACTGCGAATCTAGAGGTGGATGCCGATGCCGACGCCGATGCGGGTACGAGCGGGAGTGCAACTACGAGTGCAAAAGTGAAAGTGAAAGTGAAAGCGAAAACGAAAGTGAACAAGTTGATCCGATCTCCCACCGTATCCAACTGTGGAAAAGATCTTCAAAATTCTGCAATCAATTCTAGGCCCATTCCCACCATCACCACGCCCACTTCAAGCCTTGATCCGAATCCAGAACCGGACCAAGACCAAGATCAAGATCAAATCACAAACAACCCAAACAACAACTTCACATCAATCCCGACTACTGCTGCCGCTACGCCGTTACCTAGCATCCACGAATATCGTCCTGCAAATTCACATCTCCAACTTAAGCCACCCATCTTCATAGATCACCATCTTCGCGACAACAACAGTATTAGCAACGACGACGATTACTACGATAACAACAGCAGCAGCAGCAATTATAACACCAGGCCCACCTCTGCCGGTCGCGCATTTCCCGCTTCGTCTTCCCTTGCCCGACCTGCAGCCCCGCCGAGACGACAGAGCATCCTCTCAAATCGCCAAACCACCTTGATCAAAACCCTTCTCAACACGGGCTATGCTAGCGATATAGGTTCCGCCGAACCCGATCAACTCCTCCCTATCAGCGGAAACATGGTTACGCGAAAGGTTTGGGTCAAGAGGCCCCTAGCCTCGGCCACCTTAATCACCATCAACGAAGAGGATCTGGTCGACGATGTCCGCGAATTGATCCTGCGCAAATACGCCAATTCTCTCGGGCGCCAATTTGATGCTCCCGACCTCACCCTTCGAATATGCGATAGGGAGCAGCAGACCACCCGACCTTTGCAACCGGACGAGCCCATGGGCAGGACCCTCGACGCCTATTACCCAGGCGGACAGTCCGTCGACGATGCTCTACTAATCGACATACCTAGCCGGCGAACCCCCAAAGCCTCTCCGAACCCCAGATATTACAGCGACGACCGACCTCACGAGTCGGGGACCGATTACTTCCCTCCATATCCCCCAGCTTCGCAACACCCCAGCGCCTCCTCCGTGGCTGTCGCTAACGGGGCTCATTCTCTACATTTCCCTCCTTCTCTGACTGTTCTTAGTGGAGGTCAGCTTCCACCGTTGCCATCTCCCGGTGGGACGAGACGTCTTGGGTCGTCGCGGCCCAAGATTCAAAGGATGCACACTGCATCGCCCGTTTCCACCGCTGCCAACGGCCATGCTTCACAATCCGCAGCGCCGCCCACCGGTATGCACAACTACCCTAGACAACCACGTTCAAGGACTCATTCAGGTGCTTCTTCAGAACAATCCAATCACCCGCCTGCCGCTCCCTCCATACCGACCCCTCCCGTCCCAGAACGTACCGCTACTCCGCCTCCGCCCCGCGTGTCTTCTCCCCGACCCATCAACCGACCGAAGAAGAGCAAGAAGACCACCGAACACCCCTCGTTACCGCCGGGCATGTTGAATGGCGGCGTCCCGCCTATTAACGTACTGATCGTCGAAGACAACATCATCAACCTAAAGCTGTTAGAAGCCTTCGTCAAGCGATTAAAAGTTCGATGGCAAACGGCTATGAACGGTCGAGAAGCCGTAAACAAGTGGCGTGCTGGTGGGTTCCATCTGGTCTTGATGGATATTCAACTGCCAGTCATGAGCGGTCTTGAGGCTACCCGGGAGATAAGGAGAATAGAGAAGGTTAACTCGATCGGTGTCTTCTCCTCGTCTGCAAGCAGCCCTCCAGACGAGGTCAAGGCGGAGCCTGAGGAGGAAGATAAGCTTGTCAACACGGAGATGTTCAAGAGCCCGGTCATTATCGTCGCTCTAACTGCGAGTTCGCTCCAGAGCGATAGACACGAGGCCTTGGCAGCTGGTTGTAACGATTTCCTGACCAAGGTAAGACTTAGACCGAATCGAAGACCATTTGCTTCTGCTAACGTAAGACTTATAGCCCGTCAATTTTGTCTGGCTTGAGCGGAAAGTGATGGAATGGGGGTGTATGCAAGCTTTGATCGACTTCGACGGGTGGAGGAAATGGAAAGACTTCTCGCAAAAAGCCGAGGAGGACGATTCCAAGAAAGCCGCAGCGGCCAAAGCAGGCAAGATGCCAAAGAAAAACCGCCTATCAATGACGGCCGCCGCTTAAGACTATTCCTCACGCTTCCTTTTCTTTTCTTACAAGTCGAACAAAATCTGAGAAATGGCAATTAACGGCCTTCTTTCTATTTTTGCTGTTTTTATACTCTCTGTATAACTCCCAATTGTGGAAATAGTAGTATCTAATATCGAAGACTGAGCAACGACGCATATCTTACTCGTCATGGGCGGAGAACATACAGGGAAACATTGAAGCTGGAAGATGGTTTACATGCTATTTACGAACTGGTATCGGCGCGGTAACCGGAGAGACAGGCAACAAAAGAAAAAATACATATGGGTGACTTAGGGAATTGGCAACTCGTTCAGAATGATACCACGTTTATACATCACATGTTCTGATTCACTGATATATGATTTTTTTTTATGATTTCCTTCTAATCTTCTATCCGCGATCCCAATTAAAACATTGACATCATATAGAAACATATCTACCATTACATTCCGACAAACTGAACACTAGGGTGGTGTGCGAATGGCTAGATTTCCACCATTTCTTATTAGGAATAATAACATGTTGACATATAAGTAAATGCACCGGCGCCACACTTCCCGTATCCCGATATAAGCAACTGGTATGTTGCAAGACTATCCGGAAGGCTTACCTAGGCACCACTCATCCGCCGCACAAGAGCAGGATCAGGCCTGTGTTGGTCTACCTCCCACTGAGAAAAGTCTCTAGAACTCCACGACATGCGATGTACTCGTGCTCCACGGGGTATACTACTGACCGAATGTCGCGAGCTGACGCTAGCAGAGCGGATTGCCCTCCCGGATGGACCCATCGTGGATGTTGAGCCGCCAATGGCACAAGTTGGATTCATTTGAGTCAGATAATCATCATCCTCGTCCTCAATCTTGGGAGCTCGTCGAACGGAAGTAACGGAGAAGGATGGCTCTTTCGGGAGCTCTAGGAATCTATCTATTGAATTGGGTCTTAAGCCCCTCAGATCAGACTTGGGCTTCTCTTGTAGTGGTTCATCAGCGGCTCTTTGTTCGATATGTTCGAAATATTGAATTTGAACGCCCTCGAGCATCCGTGAACTGAAATATTCACGGTTCCTAGATAAAGACATCCATGATGATATCCCGCCAAGTACTATCAAAATCATGACCGCAATTGTAAAAAGGCTCTAGATCACAATAATGACAACTCCGATTACAGTAACGACGATACGATCGAGATTGAAATCACTGCCCGATGCAGCTCCAAGAAAACAAGCCCGAGTGAATTGGTAGGTTAGCCACATAGCGAAGAACCACCACCTCTGAAGCCGATAGCGCGCGGATAACCAGCCAAACCTTTTAATGCATGACTCGTCTTGATGTACATTCGTCCGATTGGCGTCGTCATCGATTGTTTGTTACTCCTGGGGTTGGGTGGCGTAGATGTGATGTCCGGCAGAAGCGACGGCGTAGGCGAATCTCGGGCAAGAATGACGAAGAAATTGGTGATGAATGTCTGAACATCTCTATACCTAGTAATTGTCTAAGTAGATATTAGGTGTTTAGATGTTTAGATGTTTACTCCGGCTACCTACCTAGCGTACATAAATAGGTATGCGCATAAACTTAAAACATCAGGCCAGAATAGAGCAAGCCGGACTTGATTTTATCTCCCATCCTCCTTCCTCGGTGTATGTAAACGTGGTGACACGGGACAGGTACTCTTCGCAACTTCCGTGCTTCCTCTCGCGGGTTCGGGTCCATTGGATTGGGGGGACTGGGGGGCCAGGAAACGGAGTTCCGACCGGGCTAGTGTGCTAGTGACGGCTTACAGCGTTTTCTCATTGGTGAATTTAATCCCGTAACGGGAAACCGGACCCCAATTCATGTTAGCAAACCAAGTACATGTATACTCGTATCCGACATTATGTACCTAAACTTGTACCTGTACATGGTATGGACACTGCCCGGGTACGTGGCAGATGCTTGGTTCTTTATACAGATTTGTACCTGGATGCTTTCATGTATGCTGCATGGGCAATACATATAATTATATCTAGTCCCTTGGTCCAAGTAAATTGTTGGTTTACATTCTGGACTGCCCATTTATGACAGATAATATTATCGAGCTTTATTCGCTCCTGAGAAATACCGACTTAATGTATTGGATATATCCTCACCACTACTCCTAATGATATGAGTTGAAGAGGCCATGCCCTCGAGAGAAAACAAGAGAAAAAAAAAGAAACCATTGTAAACTCCGATCCTATGCGAATATGGATGTATAGCTAGATGACAAGAAATATGGGCTCTGATCAAATCTAGCTCCAAGGCTCAACCTATGGGGTTTATCCTTCCCTGCACCTTCTTTTTTGTTCTTCCTAACCCGCTGGATCGGCCGAGAGGATGCAATGCCCATTCATTTGTTTAAATGTACCATAGAGTTGAAAAAAAGAAAAAAAAAGAAAACTAGAACATAATTTGAAATGGTATCAGGGGTTATTTTTGGGGGTCGTGACGGTCGTGAAGAAGCAAGCAATATGAATTCAGTATCCAATAGGCCCAGAGCAATGACGATTAGTCAATTATTTTTTAGTTTTCTTCGTCGTCTTCCTCAATAGGAGCAGGGGTTCTCCTCTCGTTTCTTCGCTTCGGTCGTCTGTGTCTTGAGCTCGAGATATTACTCGCTGAATCCTCCGGGGCTAAGTCGAAATCGTCGCCTCCCCAATCACTTTCACTCGCAATGCCGTCTTCATCCCCGACGGCCCAAGGCGGTCTTTCGGAATCTTGCGAGTTGCCGGACAACTGCGGTAGCACGTCAATTCTTCCAGCACGACGATGTTGCTGGCTCATTAACAAGCCGTTGTTGCGCTGACGTAAAGCGTTCCGTACCACCTCGGCGCGCAGATGAAGCTTTTCAAATGCATCCTCAAGGGCCTCCATACCCTGGTAGATCTCTCGTTCGACTTCGGCCAGAACGGCCATCTCGACTTCTTCATCGTGAGACACAGGTTGGCGGTTATGGCCGGGTGCGGTAGACGAGGAAAGGGAGATGAAGGAGGCAGGTGTAGCACCTCGGGAGTATATGCCGGAGAACGGTGTCGTACTACGGGACGCACCGAACCCTGGCGTGTGGCGCATTCCCATACTAGCTCCTCGTGATGGGGGTGGGGATGAGAAGGCATTTGCGGGCGTGGTACCTCGTGAGAGTGGATTTTCGGCAATGGGCGTTGTCGACTCTTCGGCGTCGGCTCCGGACCAGAGAAAGCCGTCGAAACGACCCGAGATGAGAATCTCCCATTCCTGGGGGTTGATATCGGTGATGGTTGTAAGTAGATCGTGGTGGAGAGGATACTTGACGAGAAACACGGCAGTCTCTGCGTCGCGGGGTGGTTGAGGTAGACGGTACAGGCGCTGAAGTGCCAACCCTGTTTTTACCATGAAATCCGTCCTTGGCTTACGCATAGGAGTAGGCGCTCTCATAGCAGGTTGTAGTTCGCGAGCACCTGAAATCAACGCATTGAAATACGGCCGTTCGTCCTGGTCAAGATTGGTTAGGACGGCAAAGGTCAGCGTCTCATCATCGATTTCGGAGGGCGCTGGTGCAGGTGCTTCAGCACAGTCGTTCATCCATCGATCAACAGCTGACCGAACCTTTTTGGATTGTCGTAAGTAGTGGTCCCTGAACTCTTCCGCGATATCGGGGTCCAGCTTAACGGGAGAAGCCGGCCTAGGAGGCATTTCTGCTACGTTTTCAATCGCGGTCGCGCCGAGAGAAGCGATGTCAAATGGAGGCCACGCAGGCATTTCTACTCTGCCCCCTACCCGCTCTAGGACCTCACCCCATCCTAATCCACGGTGGTCCTCTGGTATCTGTTCGCACATGATACAACTGCAACCTTCAGCAGGAAGGTCCCTAGAGAACACATCTTCCAATCGGTCAAGTAGCCGGCGCGCAACTGATTTGTGACCGGTAGCAACTGCGACGGAGCCTTGTTTCTGAATTACCGATTGGTATTGATCCAAGAGGTTGAAGAAAGGTGCGAATAGAGTTTCTGCGCCTGCTAAAGGGGGGTTCGAAGGTCGCGTCCCGTTCTGGCGTGGTATCACGGACAGAAAATTCTTCGGTATGGGGTGAAGTAGACCACCGTTCTGGAGTAGATAGTCAACTCTTGGAACTTCTTGGAGGTTTAATGGGGGAGGAGGCGGAGGCGGGGGAGGCGGAGGACCAAAGTCGGTTGTAGGAGTTGCTGAGGGAGTGGGTCGTTCTTGTCTCTCGAACCTAGCATGGGCCCCGGGTTTCTCGTCTGGAAATGTCTGTGGCGGGGTAAACTGCGGCGTGGCGGTGGGAGTTTTAGGCGACGAGTCCTGTATGGAATCGGGGGAATCGTCAATCTCGATTGGGCTGGGAATCCTCGGAGTTCTCGACGAGGCCGTCCGTTTCGGCGCGACAGGAGTAGAAGTCGACATAGTTCCCATGGTCCTATTATCACTTAAATAGGACGTATCATCATTAATTACCTCCAACCCTAGCGGAGGAGGCGGAGGAGGGGGCGGGGGAGGGGGTGGATAGGAAGGAGGAGATTTGATGGTGGTAGCTTGGCTTGAAGCCTTTGACTTGGTAGAAAGCTTTGATTTCTCGTCGTGCCTGGAGCTGGACCGAGAAATACCGGAAGTCCTTGATTTCGGTCTCTCCGATCCCGATCCATATTCTTCCCTCAATTTTGAAGTAGGCGTCTTACTTCGTCGTTTCTTCTCTTCGGACACATCCGTCTCCGGGGGGCTAGGGGGGCGGTCGTCTTTCTGCGCGCTCTTCTTGTTTGCGGAGCCTTCTACGGACTCAGATCTCCTCCGACTGCCAGAGCCCAGGTCCGTCGTATCAGGGGTGAGGGGATCGGTGAGATGAGCAGAGGCTCCCAGATCTTCGTGACTGAGTATGGTTTCCTTGCTGTGAGCTTTGCTGAAGCTAGGATATGGTAAGCTAACCCTGCTACCAGAAACGGACGTCCTCGAAAGTTCGGGGACCAGGTCATTCATCGAAGATGTTTTTCGTTCTCGGTCTCTCTCTTTTTCCTCCTTTGTTCGGTGTCGGCGGTGTGAGGAAGTATGCGAATCGCCATCGGTAGAACCTCTGTGTCTAGAGCGGTGGGATTTATGGAGGTGGTGACCGTCTCTTTCTGCCTTTGTACGTTCCCTATCCTTCTCCCTGTCTCGTTCCCGTTCACTCTTGCTGCGCCGGCGTTCTCGTGGTCGGCCATCGGTGGCTGTATTGGTATCAGGGTCTTTGGAGCCCATTGTAGCGGGTTGTGCGAGCCCGACTGGGCCCAACCGCTAAATAATTCGAGTTTAACAAGGGGGCTTGGTCCAAATTGTGCGAAGGCTACAAAATAATCTCAATTACAGGGCACGGTTTGGAGTGAATGAGGGTAGATGTCTTGGCTTGCGGGATTGGAAATGGACAGGAGGGGTTAGTAAGAAAAAGGGACGTTAAAAGGGAAGGCAGAAATAAAAAAAGTAAAACATGAAAAAAAGTGGTGAGAGAAAGCACGATGCACTTGCAGTGTTCTAACCTTGGGCGAGATGTATATAGGAAGGTGACCGGCGGTTGCTGGATCTTCGCCGCGCTACGCAGCTGCCTATGATTGGACGAACGCATATAGAAATCGGAAAGGGGACCCTATGAGCCAACGATGAAAGTACCTGTACTTGTAGCTGGGCTTATTATTCGCATTGAAGCCAAGTATACGGTACTTTACCCACCTATCTCTAAAAGCGGGGTTGGCACAGGTTACATGGATCCAAGCCATAAGTACATACACATGTATATGTACTTGTACAAGGCGCTTTGGAGGTGATTAGATTTTATCACACAGATTCCTGCATAACATTGATGTACATAACCTACCTAGGTACCTTGGCATTTCTGAATACATCTATTGTATTTTATTTTTATTTTTAAATCCGCACATCCCAATCCCCAGTCAAAAATTGTATAAAAACCTGGCTAGGGTATCTACGCTTTAGCCTCTAAACTTGCGCATCATTTTAGTAGTATATGTTCAAGTAGAGGTTCAATGAGATCGACAACTCGTTTCGATATAGAACCATTTAGGTTCGGATACCATGTAGTCGATGCTCTTAGAGAAAATAAATACATACATACTCTTTCGCTACCTCAATATGCAAATCTCATATCTATGGGGGCTTTCCTTTGCCTACCTAGGTACCTTTGAAATTCTTTCTATCATTCTTAAATCCCACCACAGACTTGATAGGAATCCGTATTAATGTGATCGAGTTCACAAGCGATCTAGCAGACCACGGCTCTCCAACATCAACACAATTTGATGCACAATGGAGCGAACACTCTGCTTTTCGCAATCGACAACCAAATCGGCTTTAGACGGAGGCTCATACGGGTCGTCAACGCCCGTGAATCCTTTGATCTCACCGGCGCGAGCCTTAGCGTATATCCCCCGTTTGTCAGTCTTTTCGCAGTACTCGAGCGGAGTGGCGACATGGACAAGGTAGAAGTCACCATATCTCTCAACTGTTTCCTTGGCGGCAGCCCGGTCATTATCGAACGGCGCGATGGGAGCAGCAATGACGGCAGCGCCAGATCTGGTCAACTCGCCGGCGACGAAAGCAATGCGAGCAATGTTTCTGCTGCGGTCTTCTCTGCTAAAGCCTAATTCTGATGATAGCTCGTGGCGGACGGTTTCGCCAAGGAGCATAGATACCGATCGACCACCCTGCTGGTTGAGGGTGACCTGAAGGGCCCTCGCAATTTGATCCTTCCCGCTGTTTGTGTAGCCAGTCAAGAAGATGGTGAACCCTTGAGCAGCTCGCGGAGGATGCGACTCGCGCAGCACCTTAACGACCTCGGGATAAGAGAACCACTCGGGAATGTCTCGACCGCTCCTCAACCTCGAGCGCAGTTCCGTCCCGGAGATATTTAGTGTGCGGGTATCCTTGGGGATCTGATCAACGGGAGCGTACTCGTCCTTGTCAGGCAAGTAGGTCATCATTTGGAATGGCACAACCTCAATACCAAGCTCGTCGCGGTATTTCTCAACCGCATACTGGGCATCGTAAGGTCCATAGAAGTCTACGCCTTGGCTGTTCTTCCCGGGCCCTGCGTGGTCGCGACCAACGATGAAGTGGGTTGCTCCGTGGTTCTTGCGGATAATGGCGTGCCAGATAGCTTCACGGGGACCACCCATTCGCATGGCTAAGGGAAGAAGACCCAAGACTGCCATGCCATTGGGATACCTCGGCAAAAGAGCCTTGTAGACTCGCACGCGCGTAAAGTGGTCAATGTCTCCGGGCTTCGTCAAACCGACGACCGGATGAATAAGTACATTTGCGTGGTGAGAACGAGCGGCCCGTACGGTTAACTCTCGATGCGCACGGTGCATGGGATTCCTCGTCTGGAAAGCGACAACTCGGCTCCAACCAAGCTTATCAAAATGTAACCGGAGCTCGGCCGGAGTGTCTATGTTGATAATCCAAATTAGCATCAATACCACGGTTCGGGGCTAGAACTGGGCTTACATCGAAGATCTACAAAGTCGTAGTGCTGTAGACGGTTAACCGCGTCTACTTTACCGCCCACGTAGAAATCGGCAGCTGTCCGGAACAGGTACTTGACAGCGGGGTGGGCTTCGTCATCACTCCCAAAGACTTCCTTAGCCTCAAGGACCCTATTATGCTCACTCGCGTTAGTGATTCCAGGTGTAAGACCGGGCGGATCAAAGTTGGTTCATACTTGTCTGGTTTGTAGATATCGTCGACCGTGAGGATAGCTAAGTTCCTGTCGTCCCGGAGATCGCGTAGCGTAACCCGAACGCCTGGCTTGAGGTCAACCTCTTGAATAATCTCTTCGGAAACATCCAAAGTAATGGGCATGCTGAACAAAACACCGTCGGCTAGCCTATTATCCTTCACGACACTATAGAAAGTCGGTCAATCCAAAGAATGGTCATACAGGCAGTTATATAATCGCATACCCTTTGTAGTCAGCCTCGTTCATGAAGCCTATAGATCCATAAGTGTAAGTTTCGCTCCGCATTAAAGATCAAGGCCAGAGAAGGACATGCTGGCTGCCTAGAGCTAGGACAATACGTATGCTTGGGTAGAACAATACGACATTCTACTATAAGAGAGACACCAACGTAGGGCGCGGATAGGAACAGCAAACGCACCTTCAAGAGGTGAAAACCCCCCATTGAGGATCAATTCGAGATCGCAAAGTTGCCTCTCGGTCAAGGTAATGGCGGGCAGCGTCTCAGCTTCGGCTGCAAGTTGGGCCTGTCTAGGGAAATCTCGCGCAATGAGGTCCTTGAGAACTCCGCCATGGGGAGGGTTCGCCATAGTCTCGAAGCGCGGCGCTGCGGGTGGTATTGGGGAAGACGGGAGTCGTCAGATAGGTCGGCACGAGATAACTCGATTAATTCAACAGCAAGTAGAGAATTGGACGGCGAAATTATCACACACGTATACACGTATGTATGTGTAAATTACAGAAACTTAATAAGGTTATAAAAACAAGAGAACAAGAAGGGGAGAGAGAGGATACTATCCACTAAAGTTGACTCCGGTGCCGTCCAGACTACGTAATCGGTAGCGGACAATAGGCAAGGAATAGCACATGTATACATGTAGGATGCATTGGATGCATGTACGCGCGAGCTCCCGCCTTACGAGAAAGAGAACAGGGGGAAGCTAGAACATGGCAGCGTGGGTTAAAAAAAATTTAAAAATTCAATCGAATAGTATTTAGCCTCGATGACGTGCTCAGGGACCAGCGACAGCCGCCGCCCAAACGTGTAGTATTATCGGTTCTCGTCCGTCGCTGGACCGACCTCGAACCGTCTTTTATTAGTAACTTGTCAGTCAGATAGACTTCCCATCAGACAAGCGGACAAGACATCGCTGCAACTAACCGGCTCTCGGGGTCCCTAGACCCTGATGATGTCTTAACTCCTGTACGACCGTACATATTAAGAGCAAATTAGAACGTACGGATTTGACCTAATGTCGATCTCGGAACGCCCAATCGGTGTAAAGGTATTTTGGCGAGAGATGGGAAAAAAGGGAAGAAATCTTTGCGAGAGCAGTGGGCGGTGGGTGGTGGGTGGGGGATAAGATACCTAGATACATACCTAGGTACTTTTCCTCTACCCCGCATCAAACATTATTGATTGAAGCCCAGGGTGTCTACGTATAAGTACCTAGGTACGCAGGTACCGGGTTCCCCGTATCACACATGCGAAACATTTAAACAAACAAACATTGAAAGAATACATGTAAGAAACAAATGCGCCATTACATGCCTAGGTACCTACAATATTCTAAAGCTATTCTCTTCATCACCCTTCTGCGTTGTTATTACCAGTAATCTTTTATATCTACCTAAGGAAGAAAATAGTGTGGCTTGCCACTGTCAATATCAGACTCGCGAGATCAAGCAAACCACTACAGATCTATCCGCCAGATGTTAGGATAACACAAAGGAAATAGAGAGGAGCGTGAATTGCGCAAATCTCAACCTCAAACCTCACCCCTTCTTGTCATAGTTCGTGTTATCCTTGTACTCTTCCCTACGGCTCTCGTTTGGAAATAGGTTGTGGACGTATCGACGCCAGCCGGCTGCGGCACCATTACGTGGCGCGCCTCGTAATGCGGGTCCCGTAGGTGCAGGGCCAGTTACGGGTGTATGCCAATGGTCGCTGTCAGACATGGGAGGGGGTAATTCGGCCATTGTGGACGAACCTATCCTTGTAGTTATACTAGACGTGGACTCGACAGCGACACTGGTATCGTTAAGGGTCTGACTAGATAGCAACGTCGCTGTAGACGTTTGAAAGGTGGTCGGATAGCCTCCCCCGCCACCTATCAATGTCGTGTCCACTGCTATCCTAATTAGTGTCTGTCGTGTCGTCCTAGAGTGTTTTACTACCTACTTGAAGAGCTTCCAATGTCAGAGGCCATCGTGGAGCCAAAGCTTTCATTGCATGATGTAGTCGTGTATGGCAACGAGGTGGGGCTTCCAGAAGTAGGCCCAATATTCGATATACTTGGTGGGAAAGTCAACGTTGCTGTGGAACCTGACTGGGTGGTGGTGCTCTCGCTACAAGTTGTATCGACGGTAGCAACCGAAGTCTCGCTTTCCGTACAAGTTGTATCAGGTTCCTGAGTTGTAGGGATCTCGTCCGTACAAGTATCCGAATAGAGACTCGTGGTCGACAGGCCTAGAGATGACGACGAGGTTATCTGGGGGGAAGTTCCCTGCCCACCAGGGGTACCTAATACTTCCGTCGTAGATACACCCGACGATAATGGGGTAAGCCTTGTAGTTGCAGGCACTGGATAAGATGAGGTAGCCGAACTTGTGGTGGGCGAACCGATAGAGAAGGTTGCTGACACACTGGTTAATCGGGAAGAAAACCCACTTGGGCTGAAGGTTGTAGATCGGAGAGAATTAGAGTTGACCCCCCCAAGTGATTGGCTGGCAGATACCGACGGAGTTAATGAAGGTGAAGTAGACTCGGACTTAGTCGGAAGGACAGATAGGGTGCTGTTTGAGAATGGATATGGTACGGACGTTAGTGTAGATTGGGATATTGACCCAAGACCTGTGTTTGTCGTCTGAGTTGCCGACTGTCCAGCAGGCCCACCAACAGAAGAGCTAGAAGTTGCCGTCCCATTAGAGATAGGGTACGAAACAGAGCTCGGGATCTTGGTGGACGATATGGCCTCACTAGTAATGGCCGAAGCGCTTCCAAAGACGCTCTCGCTCCCGGTTGTGGGCTGGCTAGAGGAGACTACCGTATATGAAATCGAAGTCAAACTTTGCGAAATTACAGGCGGCGGATTGAATACACCACTACTGGAAACCGGACCTGACGTCGTTTGGGGTTTGGTCCCTGAAATGGCAATACTGCCTGATGTTACAGTAGGCTTGGGGATTGATGTAATATTTGTCAAGGGGAAGGGTGGATTAGATGTCGATATACCAGATGGCTGTGTCGTACCTGTTCCCGGGTTATAGGAGCCCAGAGATATACTCCCAGTCCCCGCTGCACTAGGGACAAGTGCAGTGCTGGTCGTGACAAGTCCGCCCGTACCGGGACCGCTTGTTGGCTTGCCTGATGAAACGGTTGGCTCCGAGGTTCTAGTCAAATTTGACAGCGGGAATGGTGGTGTCGACATTGGTAATAGGGAAACCGATGAATTGATCGAACCGGCGCTTGGTTTAGGTGTAGGTGGCGTAATACCCGGTGGCTGGGTAACATTAGCTCCGCTATGGGAGCTCAAAGAAGAGCCACCCGGTAAGCTTGCAGATCCTGTCGAACCGATACCTGATTGCCCCATGGGAATGCCGGTAGAGGTTGTTAAGTTTGGCATGGGAAATGGAGCAGATGAACTAGAAATTTGGACAGTACCGCTACTAAAAAGCCCTGAGCTAGGTGCACTTGTTAAACTAATTATGCCGGTGGTAGGAATCCCGGGTGGCATAGTCGAATTCGCTAGGGCTCCCGTTGAGAACAACGTCGAATTCAATGAGACCGGCCCCGGGCCGGTCGGCAATCGACTCCCCGTAGACACGATTATAGTAGTAGGCACTGTGGCGTTAGATAACGGGAATGGGGCCGATAAGCTGTTACTACTAGAACTAAACTTTCCCGTTGTAAAAACCAGAGAGCTGGTTGGGTTGGGAAACGCGGTTGTGGAATTTGGCAGAGGGTAAGGAGGTGAAATTGTTGTGGCCCCTGGGCTACTACTTGGCCCTAAGGATTGCCCTGTTGGGTTACCCAGCGAAGACCTTGTTGAGTTGGAAGCAACGGTCGCCGGTGTGCTAGATGGAAGTACAGACGAAAAACCTGTGCCTGGGTTTGGGGTGCCTGTTGGGCCAATGCCCGGCTCGCTCGAGTTACCCATGGGGAAAGGGGCCGTTTTGGAACGACTGGCGGAAGAATACCCTGGAGAGAATGTCTGTGTTAACTCACTTCCGCTTGGAGTCACCGACGTCAACGTCGATATCTTATTGCTTAATGAAGTACCAGTTGCCGACCCCGTCTGTCTGGTGGTTGATACGGTCAAATTAGGCCCTGATGGTATGCCTGTTCCAGTTGAAAGAACCGTTTGGCTGCTTAAACCTGTCGAATTTGATAGGGGAAAGGGGGGTTCGAGAACCGAACTAGAGCCTATCGTTGAAGATGGCGTTGTGCTAATGTATCTTGTACTAATACTAGTAGATCCCTTGACAGATGCTGTTGAGTTAGCAACAGGATATGGAGGCATAATTGATGATAGAGAAGAAACTGTTGAGCTGACTACTAAGGGGCCAGTAGACATGATTATGGAAGGTGAATTGGATTGTAAAGAGTTTGAGGGTAAAATGCTCGTAGGACCACCTGTAGTCACTGACGAGTTTGATAATGGATACGGAGTAGACAACGATAGGGCAGACGACAAACTACCGGACATCGAGCTACTGGAGAATATTATAGTACTGGAGCCTACTATTTGGGTGCCTGAGACTGAATGATTACTCGTCCCATTTGACGGCATTGGTGCCGGTGTTGATACTCCCTGGCCGCCCGGGGTACTCCCTTCAGAAGATTGACTCGTCGGGAGAGCGGTTGGTCCCCCCGTAGGTCCTAATGATGCCGTTGAGTTTGATAGAGGATAAGGGGGCGGCGAAACAGCATTTGAAATAGTCTCTGTTCCGATAATTGATGTAAATACACCACTAGTGGTAATACCAGCTCCAGTGGCACTGCTTATTTCAGAAGAAGAGACGATAGTAGCCTGACTAGCGCTGGTCGTATTACTAAGAGGGTAGGATGCGGAAGTAACACTAGAGCTAATCACAAAGCTCGATAGCTGCGTCCGAGTCTCCTGCGATGTAGAAGGATGTACCGTAATGGTACCCCCCGGCCCCGTGAGCGTCGTAGTCTGTCCAAGCGTTTCTGTAATGATATTGCTGCTACTATTCGAAAGTGGGTATGGCGCCGCCGAGGATACCTCGCTTTCTGTGAGGGTACCGGATGCAACCACGCTACTAAGCTCCATACTGGAAAATGATATTGTAGATTTCGAAAATGTTGGGCCGCTCATAGGGAAAGACGATATAACGATGTTCGAAGTAGTGACGGGTATTCTCGTGCTGCTAACTGTAGACCCTATGCCGCCCGTCGTATTCAAAGTGGGATAAGGGGAGGTATTAGATGCTCTAGAGCTTAAGGCAGTAAATGATATTGCGTTTGAACTAGAGCTTCCAGTGCCGCTAGGTATACCCTGGCCTGACGGGCCAATGGGTAACGTAGAGGTACCATTGAATGGTGAGCTGGTTGTCTCATGCATAGTGCTACTCTTTTGGGAAACACTACTCTTTATCGTGGAAGTCCCCGAAGGAATCCCTATTCCAGTACTTGGCGCACTTTCAAACGGTAAACTAGTAGTGAGCCCAGTTGGACTAGTCCCTGAAGTATTATTTGATACGGGGACATGTGAGAATGTAGCCGACTCTGAAGTTAAAGTAGAGACCCCTTGGGAATTGCCGGAGGATATGGGCGAGCCCGGAGACGTTATGGATGACTGCGAGTGGGTTCCGGATAACGTAGGTCCTGAAGGGTTGGCATTTGACGTCGAATTTCCGACCGGGGAGGGAGTAGAGCTCACGGTATGCAAGAAAGAGGCGCTGGATGAAATAGTCGACGACGTTTTTAGGGTCCCCGACGTCATTGACGAGATATTTGTTGATCCGAGACCCACAGTGCTCTGGGAAGATTCTTGACTAGAGATTATGGAAACCAAGGAATTTGCCGACTCCGTACTAGCGGAAATGCTAGTTGGAAGTGATGTTAAGCTACTTGGAGCACTTCCAGTTACGGGTGCCGCACTAGAGGTCCCGAGCGTGGTGTTGCTCTGAGTGATGGTTACGGTGACGGAAACTCCCGAAGAAAGGGTAGTTATTGTGACGGGCTCTTCTGTGCTTGTCCCGGCAGACGTCGTTTGAGTCTCGGTGCTCGCCCCATTCGTGAAAGCTGAGGAAGTAGCCTGACTTGCGCCGGACGACATAGTTTGACCCCCAGGGCCGCCTGAAATCTCGGAGAGGCTACTCTATATTTATGTTAATCTTGAACCTACTAGCTAAATTGACGGCCCGAGCTGTTCTTGCATAGACATGGTGAAACGTGTCCTTACTATGAATAATGAAAAAGGCGTGGAGAACTTACCAAACTCGAAGCGGACGCTATAGAAGGAAGTAGAACAGAACTACTAGTTGATACAGACCTTGATTGGGTTCCCCCGCTTAAGAGACCAGAACTAGTAGTAACGGTGTTTCCTTCGGTGTTACTTTCAGAAAGGATTAAGCTGCTTGTCACTCCCGCCGTTTCGCTGTATAAGGAAGTGTTGAGGATGGATGTGGTGGATGCGAACTCTGAGGTCGAAGAGATACTCGTCATAGGTAGTGAGCCTGTAGAAGAGGTGAGAGCCCCGCCCCCTGAGCTTAACACTGACGAAACTACGATTACGTGAGCGAGAATACTAACGGATTTGAAAAAGGGGGGGTTGGGGTACTTGGTGAGGTGAGCAAACCGCTAGGTGAACTCAAGGTTACACTGGCGCTAGGAGTATTAATCGATGCTGTGTTGAATGTTGACGAAGACGAAGACGAAGCTTTCGAACTTGAAGGCGGAGGAGGTGGAGGGCCGTATCCTCCATAGGTTGGAGTGGGATAGTTGTAAGCACCACGATCAGGTTCAGGACCACCGAATGCTTCATAGTCAATCTCCTTCGATGTTTCATGGTAGGAAGAGTCGCGCGGGCTCATTCTCTGAGACACAGCGCAGATGCTCATAAAATATATAAGTAAAAAGACCACCGATGGTAAGCCGCCAGTGAAGTGTTGGGCCCTCATGGTTAAGGATAGGACGGTGGTTTAACGGAACGATGGCACTCCCTCAATACGAATACTGACAATATATCTAAAGGATAGGTAGAGTATAGTGGCGCTTATGGGAGTATAAAAAGGGGGGGATAATGTAGCCCACCCCTAAAAGGGTAGGCTGAAGAAGAAATAATGTAGGGCGGTAATATAAGGGTGAGGAATATACCTAGATATTGATAAAGGAAAGAAATATTTTCTCCATGAAAAGAAAAGAAAGGGGGCGGGAACGAAAAGGAGCGGTAGTTTATTCCTGTAGAGTCGAACAAGGTTTGGAAATGGAAATGTTGAGAGAAATATGTCAATTATAGAAGGAAAGAGTCGGCTTTGGAGGAAGGGACATGGCGGAAGAACCACGAGGGACTGACTAAAAAGGGGGGAGGGGATTTCCCCAGAAAGGGGAAACCACGCCGATGTGTCGGCACCTAAACGTGGATATCCGGTATTTCTTCAAGGGAAGGCGCGCCATCGTCAGGAGAGATTAGAGATTAGATCGAGACAGCTTCTGATTTTGGCCGAGAGAAAGGGTAACATCTCCACTTTTTGGTATCAAATGGCATCAAGTGGTATCAAGTAGACAAAATACCCGGGCATATTACGCGTTCGGCTGTCCTTGTGCGAAAGTCATGTCTAGGTGCAAGCTTCCAACGCGTACGGTACCCCTTTATCTCTACTTAGAGCTTCTGCCATCCCGCGGGGATCAGCGGAACGTGGGTTGGTTACTCGTCTCTCGTAATCATTCGTCACGCGAGGCGAGGCAGGACGAAGCAGGATCAAGCAGAATGCGGCGGTAGCTGGATTCCCCTTTTCTAAGTCCCGATGTCATCGCCCGCGAACCTCCCAAGGTACCATCTCCTATCTGTCAGTTCAAGGATGTAGCGGTTACATGTGCCTGCAAGCATACGGATTCGACCTGGTGGTATTATTGAGCTACGGCTCTTACATATGGGATACATAACACAGCAACGTTGCTGAAAGCCAAGATTGGAAGGTTGGCGATTTCTTATCTGTTGCTTGGGAGAGAGCTCCAAGGTTGTCGGGCTACTCAGGCAAATTGATATTGGTACGCCCGTAAGTGACTCCTGTATCTATTGAAATGTTGCATCATAAAGGCATCACACCAGCTTCAAATCGTAGACCCGTGTCGTTAATACGAGAGCCATTCTTATATATGCGCTCCCTCCTCAATTTAGGATATCATGATCTAGAAAAAAAAAAAGGGAGAGGGGGAGAGACTACGAGCAAGTCTGGAATTAAGTGGTAAGCACTGTGTTGCTTGTGTAGCATGTTGACCTTTTAATGCCGGTGACATCGTGTAAAATTACCAATAGAACTTATACTAGGCCAGCAGGTAATTGCTATGGTGCACATTAAAAACCCAAACTTTCACAGGGTAGACAATACAAGATTGATGGACACTATTCGCCGAAAATTTGGCCACAAAGGCTGCATAGGCATTGAGTTGAGCTACTCTAAGCGTTGCACGATATCTGGGATCGTATGAGGCTGTATGCGTTGAGCTGTAGCGAGCCTTGCGAAGGCGTAGGTCCTAGATGCGACTGGCCGTAGTACAAATTGCCCATTCGAGACCTCCTTGGCGAAATTTGACATTGATTAAAAGTTGGTATAAAATCCTGATATCTTCATTGACACGACTCTCGGTGACTTTCCGCTCTCTTCTTTGGAAGGCATCTAGCGAGCGGCCCGGCCGTGCATATCCATGGTACGTATTGTCGTTATTGGCGCGTATTACGTCGAAAGAAGCCTTGCTGCATCAATCCCGTTGGCTTTCCTTGCTGTGTTCGGAGCAAACGAGCAACTAGGGGAGTTCCAACTCCTGTACATCCGGGTCTCTCCTAGGCTAGCTTCAAGCTATTCTAGAAAATAAAGCACGTTTCTAGTGGTATTGACGTGTTTCGCTTTAATTAATCGAGATTGTGTAGTTCGCCCCACACAAAGTTGCAAGACATATAACACGTGTAAAGGGGACTCTCGCTGAAAGATGTGACGGGAAAATCTAGTAAGATCCTTAGACTTTATTATAACAAATGAGTTAGCGGTAGCCAGAGTTTGGAATCTTTAGATAGCTTAGATAGCCAATCGATATAAGTAGATTTAGGCGTCAATTGGGCCCTAATGACAATTTGTATATGAGATCAGTTCCACAGAGATCATACATAGCTGATTTGCTGCGGCCACAGTGAGCGTTTATTCAAGCCGTATTTACCAAAAGCATCATAAGCTTTCTGAACCTTGTGTGCCCGTGGCAAGCAACACAAGTTGCTCCAAGATTTGGTCTCGGTCTTAGGTATGATGCAGGCCGGCTATGTATTGCTGTGCAGGATCTTCGTTTCACCTAATCTCGGAGGCAGCGGCTTCTCGCATTTACTGTGCGACACTACTCGGCTTTCTTCACAGACTCCCGTAAGTTAGGGGCCGTTCCCTGGGTCATATTTGTGTTTCTCTCCTCAATATCGGCAGCCCAGAGAGCAGCCCCCACTAACACGTTTCGTCAATCACAAGGTGCTTGTCAAGATGAGTTTGGACGTACCAGTATTAGTGAATGCAAAAAACATAGAGAGTATAGGAACCATCTCGAGAAGGGTTGCTATCGTTCCAAAGCTATAGGGCTAGATTAGCATGAGCCCATATCATGAATCTCTAAGAGGCATTAAGTCATTGGTTCATTGTAGAATAGGAAGTAAAAAGATACGGCATCGCCATTCGGATATCGTGATGGAGCTCATTCCTCGGGACAGCAAAACTAAACTTACGTTGTGTACGGAGCTGTATGGCGTGCAAGCCAATCTCGCTGCTCGGACGAGGACCACCCTTTAAGTTGAAAATACTGCCACACAGTTAGGCTTGGTTGAGAAAAGAAGTTGGGAACAACGAACCCGGCCATGAACAGAGCTACCTCTCGCCCGACCTTACAGTGCGATAATATGTTAGTAATCAATATATGTAGCATTGGAAACTATTGTTACTACCTTGAAGAAGTATAAATATTATCGTGCCGACGACTATTAAGGCACGGAATTCGTTAGCGAAGGAGTACGGCTATGGCGTAAGCTAGCATACCTGGGATGAAGTTGAGGGGAAGATATATGACATATCTGATTAAAGCTTTGGGGGTAAATTTCGAAAAGGGGCTTTTTATGATCTTGCCTAATCTCGAGATAGGATCACTGCCAGATTTCAATTGTCTCCCTTTGCTAACAATATCATTCGCATTCCTCGCGACTAGTGTACCATCAAACGTATCAAGTAAAACATCTTGTAGGAGGAAATTGCGGGAGACGATGTTGATTATTGTGGAGCTTTCGTTTAGTATAAGAAGTATCGTCGTGAAGACGGCTAAAGGCCCGTTGACGAAGATAAGAATTGCAAGTTGTGGTAGGTACGCGAAAAAGAACATAGAAGCTAATACAGTTGCTGTGAGCCCCAAAGTCGGTAGGATTCGAGAATAGAACGGCTTCCATAATGACTTATGTGTTATGAAGTAGACAATGCCCCTGGTATCCCTAATTACTAACCGGCTCGAAATGGTGATATATTATATGGATTTGACATACTTGAAGGGATATAAATAGGCACCGCTTCTAGCTGCATCGGATAATAGAACCTTTGCTCTTTCGTAATCCTCTTTTCTGAAAAGGGTTAGTTGAAGCGGTATAAAGAAAAAGACATAATTATGGCTTTCGCGTACGCAACCTCTTGGGCTCTGACTTGAACATTGCTGGCGAAACCGCTTGACATTATGAAGGGCCTTCGCAAGTTCCGATGCCACCGACTATACTGCTGTTGGTGCCGAGTTACCTTAGAAGTACGATTATCGAAGCAATTTTAATCTGTTGTCGCGAATCTTAATGGTTGAGAGGATCTTGGAAATTTTCTGCATTGTGAATGACATGGGCGGGTAGATCAAGAATGAAAGGATGCTGTCGTCATAAGGAATATAGTAGTACCTAGGTACCTAGGTACGCCTTAGCAATCATCCATGGATGACTGACCCCCATATAAATCATTGCGGGTCTTGAATACCCACTTTCCATTTTTGGAAAAGCTTTGACCACATACGGCGACGTTGAAGAGTCTAACGCCTATGTACCTAGGTATGTACTTATGTCAATACCAAATCACGATAGCAAGCCGAATTTATACTCGCAACCATTCACGTATACACAGGGTATAATACTCCTCATCCTAGCTAGCTGCCTAGGTATAACGCGTTCTCTACAGCCTATTACTCCCTATAATCCAAAGGCCAACCAGTAAATGCTTACACGCCTTTCACTAAAAGAGACGCCCTTTGAAAAAGGCGTGTACATGTAACAACCCAATAGAGGAGCGAAATAGTTCATGCTCCTAATCCCATTCCGAGCCCCTTGCCATGTCCCTGACGCGTTCTCCGACCGTAACCAGTATGTAATGAAGTCATGTCGCTATAATATGACCCAACGCCAATCCTGTCAAGTAAAAGTATATCATATAGGGAGGGTACTTATCACCTATCCCGATTATTGATGTCTTCCGATGTTTGCCTAGACCGAGACAGGAATCCGACACGCAGGCTGTCCCTAAACGTACCGAACCAACCCTCTTGATGCGAGCGGTGGGAGCCTGTTGAAGTTCCCTGCTCTATATCGGTATCGTCTACTTGTCTCAGGGGGGCATTGGAAGACGAGGAGCTCGTTGCTTGCATTGACAGGTCCTCGTCACTATCATCTTGGTATGGCTCGTATCGTGGGCTAGATGGCATCCCTCGAGCTAAGGATCGGACAACGTCACCTTTGCAGATAGGACAGGTTCGTCGTCGTGTTATCAACCACGGCGTTCTGCTACCTGTCAGCCCTATGTACTTCTGTGAGTAGCAAAATGTCAACTTACATGCAATCCACGTGGAATTCATGGCCACAGGGTAGACTCATAACTTGGCTAACGCCGTCGACATATTCTTCTAGACAAACGACACACTCGACTTGCCGGCTCATATACTTTTTCCACTCGCTTGAAGTCTGCGTATTACGCTTCTCGTGCTCCGCGCGTGACGTAGATCTAGGAAGCGGTAACGAAGACTCAACCTGTAGCAGCTCGCTGGCTGACGGTACACTAGTAGTAGTCCGCGATCGGGGCCTGGGCCTTGAAGGGCCGTGTTGACTCTGGAGTAATGGTGTCGTGGGGGACGAACTAGCGGGAGATGGTACCCGGGACGTTCGACTTGGTGTGGATGCCACGGTGTGGTACGTGCGAACCGGGAGCTGCTCGACAACGGATTTCGGAGCTCTCCATCGTCTTCGCCGAATGCGCGCCCGCAAGATAAGGAGAGCATACACTACCGTGAGTGTTATAAGAGGACTGATAACTAGAACTAAGAGCGTATCAAAGAAAGGGCTAGCACCACTAGAGGGGGTAATAACAACCCAAAGGCCTTCTCGCTCATTGGGAAGATCTCCAGATTTAGTGGATTTTTCGACACTTGCCTTGTCCACAGATTTAGGCTTGGCTTCGACTTTGGTAAGATCCTCTCCATCACCGTCTCCTAGTATTTTAGAAATGAGACCCCCATTCCTCGAAGGCGACGTTTTTCCTTCGGCGGATCCGAAAGCGTCGAACCCCTTCGCGGGCATATGATCTGCCGCATATTCCCCGCTGTTAGGGGTGACTCTGCCTCCCATCGGTGGTGGTACGTTAAATTTTTGTTTCTTATTTTCTGACACTCTAGAGCCAGAGGCTTGATTAATCCTTGAATTCGATTTGACCCACTTGCTATTGGCCTCTACCGAAGACTTCTCTGGCTTCTCGTTTTCACCCGTAGAACCAACTAAGTCTGGATCCCGCCAGTCTTCTACCCCTATCTGAAAGTGATCATCGGGGGCTTGTCTGTCCTTTGTCCTTGAAGAGCTGTCCGACCTTGCTTTGGAAGCACGGTCCAGACTAGTTTTTATGATTTTATCCTTTTCGTCCGAAAAATCCTCGACTATGACCCAGTCGAGTTGGCCACTACTAGGCGGGCGGCTTCCGGCCGAAATGGAACTGGGGCTGGTACCCCAATTCAATACTCTAGAAAGCCAGCCTACTGCTGGTCCTGCTGACTCATTTTTCGATGATGGAAGCTTCTTGGCCGGCGGGGTTTTCACGCCTCTCGGTTTTGAAACCGTTCCTAGAGGCTGAGCCAGCGCAGCCGCTCCCCTTGGCTTCCTGTTCTTCCGAGCCCTGTCGGACTGTTGTACTTTCAAAGAAGGTTTGCCGTTCTCATCGATTATATCTTCGATGAAGCTTCCAGGTTGCATCATGAGCGAGAGTAGATACGCGGTCGTGCGAGATGTGAAGATAGAAGGGATAGTGACATTGGAAGTATCCCCATGGGCATACATCTGTATTAATGGGCCTCCTCTTTGGTTGTCACCGACGATAAGAGCAATGGCCCCCCGCCGCTGGGCCCATTTTACTTTTTCGAGAAAACCACAGCCACCACGGCTTAGCAAGACTATCTTGCCGGCGATCTCGGCCCCCTCCTGTATTGACTGAATATCGGCATGGCTGGAACTCGAAAACCCTAGTGCGTCACTCTGCGGATTAACCAATTTATCAGGATTTTGGTGGAGGTAATCGTCGGTCCCATCGTCAATCGGCTTAAGTTTGGGTTTGGATCCGGATCTAGGCTCTGACTCGGAAACGGCGATTCGATCGACCAGAGGGCTCTTAGTATCAGACCGTTTCTGTTTTTTTGTCTTACCGACATCAGCGACAGTTTTGAATTTATTTTGTATTTCCTTTGTCGATGGCTTGAGGACAGCACTCGAAGTGCCATCGTCCCAACCAGGTACATCACTACAGCCCAACTCGCCCTCGCCCTCTCCATTTTGCAGAGACTCCTCAGTAAAACCACTCCCAATCCATAACTGTCCATCCATGCCCTTCCCCGGCAAAGGGGGCCCAAAAGCCGCAGGCCTGGCCGCGAATGAGGTACTGTTGTCGTCGGCTATGGTGATAATAGCGTTCGGTGGGAAGAGGGTAAAAGGCGTCGAGAAGGAGAACAGAGATTTGAAGCCGGATTTCTGTGTTGTTTGGGGCGAAGATATGACAGGTGCGGGACGGCCGACCGTTGTAATCGCACGACATAGGAGGAAGAGACAGGCGGCGAAGAAAAGAACAAGGATGAGGATTCTCGGAGGTCGCATGTTTGCGATGTTACGCGAAAGAGCGTAGGACCGTTGTTGCTTATCAACGTAGCTGGCAATTCAGCTGCTCGACTGTAAAGGTAACCATTCGTGGTAGTAGTATATGTACTATTAGAGTAGCACGGACAGAGAATATTAAATACGTAAGGATTTATTTAAAAGGGCTCGAGCCCGAATGGAAGAGAGTAGTGGGGTCAGGAGATAGCAACAAGATCACCGAACGAAAGAGAGAGAGAAAAAAAAAAAAACTTGGTACGAAGGGGGAGGGTACCGTTGCAAGAGAAGGGGGAAAGAATTACAAATCTATAAATCCAACAATACTAAGACTTCCTCTGGTCGGCCGAGTTTGGACGAGGCTGGGCTGGACTGGACGGCAACGATGATGGTGATGATAATAATAATAAATAGGGAAAGATGGGATGCGAAACTGCGGAGTTGACGGCATTGTTGTAAGTCCAGCCATACCTATGTACATCTAGTACCTAAGGTACACACCTACCCACTTGAGGTACCTGGATAGATAGAGTTTACATAATTACCTGATTGGGACTGATTAGTTCAAATGGTGAGGTCAGGATCCTTAGTGGTGGGCAGTTCCATAGTTCCACAGGCGCTCCGGATTTGAAGTGGGTACATAAATCCACCATCAGAGTTAAATCACAAGGGGTAGAAGTCTGAGCTAGAACGGTTACTAAGATTGGTTAGTAAGGGTGGGAAACCAGCGCGTGTTTGCGTCACAATGGCAGTTACGCAGCCCCTCGCGCGTTTAATGAATCTTAAAAGGGGGTAGTGTCGTATTTTTTCCTTAATAAGTACCTGATACATACCTACATATGTATGTACCTAAGAAGTATACTTTGGTTACAATGCAGATGGGAAGGTACAACAAGCCACCGTTATCGCACACTGTATCAAGTATTTAAACGCTGCACTCTACTACACCTTTACTCCTACCCCCAGCTTTCTAATACATGGATACAAGTACATAAGCTCCATTACATTATGATTTAATGGTGAATTGGGTACGTGCAAAACTTAGATGTTAGATATATTTGGATGTAGGCAAAGATTTTTCAATCATCCAAGGTCCTAGGTGCATGTATTCAAGGGCTATACCCTGCCTAACCATTGCAATATACATCTTACTTCTATCGTACATGATTGTATTTTCCTGAAACAAGTCGAAACCGAATTCCGCTCATCAGCAGGCAAACCCCAGGCATCCCCCCGCGGTGATTATAAGAGACCATCAAGATCGTCAAAATTACAAAACTACGATATACTATTCACCCCTAATACTATATACATGTATACGTAATTTGACCGCCTTTGCCGACCCAGGGCATTTCTTACCTGGCGGTTCCTTTTGATAAACCCAAGAAGGCGTTACCGCGTAGCAGTGGAAAGAAACATCGACTTTTACCATCCTTGGAATAATAGCGTAGTTATCTCATTACGCAGTGTTTGATCCCAGACTTTTTATTATTCACTTTAGTACTTTATATTTAAAATTAACAGCCGCGGCTACCATCAGTAGTATATATAGATAGACAGCTTCTATACGGAACATGTAGAATAACTTGTCGCGTTCGTTCATTAATATCCGATCCTCATCACCAAACTTAGACCATAAAGACATGTCGCCAACGCCGACGCTAATGCTATTTCCACACCATGTAATACAATAATGCGATATGATGCAAATGCTTTGCTATGCTAGAAAGAAAAAGGCTAGCCAATAGCCTGGTATCGCATGTCCATCATGATAATTTGAAAATAGTCCAATTCCTAACAGAACTCATTCACTAATCGTCCCCTGTCGCAAGAGTTACCGTGCCGTCCTTAGCAACTACTTTGCCGCGGTCCCACTCCCTTAAGCCGCCAGCTTTAGTCCATCGGACGTCTGCTTCGTCTTTCTCATCACCCGTCTCCCATTTTTTTATCTGTTCTTCGGTAAACCCCGCAGACCGTAGTCTATCCGCTCTCTGTAGTTTCCACTTTTGGCGGTCGCGAAATGCCTCTGCTGCGCGCTCCCAGTCGTCTCCTTCTTCAGGGTCAGGTGTAACATCATTCCTCGGGTCGTAGTCCGGAGCGAATCGACTATCTATACCAGACGTGGAGGCATTGGCACCACGTCCTCGCCGTTGAACGGTAGTCTTCCTAGCTGGCAGAGGGCCAATGATTTCTTCTAGCGGGTCCGAATCAGATGATTCTTCGGATTCGGATTGGGAAGGTCGACTTTCCGAGTGTTTCACGACGCCTAGCTGCCGGTCTCTATCACTTCGAGGCGAATGCCTTCTTCGCTTTCGACCACGAGGATCGGTCGAAAGTGATCCACCCCCCGAGCTGTCTTCACAACGGTAGGTATAGCGCTGTGCTTTGACATCACTACGTCCTGTTGAACGATCCTTTCGACTGCTAGCCCGCTTATTGGTTGTATCACTTGCTGCGAAACTCTTGCGCTGCCGATGTTTATTCCTATCGCTGGAACTGGGCTCTGGCAGATCCGAAGCATAGCCAGTAGGGATGTCTGTCCTCTCAGTCCTACGCCTCTTAGACGAGCCGAGTATAGCGGCAATATCTCCAAGCATACGCTTTCGAGTGTCGCTAGGTCCAGGTTTGGATTTGCGCAATTTGCGACCTTCTTCTTTTCTCTTCTTCTCTTCCGCATCTTCAAGATCGCGCAGCTTCGCCTGCGACTCGGCATTTTCTTTAGCGAGGAGGGCGCGATTATGGCTGTTGGTATCGCGGATGATATTATTAAGAAATCGAGTGTTGGGTTTAGGTTGATTCGCGGGACGCCTGGGAAGAGTGCAGGTTAGCTTCACTTGGGAATCAATATAGGGTAGCAGAATCTCTGGTAACACAACAGTAAATTCGTGCATGAACTGAACCACCTGGGCGGGTACTTACTTGGAGGACTTGAATGCGTCAAGACCCATTGCCGAGTATCTAAGGGAGCAGTCCTGGGCTTCCTTGACCAAAAGGTTGGCGACTTGGTCATCTGTGAGAAATTCTTCGGGAGGCATCTTCAGGTTGGTGGTTGGTTGGGAATATACGGAGGGAGCGAGAATTGGAATCGTAAGAGGGTCCTAAGCCTACCTAGGGTACCTACCTAAGGTAGTCGAGTCAGCACAGGCAGCGGGGTGAAGGGAATTGGATGGGTGGGCTAAGTATATGTGGGTCTGTCCTCTATATTGTGGAGTTGCCGGAAAGGTTATAAATACAGAACTGGAAGTACCTCTAGAGCTACATAAAGAGAAAAAAAAAAAATACATACTATCCATCACTTTCACTGCCAGGTGCCACCAGCTGCTTACACTCATTATCTTATCTTATCTCTGACCCAGTACAGTAGATTATGTAATCATTTTTTTCTTATGTATTTCTTATGTATGTGAGTGACCCACATGCATACATTTCCTTTCTTGGATGGAAGTAAATACTTCAAACCCACCAGTCCATCAAACAACGCGATAACTCCTACTTTTCAAGTAATTGTGCGTTCACTCAGTTGAAAACAGGGGGGGGGATGATATAGAAGGCGCGTAGCTACACAATTGACCCGCGTCTCAGCAAGACTTTTTCATTCGAAATTCTCATTCGATCTATAAGTGAAACACGCGGCGACACCAGTCACAATGACGCCCTCTACGCCAGAGGATACCCTAGCTAAGCTGCAATCGCTCATTACTAGCCAGGAAATCACCATTCTAAAGCTCAGTGAACCCATCTCAGCCGCTATCACACAACTACAAGACCCCCACCAGCGGACATCAGACATATCCGCCTCTTCGCTTGACGCCACGACACCATCTTCCCTCGAGGCAGATTTAACACATTATCGAGAACTATTTTCTAAGCTGCGTTTCAGTTACGTGGAGCAGGTTACCAAAGAGAAATTTATTCGCGCTATCGTAGGCGACCCGCCTCTTATTGTCACTCCGCAGGAAAACGTGGATCTCGAGAAGGAAAACCTGCAAGCAAAAGCAACGCTTAAGGCCTTAAAAACCGAGGTCACAAGTGTGGTCACCGAACTTGGGGAGAAAGCGGTAGATCTTAGTAGAAAGTATGAGAGGGTTCAAATCGAGATAGTCAAATTGGAGGAACTCCCCAGCAAAATTAAAGAGCTCGAGAACGCAGTAGCAGAATTGAAGGAAACGCGGGTCTTAGGGTCAAATCCAAACCCGGAGTTGAACCTACCTCTAGCCAAGACCCTGGATTTGATCGAGTTGAAGAAGCGACGGAGGACTGAGTTAGACCGGCAACTAGAGCAATTGCAGAGTCAAGTGCCCAGGAAGAAGAAGGAATTAGACCGGCTGCACGCCGAACTGCAGCCCGTCGAGACAAAGAGGCAAAATAGTATGTCCGCTGCAAAAGAGGCTAGGAGACGCAAAGAAGCAGCTCTAGGCGGCATCGAAGACGATCTCGAGGAAAGAGGCCGATGGTTCAGAGCCTCAGAGACTGGCTTAAAACAGATATTGGAACTTCAAGGCTAAACAGGAATACCTATTTTGGCAAGGGCGCAAGGTGTTTCGAGGCGTATTGTTTGACTTTTTGCAGCTTCGAGAATTCGCGGGCTGAGTGCGGATTAGATTTCACGCCAAGAGGTAGGGAACGACATGAGGTTATTCACAACAGGACCTCAGTAGCCAAAAAAAACCCCCCATCAATTTGCAGTCGGTCATTCCCGGCACAAGGCGTCCTAGTAAATTCGTACTACTATCTCCTTATAAACCATACACCCTGTCGTTGTAGGTAGGCAGAATTCATACACGCGAAGCGGCAAGATAGCTATAAATGAAATATTTTCGGAAACTCTAGCGACCGGCCCCCCTACATGAAATCCTCCCCTTCCAGACTCGGACGGTACGCGAGGAACATTCCAACTGAGCATTTCCATCAAATTACAAATCAGCCTTGATAAGATCAACCGCCTACGTATTGTCAGACTCAATCCCCCTATGCGTCAGGTATATATATGTTACTTACTTTTTCGGCAACAGCATAGACACTCTGGCAAGTGTTCGCTCCAGGTAATGTAGGCATAATGCTAGCATCGACCACCCTCAGACGCTTCACGCCGTATACCTTCAGGTTTTCATCGACAACACCACCCAGCTCTCTCGGCATCATGGCGCAAGTCCCAGAGGGATGGAACTCCGAAGGCGTAAGGTTCTCCGACAAGAAGCCAGCCAAGTCTTCTGGTTCATTGACGTAGTCGGGTGGTTGTACTTGTCGGGGGAGGTATTCCTTTAATCGTGTCTCGAAGAAGAATCGTTTAGTAAATCGGAGCATCTCGATTAAAATATCGACATCCACGGGATTAGTTAGGGCTCTGTAGTCTACGATAGGCTCGGTGTTGAATGGGTCTGTCGTGTTTATGTTGACGGTACCACGGCTTAAAGGATGTAGGTCTACCAATGTGCCCGAGGATCCGGCCCCTGTTAAGACATGATTACTGCGATACGTTAAGTCAGCAATCAGGACTGCCCACGATAACCGCACACCTTCTACCACGTGAGTCGCGACAAGCGAGATACGTTTCGAACGAAACAAGTGGCCCACTTACTAGAACGCCGTGTTTGAAGAACGAATAGACGCCGCCATGTTCTTCATTTGCGCTCTATACCCTATACATATAATATCAGCCTTGCTTAGTTTCCTTTCGTTTCCTTTTTTTCTCGTCCTTATATCTAAGGATAGGGCCAAGTCTAGGAAACTTCAAGGTAGAGTACGTACCAGCAGCCACCGTAGGATCGGTATCGGGAGGTAATTGGGCTGCATGATCCTGGTTCTCCAATTTGTTTGCTATGCTTTCGAATCTCTCCGGCGAGATTACAGGCATTCCCAACCATGCTGCTGCATTGCCTATACCCATAGAGTATGGACCTATGATACAAATTATCAATTCAAACCCCGGAATCGTCATGATTTTCTACACTCACCTGTTTTGTTAGTCCTCCAGAGCTCCTGTGCCCAATCAGTGAAGTTCTTATTATTGAACATATCAAGTGGGCTTGGGTGTGTCGTAAAGTTGGCAACTAGAAAATTTCGTGTTCAGCCCCCTTCGTATCCAATGGCGTCTAGATCTAGGAGTTACTTACGGACAATGCTCATGAACATCATTGGATGGTCTTGGAAATTTTGGCCAACACCAGGGAGGTCAACAGTCGTGTTAATGCCGGCGGACTCGAGCAGTTTCTTGGGGCCAATTCCACTCAGTTGTAACAGCTGGGGAGAGTGGATCGCGCCAGCAGAAAGGATGACTTCACGGTTAGCTTTGACAGTGGTATAGGTCGTTGCGTTTCCAACTTTTTGTCGGAAAATCACACCTGTAGCCGCCCCGTCTTCTAGCAGAACCTTGGTAACATGAGACTTGGTGACGACATCATGGTTCGTCCTATTAATACCATCATAATGTCCAGTTCTAGCATAAGATCTCTGAACCTTCTGAGGATCCATGAAGGTTGGGAACCAGTAAAATCCCGCTTTGCCTGCACCACTGTCAGGGGGGAATTCGACACCAGGTATATCTCTGAAGGCCTCAATTTGCGTAGCTAAACCCCATGTTAGTAAACCCTGGATTTTGAAGGAAAGAGACAATGTTCACTTAGTCCAGGCCACTGAAAGAACGGCCATCCTGCATATACACCAGAACTATTGCCCCAATATGAAGAGTCATAAGTTATGTTTACCGACTTGGCTACGGCGGGGTCCGGAGGCACAAAAGTAAGGGCCTATCAACGAATTAGCCGTAGGTAGGGAATTCTCGGTGGAGGGGGATAATGAGACACACCTTCTTAAGATACGGCAGCAAGCCATCCCAAGACCAGGAGGAGTTATTGCCAAAGAAACTCCCCCATCGATCATAGTCCTCCGAGGTTCCCCGCTATGCGTATCAAAACAAATTAGAAAATTTAATGACTGATACTTTAAACAAATCATTAACCCGTAGCTAAGAGTCAAAGGAAATCGTTTGAAATCCTACCGGGGCGAGCTAACCAAACAATAGAGGAGTTAAGGAGTAGGGGTCAACGGTAAAGGAAGGATATGCTCTTATACATACAACAGTCATCATGGCGTTAATAGCAGAGCTACCGCCAACTAGGTTGCCAGCAACGACTGCTGTGCTTCGGTTCTGTAGGTTCACTTGAGGCACGGAATTGATTTGGTAGGACCAAGTCGGTCCCATAGCGGCACTACCTGAGTAAACTACAGGGAAGGTTTTAGTACATAACATGATAAATATCATAGAAAGGTGGGTAAGTACCTTGTTTGATTCTGGGAGAGTCGACTTCACATAGGCGTTAGCCGATATACTCTACTCTTAATTGTTCTCAAGGCATGCCTCACCGACATCTCCATTCTCCACGACTAGAACGGTATCTGAATTCAAGTTGTTAATGGATATATGCTTTATTAAGAGTTAGATTTCGCCAGCTCACATTTGCCATCTGCTGTTAGATGATCCGCTATAGTCAAGCCAGCTGTTCCGGCTCCTACGATCACATAGTCGTATGAAGGTCGCACCTGGGAGGAGCCATTTAGGAATCGTAACTGAAGTTCCGACCGGCGAACAGCTTGACCGAAAGGCTCAACCGCTGCGAGCAGCAAGGTCGCCAAAACACCAAACCTGGCTATGTTAGTAAACGCCATCAGGTATTTCCAAGGTTAACTAGATAGCGAGACCAGAGGCTTACCCGTAATAGCGGCTGTCGACATCTTATGTGTTATATATTTGAATATTCCATGGTGATCGAATTATCCCATCAAAATGGCTCATAGTTGGATTGTTACATGGCTGAAATGAGATTGTAATATACATCAATGTACCCATGGACAATATCGTTGAATACGAGCAGGCAGGTCGAAAGTAGATAGACTCCTTGAGCCCGAGACACGTGAAATTAGCCAGGGGTATTTTCAGCCCTAGGTCACGGTCCGCTCTACCATGGGTTGCTTCTTCGCTGGGTAGCCTATAGTATGCAACGTCTTCATATTGGATTTAGTCGAGCCCATTTTATCGGCAGATGTCACGAAACTGGCAGCTACCCCCTTGCCTTAAAACGTGGAACAGACATAGCACATATAAGGCTAAGGAATAGCTTACGGGGATATTAATTGAACGTTGAGTATTCGCGCTTAAATAGAAAAGGATGTGTCAATTTCCCGGGGTTGCTTCTGCTGACTCGAATTAGCCGCCGTATGTAGGGACACGCCATCCGCCAAATGAACAATGGAAAATGCCTTCTGGCCTTTCTAATAATATCCACTTGCAAAATTAATTCTCCAGCGACGAATGCCTCCATTGAACCATATAACGCATGATCCATTGCGGGTTTGCAACGAATACCGGTGATCCTTTCCCATTCATACCTGCTATAAACACGCTCATAGCCAGGATATATAGAGAGTCGCTCCCAAATTTACTTAGACGCTTAAGCGGTACTATATTACGGGACCTGGTGACAATGGTCAATAATAAATTCTGTGTCATTTTGCTTTGCCTAGGAGACAAGGGATATCGATCATCTAGTGAACTTCAAGAGCAACTTTCCCCGGCCCTTCCGTTAGCCCCTTCACTAATTTCCTCGTTGGAAGGTATTATATTCATTTTCAGCCGGATTTACTCCCAGGGTTGACTTCCCCTCTCCCGTTACCTCGAACTCGAACATGCCAACTGTCCTCATTGTGTATTCTACACTTGCGATTATGTTGTCATTGAAAATGGACGAAGGAAATTCATCTCAATGTGGTATGCGGCTTACCTAGGCAGTACATAAAGGAGTGGTAGTGACATTGTTGTGCGCGGTGTTCACAATGGGCTGCCGTGGGATTCGGAGTATAATATCCAGGAAACGTTCTTCACCTTTGGTGTCTTGGGATGAAATCCCCTTTATGATGATAAATCAATGCTCCAGAAGAGATACCATGCTAGGTTAGAATGCAGGCACTACATAAGGTAGTAATCCGTACTTCGTAGAAACCATGTGCGCATTATACGCCGCTATTTGCTTTCACTGCCGTCGGCTGGTAGGACGTGGGTTACATAACCCCCCTTTTCCGTTTCTCGCCGCATCTTCACCCCTTTATTCCTTATAAGCTTGATTATGTAATTAACTTGACTTGCCTTCGGTGTTCCATAAATATTTTATTGTTGCATCCAACCAACTTTGAGAATTAATATAATCATTAGTAGCTATAGGGTCTTGTATTATACTCTTTGGGGGACAACTGTTTTATTAATAGGCATGTTTATCGTTTGTTATAGTAAACATACACAGAAGTGTGTGGAGGCGTGTTTAGTGGTAGTGGTAGTGGTAAAAGAAATATATGCCAATTCCATCCAATTTTCAATGAGTGATTAGGATAGAGCGGTCTAATTTGACGGTTAGGGTGAATCTGTCGATGATGAATTGTAACATGGGTACGTACATCAACAACTGTTTCACAATTTAAACAAGAAATACATCCGCGAAGAGATGCCAATGGGGTAGGGACTTCACTATTTCCCCAGCTTAACGTATCTCAGTTTCCCAGCCTCGGTGCCATACTACATACATATATGTAGATCTTGAGAAAGTAGCTTCAATCTAAATTCAAAAGGGATGAAATATAAAGGTCAATGACATCAATTAACTCATCTTGTGCAGGAAACTACCGGTATCTAGATAGAGATAGAGGCAGCTACGACTTGTACGTGACGTAGATGCAACTTGGGTTTTTTAATACAGGTAAGCACATTACATGTATGTAGTACCTCGGTATGCAATGCCGTGACTTGAATACGTGATGTATCCTGTATGGACCTGGCTACACGTCTCTTTTCCTTTAGTTAGTACTTGGGTCTCTGCCTACATTATGTACTTGTATATTTAGGTACCTACCTAGGTAGGTAAGGCAGGTGCATGTATTAGCAGGATATGGATGGTGCTCTTTCCTACCTACATAGGTAGGCACGTGTAGATACCTAGGTATGTATCCTCTGTTCTTTCCTTTGGAGAATAAGTATGGGAACAGCGTACTTTCCTTACTTAAACTCATCTCTGAAACGGTGCTGTTTTGGAAGGAGCGTACATACATGTATGACCAATAATGTGCGTATGCATCTACCTCCATAGAACATATGTTGAGGCATTAAGTATCTTCTAAAACCTTGCTAAGGGTCACGAAGTTAGTAACGCTATTGGATGTAGCATTGAGATCGTTTCTTTCCGGCCCGCCATCTCGGGTCTGTCGCGTTGATGTCCACTTGCCGACTTCACAGATCAAAGTACCTGTTCGTTGCTACAAGTTTACAACTTGTGGCCTACCAAACTCGTTTTTTTTCTTCCCAAAAATTACTACCTAGTCTTCTGTCTTTATTTTTTTATTTTTTATTTTTATTTTTTTTTTAAAAGGCCTCGTCTCGATGACGAACGCTACAACACCATCCCAATAAGCCTTTATCTACCCGTGTCCAAGTACATTGATATCGGCTCGAGGCGCGCCTCAATAGGTACTCTTCAGCCTGGTTCAGGTTCTTCCGTCAGCTTTAATTTCCTCAGTATCCAGGCGGTAGGCCAGTAGGCGTCCCTCCTAACTAACTGCTACCCGCACTCGCCTCCCGACTCAAGATTTCCCAGGTAAATAATTTATTTGCTCCAGTCCGTCGTTCTCTCCTGACCCTATCCCAAGTTAACGAAACAGCGAAACCAATCCTTCTTTCCGGAATTCCTTGTTAATGTTATAAGCCTAACAACATTTTCATCCTCAGCGAGAGACCATAGACCCTTCCTCGTCTATTTATGACCGGAGGTGTTTGGTAGGTTTTCTCCCCGTATCTTGTTTCCGTTTCCCGCTTCCCATCCTCTTTTCTTCGAACGCATTGCCTGCCCAGGTATTTTATGTACTTAGGGTCTTTACCCAATCTTTCCTAACCCTTTCCGACGCCCCGTCCCCTAACCAAGTCGCATCACATCCTCGCCTCTGCAATTAGCCCCTCCCAATCCTTGTTTTCATTACACTCGCCGTACCCTCCGCATTCTTCAATAAGGAATCTTCTTTTGAGGTTTCCTCTCTCTGACGCGCGAATATTTGTCCGTCGCATTCAAACGTTGAATAGCTTGCCAGTTCGTTGACCATCCCGCTCGCAGTCGTAAGTCAATACACCCCCATGCTCTTTTTTATCACAAGCACTGTCCCCTTGCTTGCTTCCCCTAATTCCCCTAGTTCATGAAAAGAATCAGTTTTTATCGGTGTCTTCGCAACATTTGTCATTAGAGCGCTTATAAAAGCCGCCTCTCTCTCTCAAGAAATGTCGAGTTCGGAAATGTTCGGTTTAAGCCTTATATTCGTTTCCGAGTTGGCTTGACTCATCGCCGTTTTTTTTCAAATATTCATCTTCTCCCTCTGCTTCGCTATCCTCTCTGCCTCCGATCTGGAGGCAGCCTAGTTCCATAAGTATGGATCTTCTTGTCTGCTCGGGCGAACCTTCGATTCATGTGGCTTGTGCCTTCCACACAGTCTCCTCTTTCCCTCTCTCCACCTTCCCCGTTCTATTTCGGCCGATTGTTTGTTACTGTGTGCTCTTTCCACCGGTAACCCCGCGGCATAACACATGGTATTTTTCCACCCATGCTAACTGATAGCGATTTCTACAGGTCGGCCGAGGATTATCACGCCCCTGTATTACTACCTATAGGTAGTCGATTGTTCTCGCGATGTCTACACTTCATAAGAAGCAGTCCGCCAATCTTGGCGCAGCTTCACCGCGTGTTGTTGTCGACTCCCCGGGTTCTAAGTCGGACCAGGGTAGGTAAATTCCTTTATTGTCTACTGGTATCCATGTTTTTGCTTTTAAGAGAAAGCCGTTGTGCTAACAGCTCATTTTAGGCGGTGGCGTCCGCCTCGATGTCGGCTTGGAGAACATTACTCTGGACGATACGCCCCCGTCGGTCGCGTAAGTACTCAGGGATATAACGACCTAAAGGAAAACAGTTGCTCAAGGCATGGCTACTAACCATGCTAATAGTCGTGGTACCGCTAAGGCTCCTGGTGGCCACGAGATTGATAAACCCAGTACCAGTAATGGCCACGATAGTCAAGTCCTTGCGCAACAGCATGGTGACGAAGAAGATCAGTAAGTCGCGGGAATGTCGTAACCATAGGGATCACAAACTTATACATTTCGTCAAAGTGGTAACGTACCTTTCCAGCTAGGAAAGCGTACCGATGATGGAGATGTGTTTGATTCTCCCGGGAAGATTCATGACGCTAGTTCCTCGGACTTGGGTCGCATGTCTGCCATGGGACATGCTTTGGCATTCTCGACTGCTACACACTTTTCGACTTCTGCGTCACCCTCTGGATTCGGCTCTACTATGCAGGGTGTCATCCCCAACACGAAACCGGTTGCTATCCTGCGTAATCGTGCATCCGATTTGAGCAGTAGAGCTCAAGTTGGGGGCGTCGATGCCCAGACGTTCTACCCTGCAACTGCTTGTGTCTTCGTTGCCAAGTATGTATCCCCATTGGCGTTATATATTTCGCCTAGAAAACCGAGGCCTAACATTGCAATTAGTTTGCCGGATTTCGTCCGCGATTCGCGTCTTGAGGCAGAATTGACTCGAGCTTTCAGCAAGTTCGGTATCGTCTTTGTGAAAATCCGCCGTGATCAGCGCAACATGCCGTTCGCTTTCTGCCAATACACGGTGAGAAATGGTGGTGTTAAACGCTGTCTGCGGGTTTAACTGACGTGAAACGAAATATAGAAAGACGAGGATGCTCGACAAGCGGTAGTCCAAGGCCGTGGAATCTTGATCGAAGGACGCCCGTGTCGCACGGAGATGGTGAAGGCGAACCGTAGGTAGCGTCCCTTATGATGAACACAGTAACAAACGTACTAACTTACTCATAGGAAGCTTCATCATCTATAGCGTTCTTGGAGACGAAGTGGCTGTTGAGGAAGCCCGTAAGCAAATGCAGGTATTCGGTCCGATCAGCAAGTGTGAACTGCTGCACCCTCAAATCCAGGCTGCCATGCAGATTAAGGGAGGTGTGTTAATAGAATACACCAATTTTGACGCTGCTCGAGACGTCATCGGCGTACGTGTTATACCCGCATGTTGTACGATATGCATTTTGCTAACAAGGGTGTAGGCATATCGACACAATCCTACGTATCGTGTCGCTGCGTATGATCTCAAAAAGACCCAGCAAACCCCGAAAATGGATCCGGATGAGGCATGGCTTCAGCGATATGAAGTTGATCGTCGATCGATTTACGTTGGGAACCTCCCAGTCGAGGAGCCTGATCTTGAGAGACAGCTAACTCAGTTAGCTGAAGAGGTCGGCGACGTTGAGAAGGTGCAAATCGTCCGAAAGGAGGCCGCCACAGGTTCGTAAATTCCACGTGCTAGGGGGGGGATGAAGGGGCATTAACAGCCATAACTCTTAGGTCGTCCGACACCGATTGCTTTCGGGTTCGTTGAGTTCTCTCGCCCAGATATGGCGGACTTAGCTGTAAAGCGCCTAGTAGGTCTAACGAAATCATAATGATGTTCCAGTCGGCTGATAGATGGCTTGTAGGCTGGAAAGGTTTTGTCTGGTTCCGTGATTCGAGTTGAGCGTAAAGCTAGCAAAGAATCTCAAAGCATTCGCCGAGCTCAGCTGGATGCGCCTTTTCCCAGGGTGGATCAAACACCGACCCCAAGTGGAAGAAAGAAGGTTCAGCTCACACCTATGAAGACGACCGAGCCCACAACGCCGTCTCGCGCGGAGCGCTTCTTGCCGCCTTCGACTAGCAGCAACGGATCGATGTCGTCTACAACCCAGTTGCACCAGCTGCACCGAGTCCAGTCACAGGGCTATATCCCGTACACAGGCCAGAGTTTCGGAAGCCCTACCCATTACGCGCAAACACCTCGCCCAGGTGCGAACGCATTCCCGGCCACGCCGCAGGCAACCCCTGGAATAGTCAGCCCATTGACTCCTTACTACGGCACCCCGTACTCATGGATGACACCGTATCTCCAAGATCCTAATTATGCACCAATGGCATACTTTGATCCGTACTCGCATCTTGCTCCCGCTCAGGGACTGTCCGCGGAGGAGATGGCGCGCACTCCCAACGGCCGTGGCGTCGGAAACCTTGAATGTGGCGGCGATGGCTCGGCACAGCGTGAGGCGTAGATAGATGGGCGGTAGGGTTCTAGATGGTGCGTATCTGCTGTTATATCAAAGCAGCACGGATGAAGAAGTAGTCGTGTTCCCCTGCTTTGCTTTGCTTTAAACCCCTTCGATTCTATGATGATGAATTATTAACAAGTCCCTGAGGGAGGATATTTGATTAGCCACAGGCTTAACAGAACACACCATTTTCACTTCGTATCGAGGTCGCGTACATAGGTCATTCACAAGATGGACCAGGATAGATACAGCCATACGCATCCGTTTGTACCTAGAACTTATAATTAGCAAAACCAACAGGTCACTATTAGCTATATGGCACTGCTTCCCCGGCGATTGACTTGTAAGGTTCCAGCATATACACTGGCTCCCTAGACCACAGCGTGGAATTGAGATTTATTGCCATAAAGTAAGAGGAAAATTTTATGAAATTGTACTGAAATAATGTGTAGCGGCATACTGATATGATTGGTTGGAAAGGAGGGGAGAATTGGGTAAAAGTAAAGAAAACACTTAAACTGAAGATACGTTGCTTGGTTAAAACCAGAAGAAAGAAGGGAAAATCTCTTATGAGTTGCAAATAGAAGAATAAGGGAGAGAAGAAAGGGGGCGGCGTAGTAATATATACATTACATATGTATGTAGGAAAGTACTTACGGTAAGGAATCAGGAATGCACTCAACCGTCACTCGGCAGAAAGAGCGAGTGCATATTTGTAGGTGAATGGAAATAGACTGGAGGGACTGGATGGGGAGAAGTGCCTACATGTACCTACATATAGTAGTAGGTCAATAAGACAGAGTGAATTCAGGGGCTCAGTACCTAAGGATACATGTGTGCATGTGTGCATGTAGCAGAATAACATTGAAGGGAGGCGCATACCTAGGTAAGTGCCTGCTCATGCATAGAAGAAGTTAAATCTTAAGCTATTTATGTAACTGCGTTCTGCCGTCATAACCGAATAACCATCACTGCATATGTATGTAATGTATAGTGTGTTCAGGTACGTTCATCCATCTACAGAACCAGACTACACTTATATTAGCATGAGGGTTATAGGTAGAATAGATGGAGGTAGGGATATACAACTAACCATTGCAGATAGTGCTCTATCCAAGTGACTTATACGGTCGTCGGCAGCCTCTTAAGTCGAATTAGGGAGCTACAAGAATACTGGATTAGCAAAACACTCAGCAGCCATCTCATTATTGTTTCCCCATCTGAAGATAGTGCTGCCGAAATGATTCCAACCCATTCTACGGTATAGGCGAATGGCATCCTGGTCTTTGACCAAAGCAAACAAGAGTAGGCGCTGCCCCGTCCTTCGGGATTCCTCGATGACGGTCTCAATAAGTCTGCTAGCCACGCCTCCCCTACGGCTCTCGGGGTGAACAAAAAGTCTCCCTAAAACCGCAATATCAATATCCTCTGGGTATCGTTGCTTCCACAGAGCTACGGCGACATTCTCGGAGCTGGCTTTGGTGAGGGATATATGACCCACGACCATACCATTAACTTCGGCGACCCAGGCCGTCTCGTTTTTGGTAAAGAATGAGACTGAATTATTAACGCCTCCCACAGGATAGCCGGTGGACTTATAAACAGCGTCGAGAATTCGGAGACAGGTTGGGATATCCGAATCTTCTCGAGGACGAATAGTCGCCATCATTTAAATGGCATCAGATGGAGACAGGCAGGGCTCTCCGATTACCGAATGCGCGGAATGATTGAGGGGGTGGAAGTGGCTCTGTAATAAGGGTTGTATATAAGATAGAAGGGATCCTTCGCGCGACGTACACCTAGGCATGTATGTACTACAGAGATAGTTGTCGCTTTGAGATACCTATCTTGTACGTACAGATAGTTGGCTCGGTAAAAGGGCAGATAGTAGATTGGGTAAGTCAGTATATTTTTAGGTAGAGCAATGCGGAGTTAGGTGTTGGCACGGCCTCGGTCTTTTTTCGGCGTATCAGCTCATAGCCCAAGTTCTATCGACTGGATATATCACCATCCTATTTCATTTTCACAATGTATTTCGTAACCTAGTAATGCTATAGGGGTAGTTTTTGATATGGTCAACCATAGTGGGTGTTGTTAACATAGTCTTCCTATTCGGACATCTCTTATTAGCGTGATGCGTCATTCGCTATCATCACTGGATCTTTCTATACGGGTAAGGGTGATACGCACGAACTAGATCATGGCCCAAGACGCAGCTCACAGGCATCCAGCACAATAAGAGAGGGCTTGAAGGGTGACCATGTCATTTTAGAAAGGCATCCCGCGCCTAGCCTAGAGTACTCTTTTCAAGACAGCGTCTCCGCTTCATCACAGAACAAGTCTATCTTAAGTTCTTAGCTGCCGCCGCCGATTGCTGGGTCAATGGATACCTACCTAGGTAGGTATCGAAAGGTGCGGGTGTAAATATCGCGGGAATCCAGCCAAATGAGATGTTTCAACGTGCGAGTAGTGGCTAACGGAAGCACAACGAAGGAAAGAACATAGAGCAACGACGCATCTCCATATTATAACCCGTCTATGTCCCTAGTCACGCCGAGGACGCAAAAAACGATTTCACACGCAATTTGCGAACCTCGCTTGACCAACGCAACCAATGGTACATTCTGATATCCAACCCTCATCGAATGTGAATGGAGCAATAAAGCAACCATGCTGATGAAGCTCGCAATGGAGAATACGCTAATGCTAGCAAAGGTCTCCTTACGGATCTTAATCTTGCGTTGAGTATAGTGGTAGCATGCGGTCAATATGGTAGCAATACCGATCCAAGCCGGCAGCAGCAATCCAGGATCCTGAGATCCGCCCGTTAGGAAAACGATCCACGAGGTCAGATAAGCAAAGGCGCAACTAATGGTGAAAAGACGGACGACTGTCGCTTGCGGGGTGTAATTAATGAGCCAGCGTGACATGAGGCAGTCGGTGAAGAAGAAAGCGAGATATGCTGAGGCGCAACACTAGCCGGGGAGAACCAACATTAGTAAAAAGAAAAGACAAGTTGACATGGGACTGAATCCATAGGTAGCTTACCCAAATGACGGCCAAAGCCGTCTCGGTCAACCTCAGAGTAAAAGTGGCGGCATCACGGTCATGGCTTCGCTGGTCAGATAGGCGTAGCAGATCAGCGAGTAGGAACCGTAAAGTAAAGCGCACCCCCCAGCAAATAGGAGGTACAATGGACAATAGACGGCAGACTGAGAGGGTATAATGCCAACGTTTGGGCACACCGAGGGCAACGGCAACACGAGGCTGCAAAAGGGAGACGGCTACGACAGGGGGACGAGGCTTTTCGGAATCGTTTTTGGATGGAGGAGAGGAAGAGGAAGAGGAGTAGGAGGGTGGTGGGTCGGCCATTCAAGGAGCCTCCCGGACAGGGCTCGAGTCGATGGCTACGGCCACTCCAGTTGTTTGCTGTGCCTGGTCAATTGCTCGTCGTCTTGCCGAGGTGGCCATAGGAAGTGTGTGTCGGGCTTGGTTCGAGAAAAGCACAACGACGGAAGAAGGGGACGAGGGAGAGGGAGAGGGAGAGGAAGAGGAAGAAAAGAAAGCCAACCGAATGTTGCTCAGAGGAACAAGTATCGTTGTCGCATTTTATGATGTGTGATTTTTGCTAAGATGTGCAAGATTGGGTATATGTATGTAGGCACGTAGCTATGTATGTACAAGTAATGGAAGTAATGGTGGTGGGTTAATGGTGGTAACGATAATGAGCGATGTGGCCTGTGAGGTCATTGTACCGTATTAAACCGGGCCGCCAGGTACCTATAGGTAGCATTACACGATCAAATAGTATGCTATAGGCTGTACTTAGGTACGTAGACACGTATATTATAGTGGATATAGCGTTTTAATTACATATGTAGCTATAGTACCCTAGCTTAGCAAGAAAAATCAACATTAACCATTCATGTTGGTTATCCAGGTACCCCATTTGCTTATCTATTGGTTCATGATGTCCCCTCTCTATGTATGTTGCCTTACTCGGCTAGGTACCTAGGTAGGTTAGGTAGGTACTAATTATACAGTATCTAGGTACATTTTTAGGTATCTTGAGGAATATTTCGAGAGATCCACCTAAATTTTTCATACATCCATGATACAACTTCGATATCTAATAACAACGGCGGCCACCTCTGGAATTCAGCGGTACGTCGCTAAAGGATGACTATAACGACGAAACTTCCCTGAACCCTCGCGCATACTATCCAAACAGAACTCAATGACCGCACGAGCATCTCCTACGACTTAAGAGCCCACCGATTAGCCCGTCTCCTCACATCCCTCGCCCTCACCCTCACCAGAGTCTTCCATACCTTTACCAAAAAGTCATGGCCGAACGTTTACGTGCGTCGCGGCTGTGGCTACTCCCCTTTTTGCGGCCGCGATCATATTCTCCTATACTCTTTACACTTCCCCGCGGCATCACCGCCACCACCACGCCTCGGCCATACAGCACAAAAGGAAGGGCACAGAAGAGACCTAAGCAGCTCAGCCCGAGGGCTTTACAGAGAGCCGAAGCGAGGCACATTGAGTCCAACATGTCTATCTTGCTACCCGGTTAGTCTTCCGACGTAGTCATTGAACTGAACGAATAAAAAATACGACTAGCTGTGCGAATTTTCGTCGTGCGATAGCAGCTAACCACCTCAACAGGCACATTAGTTAGCCCTCCCATCTGGCGATATCCAAAACAGCCAGACAAGTTCGTCAAAATGTTATGGGTTGTCTTTCGATCATATACCCAAACCCTATGGTCGACCTTGACCATGAAAATACTATCGCAACCCACCATATTGCTCTCAAGACCACGCTTCAAGTTCCACAAATCCGCCGCGGTGCCCACCGCCAAGGCGCTCCACGTACGGATGTCTGAAGCCATAGCCGCCGCCGATAAGGAAATCCTACGCGGCATATGCACGTCTGAATTATACCAAACCCTCGCTGCTACCATCGACAGTCGGCCGAGGGGCACACGCACTGAATGGCAACTCATCCACTACGATCAGAAGTGGCGCTACCCGCGGATAGCCGACTGGAGAGTCGGCTACAAACCGCTCCAAAACGGTGATATGCAGCTGGTCAAGCAGGCCATCGTTAGTATTTCTAGTGTGCAACGCATAGCGCGCTACGACGACACAAAGGGTGGTATCAAAATCGCCGGGAGCGACCGCTCCCGTCGCATGGTGGAGCATCTCGTCTTACAAGCCAATATGGACAAGTTGACATATGAGAGCGACCCCTGGAAGATCTGGGGCACTTTGCCTGAGATGAATTATGAAGAGATTATTGCAAATATAGAGAACGAACGCGCTCTCGCAATACAGGCAGGCGGGGGAACGTAGCAACCCTGGAACCGAGGGAACATTACAAAACACATTGTGCTATAGGCGTGTAACAAACCTGTATAAAATGGATTAAAGACAACAATACCACTTTGCTAATACGCAAATCTTAATCGAGTCTCGGATCAACATCTTTCCAAGGAAAGCATGCGCCACCGCAACCACAGATATTCAAATAGGCCAGTCTGCAAACAGTGACACAAATACTCGCATGCTACTATGGCACGAGATAACACTGGTCGTCGAGGGGCACAGGCAGAGGGGCACAGGCAGAGATCGCTGGAAATTTAATGTATTACCAAGAGTTCAACTCTACACGACCGAATTAGCATATACTCTTAGTACCCAGTCCTTAAAAGGCCTTCCATCACAAACCCATTTTGGTTCTACACCTCTCCTTTGCGTTTCACGAAACTACATCCCTTTCGTCTTCCGAGGCCAAGTTCGGCCTAGAAAAACTTGCCAGTAATTTTAGTAGTGGTAGCATCTGAATCTTCGGGTGCTACGGCAGCGACGTAGTCGAGCGCATCGAATCGGGTACCGCGTACCTTGGACTGGACGAATTGAACCGTCAATCTCAAAGCCAATGCGCCGAAACCCCAAAGCAAGCCGCCCACAGGTGCAGCGACAAACGCACCAAAAGCGCCCCAATCGCCCGTGTACAGTCCTTGTTCTAGGAGGATCAGCTCACCACCGAGCTGCGCATCGCCGTAGTAGATGGTCCCAAAAATGAAGACAGTCAAGATGCCACCTAGACCCCCAACCAAGACTTCGAACCCTCGCCACCAGTAGAGACGCTCTGACAACCCAAGCATAAGAACCGGGATCGTGGCGGCGGACAGAAGGTCGGATATCAAGTAGATTTGTAAAATGCTCGGTGCCTTCAGCGCGAGAACGACAACTGGGAAGATAACCAAGACAACAGCGCCGCGAATCCACCAAATATTTAAGCGGTTGCGAAAGAGATCATTGGAAGCAGAAGATACCATGGCGGACTGCAAGCTGTCGAACGCCGCAGTACTTAAGCAGACCGACATGACAATGACAATGCCCACAACCCAGTTGGGCAATTGCTCAAGCAACAGGAAGAAGGCGACAGATCCATCCCCATCAGGAGAAAACGCACCAGACCACACAGCGATGAGTCCTGTAAAGCCGACCAGGGTCAAAACAATAAGAATAACGACCATGGCTACCGAGACGCCAACCCAGAGATCTTTGTCCGTCCTGGAAGCAAACGCGCGTAGCCAGTAATTGGCTAGGAAAAAGTCATTCGTCAAGATGGCGACAGGTAAGATATAGATGAGCTGCCACCCTACGAGACTTGAATTAAGTAATCCGGAATCAGCAATTAGCTCCGGCTTGATCTCCGTTTTGGCACCAATAGTAATAGTTGCTATAATAATCAAACAACATATCATGGCACCTTGAATATTATCCGTGATGAATGATATTTTGAACCCCCCGAGAGCTGTCAATAATTTGTCAGCAAGTTGACCCAATCATATTGGGTGACATGTACACTCCGAGAAGCATTCTACTTACAAGTATAAACGGTCGTCACGACGCATTCAACGATGACAACAGGAAGACCATCGAGTCCAGTTAAGGCCTCAATAACCTGCCCGATTGCGGAAAGTTCCGCGACCATATAGAGGAATAGCGTGAGAAGAGTCAAAGCGCCTAGATAGAGTGCTGTAACGATGCCGTATCGTTGTCTCGTCCATTCAGTCAACACAAACCCCTCAGGACACTTCCTGCGGATAATGGGAGCGAGGACAGCAAAAATTAAAAGGGGACAAGCCGACGAAATAGCATAGACGATGACACCCTGGAGGCCAGCGAGGGTGGCCAGCTGGGGGTATGAGAACAATATGCCCGAACCCATGGCTGGGAATTTAGTCAGGATAGTTAGTATATTTAAACGTTGGAAAGGGGAGAGGAGGGATCTGAGCGGCAGCACGTTTCCCACGCAAGCATTAACTTGATCGAGTAATTACGGTACAATCTCAGCTTCATTTCCACAGACTCGCTTAGGATCTCCTCATAGCCCCCCGGAATAGGGAAATATGGGGTTGGATACGAGCGAGTTGCTTCCATTCAGCGCCCGTAGTGAGCCGCAATCTATCCTACCCTCCGTAGCATGCCCAGGAAGAGCAGCACGGAAGGAGAAGATTCTTTGTGCGAGGGCACAAACCTACTTGCTAGTAATACAACTCATACTCTGACTTCATACTATCGTATCAAGCCAGGCTGACTCGGCGACGTGTTCCTGCGCATACCACGACGCGAAAGACTTCCGGCTAAGTTAATGTAAAGGTGCCACCGCTCTTGATCCTTAAAATAAAGAGGGACAATCCGCCTGAGCACCACACTAATCTTCCTACTCACCAGCAGCGATGAAGTTAAGCGCCAAAGGAAAGGCTATCAGAAGCGTCAGCTAGAATTCTCGGGGGAGGAGGAGATTTACGAGAGTCATGCGATGGCGGCAACAAGATCCGGCACATATATAGCTCCCATTTGTAATTCTGACCAGTTTGTGTCCTGTTACCAGCTAGAAATTCAGCTTTGGGTTGATTTCTCATCTTCCATGCCAAGCCAGTTCCTAACAGGCTGCAAGATCACAATTAGTCGTTAGGAAATTAGACGTATCTCAGCGAGAAAACATACAGAAAGGCGCCGTAGGTGACGTATATAGTGGCATTTGATGCCTCGAAGGATGGTTGGCCCATTTTGGAGTATTCCTCGGCGTTGAGGGCAAAACTAAACGGCCAGGACTTAAAAGACGATCTATACGAATGAATCAACCGTTAGATGAATAAGTAATAACCGAAAAAAAAAAAAAGTAGAAGGGAGAAGAGCAGAAGAGGACCCTTAATTAGGAATTTCCTCATAAGATTACATGGCAAAATTTATTTTCGTGAGAAATTCATTTCATTAAGTACCTAACCTAGGTATGATATAGTAAAGCTAACAGAGTTCTAGCTTCCTAATCGGGCTACGCTAGTGACAATGGCAAGTGGGGAGAGGAGGCAATATACTTATACTCCTTGGAGTTGGGATAAAGTTATGTGCATGCATAATTATATAAACTGATGACGAACCTCAGCCAATCAAGATAGTTATATACCTGCATATATGTATACGTATGCACCTGGTCTACTACTACTGGGAGTCGGAGCATATTGCTATCGTTATAGCATTTCGCCTCGTAACTACTTTGCCTTCTTTTTAGGGAAAAAAAAAATAGTACACACGATGTTCATATACAATACAAGTCCACACTCATGTCTCAATTCCCATAAAAAAACTCGTACAAAACAACAAAGTCGATTTTCGAAGGGGGTATACATGTTAGAAGACATTATAAAATATGTATCCAGCAACAAATCTAAAAGCTGGGCTCAACGCTAAACCAGGGAAAAGCAGAACTCATCGTGTACCAGCAGTAAGGTTGCGTAACGCCGTCGGTCCTTGAAAGCCTGTAGTAGAAACCCCTACATTTTGCATCTCCATATCCTGCCCATCTCCTCCCAAAGCGTTGCCCTTTTGCCGACTCCGGCGCTCACCGAACCGTTGATCTCCCTCCTCAAACCGGTGCTTGAAACGGTAATAGGTCGGTGGCCGCGGACGACACAACACCACTACCCAGTTCTTCCACATGCTTCCTTGCGTGAATGCCCGATATCGATCCTTTTTCAAGAATTTCTGCGAGTTTAGGAATTCCCTGGTAGTCTCCCCTCTAGCCATTAGGAAGAGATGATATCCCATCAAGGCAGCCGGGTAGATAAACCCTAAAATTCCATAGATAACCATAGCGAAAGGAACCCGGAAATGGCTGACAGCCACCCCGAACGAAACATGTTCCTCGTTCGAGAATACTAGAACCTGGGCAAGTGATGCGGCAATCAAGTAGACCGAGAGGATGGTGGCCGTAGTCAAAAATGTAAAAAAATATCGGTAATTACGTCTCCCCACACAGTTATTGATCCATACGCAATGATGATCCTGAGTTTCGATACAGTTGTCGCATAGGCGACAGTGATGGGCCCGTGGAGGACGCCAAAGATTACACGTCTTGCAATATTTCGTTGGAACCTCCATAGCCGCAGTGGTCGACTCGGCCGACTTGATTAACGTCCAAGCATTTGTTGGGGGTGCCAGACGCAAAGGGTCCTCGTGCTCGTCCATGGGAGGAAACTGATGGAGATTTCGCGGTAGAATCTAATTAAAACTTTGCGTCAGCATCGCGATGCAGGAACGGCCACAATATGGACTCTACTTACCCCCGGATCTGAACCCGACGCATGCAAGAAGGATGAGATACATATGTAGAAAAAATAGGCAAAGAAAACAGGGACAGCGGGCGAAACATGGTGCCACAAGTAGGGTGCGGAGAACGCGAAGAAAAGGATGGCCGGTAGAACAACCAGGAAACCAGTCGCTATATTTATAGGCCGATGGCGCGTATTTTGGAGACGACCACCAATGCAAAAAACAGTATTGCCCTCAAAATATTCGTGGTTATAGCCATGGCCCAATGTCTTCTCCTTAATCGCCTTGGTTCTAGAGGGCGGAGCATCTGTTGTGGCAGGAGTGAATTGAGGGGAGGATGCTCCAGAGCTCAATTTCTCAGCACCATGCGTATTACGATTCGCGGGAGCGGTCGTAGATTCGCTTTTACCTGGCAAGAAAAGGTTTGACCTGAAAGAACGTGGTGATTTTATAGGGCTTGGTAGGTTTCCGCCGACCCCGTAGGCTTTAGTCTTACCAACATCGAGAGTAAGACCCTTTTCTTCAGCTTTCTTACGCTGTAACGGGCGTACGCTCTCAGTGAGACTGCCAGCAGGGTAATGGCCACGGGTTGGGCTCGTTGTCGCAGTAATACGGTCGTACGGTTCCGTAACCTCGGTGCCTCTAGAGGGAGGTGGTGGGAGGTCGCCATCATCCGTCATATGACGCACAAGTCGAGCTACAGGCCTCGAAGCAGTGGTACCTTGTGGTGCGACGTGGGATTGGTCTTCGTCCGGTACATCTTCGATACTCGATCGACGCTGAACACCAGTGGTAGGGCGCGATGCGCCTCGCTGTGCCTGCAGTTTTTGGGAACTCATAGGATGGAAGAAAGCATGGGATGCTAAAGGGACGTGGCTTCGACTGGTGGAGCTGGCTGGGCGGCCACTGTTGATACTACCGCTCAGACTGCTACCTCTTTGCAAGCCTTTCCTCATAGGTGTTGTTTGCGACCAGGCTCCTCGTGATGAGGACATGCCGGTCCTTGCGGTCCCGGGGCGTGACTCGGTGGCGCGAAAACTCCTCCTTTGACTTGCGTTTGTCCTTGTCTGCTCTCGGGTAGCCCCGTCGCCATCTTCGGACGCGATATCGGTCATCCGTGACGAGATGATACTTGGAGGACCGGCGGGGAATTTAGGACTTGGAAAACTATCCGCGTCATCGTCGGGCAAAGTTGGACTCGTCGGTGACTGGTTTGCAGCCATAATAAAGTCGCGATACTAAGTCGAACCGTTTACGAGTATTCAACTTCTGTACAACTACATCCTACAAAAGCACCTCTATGTAGAACGGGTGGTTTAGTACAGGGCTTACAGGACGTTCGTTCGCGATCTCGATAGAACCCGTTCCTTGGCGATTGACTAGAGGACCGCGATTTATGAAATAATGCCGTATGGTCGATAATAGATACTTGTGTTATGGCTCTCTATCCACGAAAAAAAGAGGGACAATCAGTTCGAGAGATGACGTCGAGAGGATGGTAAAAAACTTATAAAAAAAGGCGGATCGTTCGTCTGTCCAAAGTAGGAAGGCCGGTGATATTTAAAGAGCGTGTCGATAGTAATGGATTTTTTCCCCTGTCGAATTTATCGCATCTGCACAGCAGGTGTATTGTCGCGTTTGAGTCGCTAGAGGGTATTATTGTAAGCGTAAATGGAATTGATCAGAAGGAAAAGGGAAAATTAGATAAAAAGAAGGACAGTAAAGTTGGGTCGAACTAGAGGGAGGGTGGTTGCGGTAATGTCTGCAATGTTGGCGACGACTACGAGACGAGATGAGATGAGGTGATGCAGTAAAAAAGGTAGAAAGATACAGTATGATGGGCTGGATTTAGAAATCTAATCTAAAGGGGGCTTGTCGCTTGTCTTGCATAAACCCGACCAAGCCCTCTTTCGGCCTTCCCCATGTAACCAACCAACCTACATAAGCAAATACATATGTAAGCTTATGCACAATTGTGTGTACGTACCGCGATACTTATGTACGGGAGGAAACACTTACAATTATTGGTGTACCTATTTCGTACCTTTTCTATATAAAAAGCTGTGTGACATATATGCAGATAAGTATATTTTTATGATTGATTTACTCCATCATATGCTCAGCCTCCCGAAAGTATTCTATAGGTACATATATATCTAGAATATGCCCGAGTACATGTAACTCGTATCCAATGCAAGTACAAACATTCATTGTATTGAAGAAGACCGAGCCACATCAATATTGCGATGCGTTCGGTAAAACCTTGACGTGCATAAATCTCGTGCGCAGGTTGGCAATTCCAAGGGCATGACATAAGGTATCTGACTGTATAGGTAGATATACAAGCGCATCGTATATTACATAATTTACATAAAATCAGTGCCTTAAATATGAGGTATTAAAAGTTGCCAATTAATAACTTCTCTGATTGGTCAATGTAGCCTTAGCAGCTTAGAACACCAAAGTTGCTTGCATCGTATGTTCTCTTCATCAAAACTTCCCCAGAAACCTATCGCCCAACCCATTGTACCTTCGACCGACCGCTAAGAGAACCCCAAATCCGATAAAGCGCAACAACATCCTAGTCATGGCGTCTATAATCGCACGAAGAGCCTTGTCCCAGAGGGCGTTCTCTACTACCACCCGCCGGTTGGCTGCTGACCCAGCCCTCAAGGAGGAGACGAAGCGCAATCCCGAATTGATGGTGCGTCATACCCGAAAACCCGATTGCTTCCTTACTTAAGGAACGACCATATATCTTTATTCATATCTGCGTCGACTTAATAGCGGATACAACATCAACATTTTTATATACTAACTAGACTTGTTCATAGATTCTAGGAGGTGTTATGGTTTTGGCTCTAGGTGGTGCCGGTCTTTACTTCGGTATGGCTTCTACTCTCCTTATTTCTAAGAATGAAACCCCATTCCAGAATTCCATTATCATTCAAAAGCTAACAAATTATCCCCCAGGCCGTTCACCCACCAAATCGACCTCCGAAGCCCCCGTTGGCATGGCCCAGTCAGGTATGCCATGGGAAACCGGTGCGACGGAGGGCAAATATCGATACCACCCTGGTGGTGACCCTCAAGCTGCTCCTAAAGACGCCCCCAGCGCTGTCAACGTCGTCGTCATCCCCGACGTCAATTTGCCAAAGGTATTTTGCAATACACAAGCCATACCATCTCGATGATGTTCTACACAAGATCGCGATTTTTAGGCTAACTATCATATCAATAGCATCTTCACGATAAATACAACAAATGGGGCAAAGACGGTTACTAGACATGTCCCCTTTGAGGTGGCACCCGAATCATTCCATATGTTATTGCGACCGTAAAAAAATGGCGCGGTATCTCCAGCTTGACTGTACATAATTAGAAAATTATCACACAGCATAATGGTATTGTTATTAAGGTTCTCCGGGTTGCTAGGCCGTCGTATCGAAATAATCCTGAAGGGCTTTTGCTCGTTTACTCGCATATTATCTGAACTAAATACCCTCTACGTATTGTTTATTTTTGTGTGTACGTAACTATCGATTCCTTTCGAGGTCTGCACGATGCCTAATTGAAGCTCAATATAGATGCGATACGAATAAATCAGCATCGTTATTACAAAGCGAAGCCTACTGCGGTTCAAGCACAGTAGAACACATTGGAAAAAATTGTCTCATAGCCCCGTTATAGCCAAAGTACTAGACGTCATGATTCCCTGGCTCGCTCTGCAGTGATCCGGATGTACCATCAAAATAGAACAGAGCTATGCGAGTATATGTGCGTGTATGAAGCAGCAGCATCAGCAGCATAGGTCAGACGTACCTACCTTAGTACCGCTCACGCCGTCAGCAAATCGACCTCCTCGCTAGTAAGTCCAAATAGATACAGCAAGTCAACCAAATTTTCACCATTCAGTCGGGCATTAGCCTCCAGCTGCACCCTCGGTTTTGCGTTCCACGCCACCCCCAAGCCCGCTGTCTCGAGCATCAATAAATCGTTAGCCCCATCGCCAACCGCCACAACTTGCTCAAGCGCAACCCCTTCCTTCTTGGCAATCTCAAGAAGCAATTCTTGTTTCCGTTCCCTCCCTACAATACGACCCTTAACTTCGCCGGTTAGACGTCCAGAATCATCAATTATAACTTCATTTGCGTAGGCATGATCAATTCCTAGTTCACCAGCCAACCAACCTGTCAGAGGTAAAAAGCCCCCCGACAACACCGCTGTTTTGACGCCCAGCTTCTTAAAAGCTCTCAGCAATTCTGTAACTCCTTTTGTAACATTCAATTCCGGCCGCAATTGTTCGAAGATTGTTGCTGGAAGTCCCTTCAGTAGAGCGACTCGTTCTCGGAAGGCTGCATCGAATTCTAACTCCCCCAGCATGGCCCGGTGCGTGATATCTGCAACCTTAGCAGCCAAATCTGGCGGATCGGTGATAGTTGCAGCCAGTAAGTCAATGACCTCTTGCGTGATTAGAGTGCTGTCCATATCGAAAACGACTAGGCGTGGATAACGTCGCCACAGCGTGTCGTGCTGCAATACGACGTCGACATTCCATTCCCGCTCGAAGCGGTAAATAAGCTCGTGCTTCCGCAAATCCGCCAACGACAGATAGTTCGGGAACGGCGCCGGGGACAAGGTCAACTCGACGACGAGAGGGTGCTCCGGGTCATCGAGGCAACGATGAGAGGAAGTGGATTCGTCAACAGTTCGTGGGAGAGGGAAGGTCGACATGAGATGGAGAAAAGAAGTGACACATAGTGGGGAGATGTATGAGCCATAGAGGTGGTCAAGAGGCTCGGGCTCGGCAGCAGCAGGTGGTTCGAGAGGAAAGGATTCGATACTAGTTGTCGGGGCGAGATTCGCGGGAATATCGGAGTTAGATGAAGTGAGTCTCGGGGAGGGGCTGACACGGGGAAGACGGGCCGCCGCGGACTTGTAGATCAAAGTAGCAACCAGCTTGTGCGACCTGGTGCCCCGGGTGGGAGCGCAGTTTGGATGGGTGAAGTCGTGACTAGCGCCTTCAAGTATGCGCGGCGGATCGTCCTTAGAAGGAACACCATTGAAGGGGCTGAAGTTTTTGGGAGGAGATATCCTAGAGCTTTGCAAGTCTTCGACAACTGTGTCTATGCCGAAATGGTTATCGGGATGTTTAGGGGGACGGTACTGCTGATGCTCTTTGAGATAAGAACTAGTCCTCATAGAAGACAACTGCGGTCGACCGGAAGCCTGCTTCGTGGAGCTGTCATCTGCGGCCATGATAGCAATGTATTATGTGCTTCGGAGGGAACGGGTTGGGAAGTAGTTTAAGAAAAAAGAACCAAATAAAGGATACAAATTGACGGTGGTGGGTTATAAATATGTAAAGAGGTAATATATAATAATAATAATAATAGGTATGTATAGTAAATGGTAACGAGTGATTTTAAAATTTCGTAATTAGGAGGCTGCTTACAGAATCCCCAGAGTTCAAAATTCCCTTATAGAATAGAAATCGAAGGCCGTTATAAGAAGAAATTCGAAATCCGAGGTCCCTCAGGCAAGTAGAGGTGATACGAACGTATAGAGCATAAAGCATAGAGCGTAGAGCGTATCGAGCGTATAGAGCCTCTCCCTCTTGCAAAAGGAATGAAGTTCTCAAATTGCGCGGGGTGTTGTTCTTGGTGTGGGGAAAGACAAAGGTGAAATCCAACCGTGTTGAACCGTTCCTGGTGGCTGGGTCTCAACTAGGCCTGTCATTGGCTAGAGACTTTAACAGTCACACGTTTTTGGTTAACGGTGAAGCAAAGGTGAATTTTTGCGGCTCGCCCTCTCCCGAAGAACTACCGTCAGGTCGGTTACATTCGAAACATTTAGGAAATCCGTTTTTACATAACCTTACCGTATAGTCTAATGTGTCTAGATGTATACATTGTAGCCAACCACGACGTTTAGAATAGAATTTAGAATTCTTATGTTTCCACTCGACTCCAGAGAAACAAACTAGAATTGTGTACAAAAACAGGCGAGCATGAAATTTATGAGAGAAGGAGAAAAAAGGTAAAGAAAAAAAAGAAAAAGAAAAAGCTTGTACCCCAGAATCTAGCAGGGTCTGAAATGCAGACCATAAATATAGGAATGGCAAATGTAAATTTGAATGACATGTACAAGGTACCCAGATACATTTATACATACAAATGTATTTTTAATGTTATTTAATGACCGTTTAATGCTTGTTTTATAATAAGATGGGATGGGTCCACAATTAGATTTAGATTTAGATCTAGAGAGAAAATAGAGGAAAAAGGAATGCAGAATTTAAGGGTGGGATGCTATTTCTGATGCGGCTATCGGCCCCGATGAACCGTTCAGGCGGCTCTTTTTTAGCCCATTGCAACATTGCAACATTTGCAACCTCATACCGAGACCCGGATTTATTAACTTGCTTTTCCGTTCTAATTTTCAACCTATTTGACTATTCCGACAACCGTTATCAAATTCGCAATGCGATCTAACAATCACGACATTGTTTTTCCCGACTCGTTATGAGACTTACAAATCAGATTTAGATTTTCAGATTTCAATTAGACTTCCATAACATTATACCGCCGGACTCGTGTCCCTGTGTAGTACCTCGAATACACCATATCTAAACAAGCAAACGGTGCATATGTACTGTAAGTCTCTATTGGCCCTGATGTAATACTTCTACATCGCGCCATCGTCAATACGCTCTGATACAATACAATTCGATCACTAGAGAAGTGAAAAGGTGAAACGTCAATATTCTATCGGCGACTCTTCGAGGTGATTAAATACGTAGCACAGACATACCAACATGCGAACATCCAAACATCTAAACCAAACTAGAAAGAAGGAGGAAGCCCAATACAGATCTAGACCTTCTTAGCCATCAGTCGCGTGCTTAATACGAACCCATTGCATACGAGGGACGTACACCCTACAGCACATGGCTGGCAGTAAAGAGCAAGTTTGTGTATTTTCAATCATGAATCTATACTGGACGGTCTACATGTGTACATTGACCAAACAGGGGGTATCCGTGCAAGTCGATGGCATCATTCTGGGGATCTAAAGTGTTGATAATTTTCCTCGGTAAGGAGGGCCTGATTTCAAAACCACCTAATATGTGATGATGGCGTTGTTGACAAATAAAGAAATAGAGATCTCAAAAGAGAGAGAGGGAGAGAGAGAAGAAAAGAGAGGGGGTGGGGGAGAGAAAAAGGGTGTTTAGATTCTGCAACATTTTCCTATTCTTTAATGGTAAAAGTTACGACAAGTTCTCACGTTGCCACATGTACCTATAAACATGGATGAAGTTGAATATGAAAGTGAGCCGGACCAGAGTCATCGGGATCTCCCTACGGCTGTTCCACCCGAAGAGAAAAGGGGGTCAGGTATTTGGCCAATCAGTAAGTCGACTGTGTTGCCGCGACTATACTAGCGTCGATGTCGTGATCAGTGTCTAAAATTTCTAAGATGCTTTGATGCCTTGGGGGCTCCAGTCCGCCGCTCGTCGCCTGTAAAATCTCATCTAAGCTTGATCGCGCAATAACCCCAGCCCCATATGAGACAACTCTACAACGCTTCGAACCCGGTTCCTGTACACTCACGACAGCCCGAGAACCGGATTAGTCATGCTGTCACCGACCAAAGCTATCCAAATACAACATACCTCCTTAGTTTCGGGCACACTACTCAGTTACAACATGGAGGTAGGCAAGCAAGTACCGATTCAGACAGTGGACTTTCCTTTGTCGCTCCTTATAATCCAAACTGCATCTCTGACGCTTTTCCCCATACTGAATCTCTCGCCCTCGCCTATCCTCTTTCTCTACCTTGCCCGACTTCTTTGTCGTCATTCATAACCCTCATCCTAGTGATTCTTTGGTGACTCGTACTCGTGCTACCCACATATTAATATTTGGAGTTTTGCCTTCGCTGCGAACTCCTCTAAAACCTAAGTTCCCACGAGATTTGGGTAAAAGAAAATCCATCACATCAAACCTACTCCCCTTCCAGCAAAAATGGAATCATCTTCGAGTTCACCTAACTCTTATTCCCCTCACCTCATACCCAAAGATCATCCGTCCGGTGCCGATACAGAATCCGGATATGCTTCAGCAACATCATCAACAGCAGGATCCTCGAGTAACCTGCCTCAGGTGACACTCACCCGACCCCATATCAAGTACCTCAACGAGCAACTAGAAAAGATGGACGCAATGGGTAGGCTTCGTTTCGTCAAGATTTGCTTTCCCAATTTATATCAATCCACCGCCTTTGGCTTGACCGGCCTAGTATCCACGGATATGCTTTCCAAGATTGAGAAGGAATCCCCGCATTCCGCACCTGTCGACCTCATTTTTCTCGATACTCTTTACCACTTCCAGGAGACCTACGATCTCGTTGACCGCGTTAAAGAGAGATACCCGAATGTCCGTGTCCATACGTACAAACCGCACAAGGTTAACACTGCTGCCGAGTTTGAAGCGCGGTATGGCGTCAAACTATACGAGACTTCGGCTGAGATGTACGACTGGACTGCTAAGGTCGAACCCCAACAAAGGGCTTACTCCGAACTGAGCGTGGCCGCTGTGCTCACGGGCCGGAGACGCTCCCAAGGGGGTGAGCGTGACAAGATTGGTGTCCTAGAGGTAGATGAGGAAACAGGGATTGTAAAGATTAACCCCCTTGTGGACTGGTCATTCACTCAAGTTAAGGAATACATCACGAAGAATGACGTGCCATACAATGAGCTACTCGACAGAGGGTACAAATCCGTCGGGGATTGGCATTCGACGTCGCCAGTCTCAGCAGGTGAAGATGAGAGAGCCGGTCGATGGAAAGGCCAGGCCAAGTCGGAGTGTGGTATCCACAACAAAAAGTCGCGATATGCGCAATACCTCCAAGATCTTCAACGAAAAGCCGAAGAGGAACAACTTACTGCGGCGCTCGAGAAGGTAGAGAGGGAGCAAAATAGCGAGGTTTCCGCATAGAAGTTAAGTCCCATGGACTAGTAGCCTAATAACAGCTAGGCGGGCGGCGAGATAGGGCATTTACGGCGCTTTGTTGATTATATGTTGGGGTTGCATGTTTATTTCGATGATTGGGAACCATGCAATGATTACTTCCCCCCTTATCTTCCACCCTCATGGAGAGGATATAGCATTGGCGACGGCGTTTCGGTGTATACGATATTCCAACAATAAGGAATTCAATGCATGGCATTTCGAGATTGATGGGTAAACAGGCATAATGATGGGTCATATACTAGCAATAAAAAGGAAATATTGCAACCATACAATTGAATCTTAGAATTAAAATTTCAAAATAAACATAGTTAAATATCGTCACGATAATGAGGTGGTAATCATTGTTTTCATTTATTGATGAAAAAAATGATAGAGTGAGCGATGTCCGTTCCCCTACCCCGGGAGCTGAATAGAACATCGGCGGATCGGATTAGCCCCGGGCTCAGATCGATGCGGGGAATCACGTCAAGGTGGATATAAATGTAGGTGGTTAACCTATGCCCCCTTGGGTAAGGTGCGTAAATACGTGGACCTTCGAATATTGACTTTGACTTTGACTTTGACCCCATATGTGTACGTTCTTGAGGTTTCTTTTTGGCATAAAGTTGTGAAGGGTAGAATAAATATCACCTAAGAAATTCAAGGAAGTGATTCGCCTATAAAAAGGGAAGAATATTAAAGCAGTTCTTCCCTATATATCCTTCTTTCTTTTTTTTTTTTTCTTCCTCCATGCCAAGCCCAATAAGTTCTCTTGGTAACAAGTTAAAAAGGTAATTTACACTGTCCAAAGACCTACCCAGAAAAATGTGCCCAAGTCTATGTACTTTACTGAGTATGTCCAGAAGTGACGGCGGGTTTCTCGCGGGTCTCTTCTCAAGTCTAGGCACATAGGCGTAGGTCTTCCGGATAAGTCATTCCCCATTCAACTCATGCGCGCCTCCTCCCTACCAATATTATCCATGATTACCTGATCAAGCCCATACACATATAATACCCTGCATTACTAGATATTTCCGGCGTCGTGTTGGTAGTCTCATTCTGGGTCGGGTATGATTGGCTTTGTTTCGGGAGTGGACGTCTCTTCCGGCCCACCTTGTTGGTCCAAGGCCGCTTCCAGGCCGCTAAATAGATCGGGACTTTCAGGTTCGTTCTCCTCTGCTCTTTCCGGCGGAGCGCCCTCGACCTTAGTGTCAGAGGAATCTAAGGCGGATGGATCGCTTGCGGCTGCAGGAGCCGAATTCGATATTTGTGGTTCATGTTCTGTCGGTACGCTTGCGGATGTTGCGGACGCAACTTCATCGATGGCTTGCTCGGAATTTGTGATTTCAACTACGGCTGTCGGTTGTGGCGACGACTTATGCGCTGATAAAACGTTTTCAATTTGGACCGAGTCTACCTGCGGCGTGTGACCCGTCGTCGTAATATTTGATTGTAGAATTTCGGTTTCTGCTTCAGCTATTGGCTGGACCGTTCTATCAACATGCTCCTGGTAAGGAACACCTGACATTTCCACGTCCATATCAGCCCCCCTAGAATCTGTAGTCGTAGGTAGAGGTGCTTCTGTTAGGGTACTTGGGACGGGGGTCGATCCTGATGACATTGCCGACGAGAGGGTCTCGGTCGGCGCGATAAGGCCCGCGGGTGCTTCATCATTTGAAGCCGACTTCGACATCGGGTCAGTGGGTGATGCGGCGGCTACGACATTTTTAAGTGGACTTCCCTCAAATTGCGAGGAAGTATGTTGTAATTGAGGATAGCTTGGAGAAAGACTAAGAATAGAAGGAGGAGAAGGTTGTTTTGCAAATGGTAGCCCGTCTCCGGTCGAGTTGTCTACCAAAGGTGCTTCTGTGGAGGATTCCATCTGAACAGTTGTTGGGGGGGCTTCTACTATGCGATCGGGCTTGGTTTCGCTTTCGGCTCGAAGAGCTGTTCCACCTTCACTGTCGGGCATTTCGCTACCTTCTTCGTCCCCATCATCGCCGTCCTCGCCATCCTCGCCATCCTCCTCCCCATCATCGCCGTCGTCGTCATCGGCCATCCCGCTGTCTTGGTTTTTATTCATGTCGGACTGATCGTCCGGTTTGGCGTCCTGATAATGGTTAATATATCATAGTATATTGGCGACAATCGGTGCCAACTTACGCTGTTTTCTGTATTGCTTGGCTTGGTGCCATTCGAAACAACGCCTGCGTTTGGATTTGCTGTTTCGGGCCGAGTGCTTGCCGGTAAAGGAAGCTTCTTCTTCCGTCCCCGACCAGGGCCCTTGGGCTTCCTTTTTGGCGGAGGCGGTCGTCTTCGCACCGGCGTTGGGGTAACAGACGCATCCGTATTTGCAGCGACATTAGGCGCTGGTACCACAGTGGTTGAGATGATTTCCCCATCCACCTGCTGGCCTTCGTTTAGTGTGATCTCTTGTGTGTATGGATTTCCCGCCGCATCGATGCGGCGTACGGTGGCTTTCATGATGGTCGGACCAGAAGATGCACCGGCTGGAAGATTTGATGATAATGTGATGACACCCTTCCTCCTTTTGGCAAGGTGCGAAAGGGTTGGGCCTTCGGCATTTCGGGCGACCTGCTTCCAGACTTTTACTTGATAACCTTTAGTGCTTGGGTCTTCCTCCTTCTTGTCAGCTTTCTCGGCCAAGGCTGCATCAGGATCGACTTCCTCCTCTTCGACGGGTGCGGGGCGTTTATATAATCTCCCAGAACGAGCTGCTCTCAGCAACTCCTGTGTATGTGTTGGCAATAGATGCGAGTCTTTGGGCATGCCATGCGGGAGTTCAATTGCCCATATGTCGTTTTTTTGAGTTGTTTCTGGTGGGGGTGGCGGCGCGATCTTCACCCATTCTTGACGCCATTGTCGAACGGGCAGACCTACGAGGACAATATCAGACAATGGTTGTTCTTTTTGTGACGTGAAAGCGAAGGAGAGAAGGGGAAATAGCTTCATACCCTCAAAATCGTCATGTTCAACATAGCCACTTCGATTTCCACGTCGCGTTTGGGTATTTGGGCGAAACTGTATTTTGGTGTAATGTTAGTTAATCCTGGTAATTGGGTAAAACAGAAGAGTTTTTATTTCGCACATTTGGAGCCATTGAGAAACCGAGCGCGCGACTCAACGGCGTCAACTTGTTGGGAAACGAAATGAACGAATTGAAGTACGGAGAGCGATGCGATCGAAGAGCCAATGACTTGAGCGAACGGTATAGAAAGTACCGAGAACCGGAGATGGAATATCTAGTTAATCCAAGAAAAAAAGCAGAAAAAAAAAAGAGAGACTGGATTTTAAGAATAGATGCGACGCAAATCAAAAGTGATTATCGCATCTCTGCATGCAATAGGATCGGTTTAGGTACATGTATGCGTTGCGCGTGCGATGGAGAGTTATGAGAGGTGAGAAGTGCGCGCCGACAAATGAGTTAGCTGAGAACCATTACATAACGACGTGGTCCGAGCACTTTTGGGAGCCCCACATATATGCATTTTTAAGTACGTCCAAATGTTACGGAGTACATGTACACGTACATACATGCATATAGATTGAGTACCTAAGTACCTAAGTACCCCTTACATACATGCATACTCGGAAGTTTATAGATATGTCCCTTTGACTGCTACGAATTAATGTCTACGTATGACAGATATCCGTTTTTTTTTTACGGGCTTATATTTAGGTACTAGCGTATATAGAGCGGTGATGAAGTGGTGATTACGTGCGGAGGGCAGATGATGTGCAGGATGGGATAGCTTAAGTTTCCCTGCCGGATCATACAGTGACTTTTGCTCGCAAACCAGCTGGTCAGTTCTAGATCCATAATATCCCTATAACCGATCCATAGATATCGAAACTTTTGCCTAGTCTCATAGGCTTCTCATCTTCGCGAACCTTAAGTACCTCCTGAGGATAGAAGGCCAGATGCCATAAGATCGAATGTCAATCGCGCGCTTGGTGTACAGTAGCGTTATAATAGTACAGGGCGAGTGAACCTCGTGAGAGGGATATGCGAAGGCAAAATATACCCCCTGATGTTTACGTGTCGGTATATGCATTTAGTCCCATCTATCAAAGTCAGCAGTGGTCCCTCCCTAATATACAACCAGAGGGTTTGATCGTCCTCACCCTGTATCTTTCTGTCTCGTGATATCTCCAGATTTCCCACTTTGCTTGCCCTGTCATCATGGTTAGTAACGGAGACAGTTTTCAAATCTTGGAACCTGTGTTGAACCCGTGGACAACATACTGACATTCCCCCTTCCACCACCAACCGATCAATTTGATAAAATTGACTAATAACTGTTTGGCGCTGCGAAATAGAAGTAGGTTCTCGTCAGCATTACTATTCATGATGACGACCCGCACCGCAGCCCGACCAGCTGTAAATAATGGGGAGCCCGTACCTTCATCGTTTGTAGTTCTTTGAGGCCTTTTTGTATAAGACTCTGGACTTCTCTGGGATCTTGCACAGCCTGATTCTCCCGGAAGGCATCTCTCGTCCGTCGCTTCGCGTATTCTCTGAAGTTGTAGGCCTCGAATTGTTCGCCTTGACGTAGAAGCTGTCGATACTGGAGTGTTGTGATGCGTCAGCACACAATTACGAAATTGAACGGCGCATGTCACAATCTCCGGGCCGCGGGACTACTGATGCGCTGAGGGGTGGTTAAACGGCTAGAGAGACAGGTTACTAAAGGAAATATTGCCTTACCAAGGATCGAGCTTGTTGTGGCAGGTCGCCTTTGAGGGCGGAAACAATGGACATTGCCGATGCGCTAAGTAGCATAAATGGCCGAGGTCGGTTCTAACTTTGTATTTCCTGGGAGTGAAGTAAGGAACCTATAGATGTTGGTTTGCTAAACTGTAGTTGGAAGAATTCGTGAATGGAAAGGATGCGAACGAAAGATGATGCAACCGATGGCGAATTAGTAACTGTGATGTTCAATGTCTTGCAAGGTAGCCTGGTAGCTTCTTTTCTTTTTCTTTCTTTTTTTTTTTTTTTAAAAAAAAGGTTGATTGCTCGGCAAAAAGATACAATCGGCGCCGAGCACCGATCGATTTCTCGGCCTCAAACACTCAATGAATTAAAAACTAAGCGTCGCCTCGGAGTTATCAAGCTTATCTAATATATCGGTATCCAATGAGGACAGGTTGATTATGTGGCCTTATTGTGGGGACAATACGGCATTCATCCATTCATCTTCAACAGCACCGAGGTTAAAAATATACGACAGGTACAGGCATGTACATCTAGGTACCATGTGGATCGAGACCCGGCGAGTTTATGTCACTGCAATTGCCTAGGTACCTATGGTATTCTTAAGGCATGGGGGGATGAGACGGTCGGATATTATTTTTGTGAGCCTATTGATCTGCGGTATGGTACCTGTCTAGGTCGTACTACTGCCAACGAAAACCGTAGAATGGCCTCCCAATATATAGCGTATGTAGAACTTTGTTGTGCATCAGTTCGGATTCCGATATTCCGAAAGCTGTGCGGTTTCGAATAGAAGCTTATTTTTCCTCGGGCTTGCTCATTCAGCTTAGGTATCAAGAAATAGTGTTCGGTTTCAGGATCCTTATTTCACAATCACACCCGTCTTCTGTTGCCATTCCGCTATAGCGTCATCAAATGCTACCAGGTGCTCCTCTATTCTTCTCGCTTGATATCTCGTCCTATCCTCCGGGTCGAATTCAAGTTGACCTTCATCATTCGCCTCGTGTTGGCCAATCTTTCGTTTGGGGAGATGGATATTATCACGGTGCCGTTGGAAGTTCTCATTGAAACAACGGGACGAGCAGAAGACGGAGGGAACGCCGAGAGTTTCTACGCATTCTCTGCAAAATACTAGAACGGCGACACCCTCGTCCATTTCCACGTCTTCGTCGTGAAGACGAACGCAGCCTTGGTCTGAAGCACATTCGTGTGTTGCGCTCATATGTAGTTCCTATCAATAATGAGCATACAAATCAGATAGTCTAAGAAGTCGGGGGGTTAGCTGACATAGCACTCATCCTCGCACTCCTGTGAGCAAAATATCACGGGTTCAATTTGAAACCCGTAATGATCGCTAAGTAGTTGGCATAAGGGACATATAAAAAAATCTTGCGCATTAGGGGGGTTCGAGCAGGCGGAGCAAGGCGAGAGGTCGTGTTGGCTATTGGAGGGTACGGCAGCTCTAGCCCTATCCTGACGAGCTTTATCTCTCCGTGCTTTGTCGAGCTCGTGAGCTGCTTTGGCTCTTTTTAGTTCCTCAAGCTTCTTGTGAAGTGCTTGCTTTTGGTCCTGATCACCCTTGGCCGAATGACGATCGCGAATCATGGCACTTATTACCTCGACGATTGGTGTTCCTTTTCTAATCAACTCGATGTACTTTTGTGACTTTTTAACACCAGAGGGATCATGTTCAGGTTGGAAGAAGATATTTATATAGGCCTCGTTTCGCGCTTGGGTCGACTTCTCCGCCAGTCTTAAACGCTCCACGAAGCCGTCGAACGCCATTTGGTTCTGGATGAAGCCATCACTAAAGGCCTCCCTCAGTTCCGAGGCGAGTTGGTCCACTGGAATGCTCCGGTCGCCGATTCTCTGTTGCAGAGCTCGTTCCTCAGATGGGGATTTGGTCGCATGCTGGAGCCCCATGTTCTTCACTTTGTCTCGGTACCATTCCTTCTTCTCATCAACTATACGCTGTTCGATAGTTTTTAGGTCGACCTCAAGGTTGTGAGCTTTGGAGAACAATGTATCTAGCTCGAGTAGAAAGGGCCGCCGGCCCGAAAACCACTCCTTAGAGGCAGAGTTCAAGTAACGATCTCTTATGCGGTTGAGTAGGCGAGTCCAGCAATCCGCGCACTCAATGGGGTGTTTCTTGCCATGCTCCTTAATACATGACGTTTGGATGGATTGTACGTCATCGGCGCAAAGTTTGTGCTCCTTCTTGAGGGCAATAACTTCATCCCATGGCTCTAACATGCTTCTAGCTATACCACGACCGATGCGGCCCTCGGTAGGCAATATGGATTTCTATAACCTCTTTATATTCTTTCGACCACCTATCGGAAGAACACGCCGTAGTGAACTTCTGAAAATAACTGAGAGGACCTGGGTGGGATCTGGTTCTCGGTGCGTGGTGGTGGGCGTTAGGTATGAGGTATCGCAACAGGAAAAACTCTCAGAAGAGTAAATGAAATTTTTTTTTTTTTTAATATGTTTTCATCAATACTCTAGTATCTACGTATGATGCATCGAGGTGAGAGTAATAAAGTTAGTGTGGTAGTTAAATTAGTTACTGCGGGTGATGCTGCAGGTCCACCCAGCCCCTGTAGGTCACAGCGCTAGTCCACTGTTGATTAAGATATATCCATGGCTCTATCTAATTGGATGAATGTGGATAAGTCTATACATACATATGTACCTAGGTACCTAGGTATGTGCCTAGCTGCTTACCTACTTAGGTACCTAAGGTAGCTGACCCAGCTACCGATCCCTTGCGTTTTTCTAGTCGTATAAAAATCGACATTCAAGCACAACTCTATCAAGTCGTACGGCACGAATCCCCCGAAAGAGCACATTTTATTATGGTTAGTTAAAAACATTCTCATACCAATATTCTACGTTGATTTAATCATATTATCAAAGCTAACAACGAACAGGCGGACAAATTACGTACGCAGCAAGAACTCGAACGACTCCAGGCCAAGTATGTCGGTACGGGCCACCCAGACACGACATCATGGGAATGGAGAACAAACGTCTCGCGCGACACATTCTCTAGCATCGTCGGCCACCCGCCCCAATTGGCTTATATCTCGCTCGCTCAGAATGAACCAGCCGCCAAAGTCCGAGCTCAACTTTTGCGAAAAATGATACAACCCTGCGGCCCACCTCCCCCGCGTGAAGGCGAGGAACCTGTGCAGAGATCCGCCCAATGATAAATGCAGACGCACGTCAAGGGGTTCGGGTTGGGCAGGACAGAAGGCACTCTTTGAAGTTTAGACGGAAGAGGCAGTGGAATATGAATATGAAATTTAATAGGCATAGCACGTCAGATTTGAAGGCCTAATGGGGTCACACCTCGAACGAATTATACTGGCATAGGTTTTATAATCATCACGGTCGAGGCCATCTAGTCTATTGGGACTCGATTTCCCGCGAATTCAACCTTTCATTCCTCGGGAATGCTATCCTCGACCTGAAACGGAGGATCCTGTATATTCAAGCTCCTTTGCAGCTTCGTGCTGAAATCATCCGGCAGTTCGCCCCAGACTTCAGTTACAACAGCAGCAATGCTCTCAGGTGGAACTTCAACCTTTCCCCGTGGCCCGACACACCAGGTGGTGGCGTCCTCATCCCCATCGCTCTTCTCTATCACCTTGTCCACATAACCCTGCCTTACTATCTTGTGTAAGACGTTGTCGGTCTTGTCCATTGGTAGGTTCTGGCTGGCATTTAGTCGGGTGAGATATCGCCTTAGCTTTGTGTCGCTTAGCTCTCCGCCGTTGAGTACGATGAGCGAAACGACCATGGTATAGAACCCAACGTATGCGGCCTCTTCCGAGGTACCTGGTATTCGCGACGGGGAAACGATGGATTGGGATTTGTATTCTCGCGGTAGAGTCGAAACAAGTATATACTGTCGGGAGGAAGCGGTCGTTTGTGAGGTTGCCTTTCTCGCATTTGCCTCTATAAGTTAATTAGTATGAGGCTTTAGGTATAGGTTAATGTATTGGGTAGTTAGGACGGGTGCTTACTCTGCTTCTCCCTCAGTGTTCGCTTTTCCTTGACGGGCAATTCCAACATTTCCATGCCGAAGATCCTCTGAAGTTCGGCTTGGGATTCTTCGAACACTCGCTTGAAGGACCTTGCATTGCTCCCCAGAACTGTACCTCTTTTTAGCATGCATGATTCTTGGCGGAACGAGATAGTGAATTCGTCCGTTTACCTTTGTCTCGAATGCCGTCTCTCCTGATAGGTATTCTTGCATATTCACACGCTAACGCGTACCGCACGAGCTTCTTGACTAGTTGGTCTTCTGTGCCGTTACCTGCCTTCTCCATATCTACGTCACCGTCTTGGTCATCTTCAGATGCTTCAGAATTGTCTGATTCATTGTTGCGGCGTGATTGACGACGGCGTCGATGCTCATCAACTTCGTTGTGATTGCCTGTTCTTCGTCGTTTCTGGGTCTGAGTCTGGGTCGGAGGCATATCGTTTAGGGAGTTCCCTCCCGCTTCATGAAAGTTGGATGATGAATTTTGGCGGGGAATCAATCAAGATTAGATCTTGGTCAATGTAGTTTTGGTTGTGAATAACTGTAAAATATGGAGTATCTTATTACATGTACAGGGCAAGGTAGGTAACTACACGACGGGTGATAGTGGGGGGGATGCAATTTCCATAACGCGTTTACAGGGCTACCTTAGGTACATATAAGCACACGCGTAGAGATACGTACATATACGTACAGAGCTCTTTATCGATAACGATAACCTACATAAATTTGTTGCCTAATCAGGAAATAGATTTTTTTTATTACAAAAAATGTAGAAGGAAAAAAAAAAAGATACAACTCTTCATATGAAAGAATAATACATAAAGACGATTTTAACGCAGAGAGATAAAAAATTAGAGCTGCGTCTACTCTTCATGATTGCTGCAAATGTTCCTGGTGGCGCTGTTTGTCTCAGATGCCAGTTACGTCTTCTCCGGCAATGTGCCCAACCCTCTCAAGCATCCAATCGCTTCTTCCGAGTTCACCGTCCAAGTCAACGTCCGAGTGTACGATATTTTACTAATGAATCGACCTCCCCCTACTTTCACCAGGACCAAACAGTCGAGTGGCAAGATGGGGAACCCGGAAATAAGAAGCAGGCACGGAGCAAGAGAGCACAAGGTTCTGAGGTTTATGGGGTGAAAAGATTAGGTGCTCCCAAGAAGCGTCTCTCGCGTAATCGGATTCTCACAGAAGATGCTGGTAATCTTGATTCTGATATGCTCGGTAAACCTGCATCCGTTATTATCATGAGGGATGGGGGTATGTATAAAAAGAAGGACCACACCCTTACCTCCGATGTGCTCTCTGACGAGCCTAATAACCCGCCTACCGATATTGAAGCTTTGCTCAACAGCCAACAAGAGCCGCCGACCGCCCAAGAAGTTCGTGATAATATCAATGGGTTGAGGCCTAAGACAGAGACAACCCTTTCAGCAAGAGAATTTCGCAAGCTACAAGCTTTTATAACAAATGGTTTCTTGAATGCTCAACTGGAGGATTATCTCCTCGCGCATTACGAGCAGGGCAATACTCCACATGAACCCCATAAAGAGGATGCTGCACCTGTCGACGGAGATAAAGATCAAGCCATTCAGTACAGCTGGATCAGCAATATCAGTCCATGGATACCACTAGGTAATCAGCCGGGCATTGCGGAGGAAAGTGATTCTACTCTGTATGGATACATATCAGACTCGGCTACCGTTAAGGAGAAGCTCGCTGTACGGATCATGCGTGAGTGCTGGGGGCTTTCGATTGCAGAACTTGATGCTGGGCTTGGTGAAACAAGAGTCAGAATTCAAACACGTGAATTTCAACTTTTAATGCGTACGTCTATTGCCTGCGCTTCCCCCCAAAAGAGCAACAGAGCGGGATTGCTAAACAATTAGTTAGGTGGCACTCGGAGATGGGTGAACCTCATTAGCAAGATATGGTTGGATCCCAGTGAGAAGATCGAGATAATACCGAAACATCACACACTGCGCTTCGTCACGACGAAAACAAAAGCCGCCACCTTAATGCAAGATTTAAACGAGACGCTCCAGCAAATTACAACCAAAACATTCTCAGTAAACCTGATCACCACCGAACCTATCGACGAAATGGTTCTAGAAGAAGTCGGCCGTATCACGAATACACACATTAGAAACAGTCACAATTCTCAACGGGTAAGCAACATCTTTCAATGAAACAGAGTTCTCTTCATATATATATACGCTAACCTTCTTCTCTTAGCTCCATGTTACTTGGATCGAGTTAAAGAAACGCGCTGCTCAGGGTTTCACCGTCCTAGAAGATCTTCGCGAAGTCGCCTTCCGTTTAATGCTTACTGCCTTCAATCCGCAACCGTCAACGACAACTGCTCTCTATATAGCCGCCTTATCAGCTGAAGAGGAGGCCTTGGGCCGGTTCATCACAGACGCAATAAGCAAGGAAAAGTTGGGCTGGAAGGAAAAGATGGGCCAGTGGGCCCGCTATATGCTTCCATTAACACTGCAGGCTACTAGTTCGGCAATGGCAATGCCGCCCATGAGACTTACGTTTCCCCTAGAACCATACGCGGGCTTGCCTGGACCCAGTGAGAATCAAGAGCCTCCTGAAGACCCGTGCTTTGCTGCCAATCCGGTGAAATGGGCTAGGGATCTTAGAGTGTCAACAACAGCCAACTTCGGTTACTTGCTACATGCAAATGACCTCTCAGCTTCCCCACCCCCTATACACAGTCTGCGAGCCGCCAACCACCCTCGTGTGTTTGTTCCCTGTGCGCCGCACCCACTCCATCTTGCCCAACTGGAAAGAAATAAGCAGGAAGCAACACACGTACTCGTACAAGCAAAGAATGTTATAGTTATACGTTTCTGGCCTTCCCCTACTCCCAAGGCTCATCTCGGAAGCGATCCGCGCGAGAAGACGAGAGAAACAAAGAAAAGCAAAAGGAAAGGCAGGTCATTTCCAATATCCGCAGCGTTACCGCCTATCCTCGAACTCCATCTTACTGTTTTGGGTGGCGAGGTCAAAGGTGTTGAGAGCTTGCGCGCCATCAAACAGTCCTGCGTCTCAGATGTGATGTTTCCCGCGTCCGCCGTCGATGTGCGCTTTACCCAAACGGAATATGCAATACTTGAAGGCAACCCCGCCAACCTGGCGATCTGGCAGCCATTGGCCGACTTCCTCGAACCCGCTCGCCTTGATCTAGAACGCAGTAAGCTCGAAACGCCACCGCGACAGAAATTCCCAATCCCAAGGCGTCTTTTCAGCCACTCGGATACGTCTACACCCGCGGTTGAATCCGGGTCTGAATCAGTAGATCCGGGGGTTCCTTCCCCGAGTTCCAATCCGGATGAGCTCATCAGCACTCAGTACACATTTGTTGGTTTAGAGGTTCATCGTTCCATCACAATGCCCTACGAGAAATTTAAGCTCAAGTATACTTTTATAGATGCACAGCGAGGTGGTGCGGGTAGAGCTGAAGTGAGCTTAGAACCTGAGGCGGGAAGCAGTATTTCTCCCATAAAGAATGATATGGATAAGCTCCATGATGAATTCCTAGTCGCCTGCCATAAGTTCGTCACTACAGACGAATTGTGGTCGGGATACTCAACTACTACAGCTAATCACAAGGCATATTAATTATACTATAGATATGTTGTATATATTCCACATGAATTAAAACCTTACTCACGGCCGCCTGTTTGGTCCACTTAAAACCATGTACTAAAAGTGAATGGAACTGTGTTTACATGCGAAGCGCGACTGCGCGAGTACGCACTAGAGGCAATTCTAGCTCCAAGTATTATATACCTAGGTAATTGTCTAGAGATATTGGTCTTGAACATTGATCGGTAATGGCGACCCTAAATTGATTAATTGTTTAGTTTGGTAAGCTCAAACCACTACGTCTGTCACGAATCACAGTCACCATAAAAGAAAGACGTGGAATCACGGTCTATGACTCTATTTTACTACAAGCACATGATGAGAAAGTTTTGTTGCGGAAATGCCCATAAACCCTTCCTCTCTCTCATATTGCGCTCCGAAGTCAAACGTCCCAGATCGTGTCATGAATGCAAAGGAAATTCGTGGAGGCGTTGGTCATGTCGTAGAGACCAAAGCAGTAGATGAGCCGAAGGTGTAATACATCCGGCAACTGCAGTCAGGTTTTTGGTGGTAGGCAAGTTTATTTCTTGCCAGTTGCCTTGGCGGCAGACTTGGTGACCTTACCGCTCTTGCTGCTCTTGTTCACAGCCTTGATGACACCGACAGCGACGGTTTGACGCATGTCACGGACAGCGAAACGACCTAGAGGGGGGTAGTCTGTGAAAGCCTCAACACACATGGGCTTCGAAGGAACCATCTTGACGATAGCAGCATCGCCGGACTTGATGAACTTAGGAGAGTTCTCAACGGACTTTCCTGTTCGTCGGTCGATCTTCTCAAGTAGCTCAGCGAACTTGCAGGCAATGTGGGCAGTGTGGCAGTCAAGAACAGGAGCGTAACCAGCACCGACTTGACCAGGGTGGTTGAGGACAATGACCTGGGCGGTGAAGTCATCACAGCCTGCGGGGGGGTCGTTCTTGGAGTCACCAGCAACGTTTCCTCGTCGGATTTCCTTGACGGAGACGTTCTTCACGTTGAAACCAACGTTGTCACCGGGGACACCCTCCTGAAGCTGCTCGTGGTGCATTTCGACGGACTTGACTTCAGTGGTGACACCAGCAGGGGCGAAGGTGACGACCATACCGGGCTTGAGGACACCAGTCTCGATACGGCCGACGGGCACAGTTCCAATACCACCAATCTTGTAAACATCCTGGAGAGGTAGACGGAGGGGCTTGTCCGTAGGGCGCTTGGGGGGCTCAATGGCGTCAATAGCCTCAAGTAGGGTCTTGCCGGTGACCTTACCACCCTTGCCTTCTTTCTCCCAACCCTTATACCAGGGGCAGTTGGTGGAAGCGGCCAACATGTTGTCACCGTGGAAGCCAGAAATAGGGACGAAGGCAACAGTCTTGGGGTTGTAGCCGACCTTCTTGATGAAGTTGGAGGTCTCCTTGATGATTTCGTTGAATCGATCCTCAGACCACTTAGTGGTGTCCATCTTGTTGATGGCAACGATGAGCTGCTTAACACCAAGGGTGTAAGCGAGCAGGGCGTGCTCACGGGTTTGGCCATCCTTGGAGATACCAGCCTCGAACTCACCAGTACCGGCAGCAATGATGAGGATAGCGCAGTCGGCCTGCGAGGTACCTGTGATCATATTCTTGATGAAATCACGGTGGCCGGGAGCGTCTAGTGCGCGGAGTTAGTACGTGGACCATAAATCAACGGTTGATCCAATAGGGTATGGTGTAGACTTACCAATGACGGTGACATAGTACTTGGGTGTCTCGAACTTCCAAAGGGCAATGTCGATCGTGATACCACGCTCACGCTCGGCCTTTAGCTTGTCAAGAACCCAGGCATACTTGAAGGAACCCTTGCCGAGCTCAGCGGCTTCCTATGCGAGTGGGTCAGCTATAATACGATCACTAGGATCTAGTACTGATGCTTGGCGGGTTAAGGCTTTGTTGCTCCGTGCACCAAACAGTGGTGCAGAACGTCAGAGCGGGGTAGGGAAAATTTTGTGCCCCTCGGTGGGGGAAGGTGTGAGAAAAGATAAGAGAGGAGGGGCAACGCGGCAGGAAGCCTAAAGACCAACCAAAGGCGCGAAAATGCCATCGGATCAAGTCAAAAAAGACGAGACCGCGATTCAAACGTAGAGAGGTGGTATTGGGGATGTAGAGAATAAATTTTTGAACTAACCTTCTCGAACTTCTCAATGGTTCGCTTGTCGATACCACCACATTGGTAGATCAGATGGCCGGTTGTGGTGGACTTGCCACTGTCGACGTCTGAAAGACTCGTTAGAAATTTCAGGCTCCGCGCAGGCACTATTTAGAATTAAACTTACGGCCGATGACGACGACATTGATGTGAGTCTTGTCTTCCTTACTGCGAGTTATCAGTGATGGGAGGCGCTATACAAAGGCATGATCGAGTCGTTTACGTACCCCATTTTGGCGAGGAGAGATTGCGACTGCTGTTAAGAGTGTGTATGTGTTGTAGTAGAGGGGGATCCGAATGAAAACTGTGTAGATAGATAGTTGTCAGTTTTCCAGTTGCTTTTGTCAAAGAAGATGTTGATGTTAAAATTATTGAAAAGGTAGATGGGGGAAGGAGGAGGAAGAATATGAAGGGGAGTTCTTACGTTCAGCAGGTGTTAATGCTCTGATTAACGGTGTGCGAGACGAGGATCAAAAGTAGAATCAGAAGAGTGTTGCGAAGGTGTATGTTGGGGTTTATAAATTATTTCTGCTGGTGGCCAGGTTAGAATTTTGATTGTGGGGGCATTGCCCCTCCTTTGGCCCTTCCCTGCCTCGACTGCGCAACCCCTCCTTCCAGATTCACAAACAGATTTTTTTTTTTTTCTTATTTGTGATTTTGCCTCTTGCAACTGTACCCTGGCCGCCTAGCACTTGCTCATTAAGCTTTACCACCAATTGATTGGCTTAAAATTCTTCAAGCTAAAACGCGGCTTGAGTACGTACCTATCTTATGTTATTTGATAAGGGATCCGCAACATTGTGTACATACGTGTGGGTAAGCACATCTATGGATCCTTACACACATACGGATGTACAGACCACCTAGGATGTAAGTAACTACGATTAGTTGCTTAGGCCTTGTCTCCTCTCAACAGGGCAGGTTCCTAACGGTTCGAGCTAACGTTAACGAAAAGCATATTTTGTATGGTCGATAATACAGTTATTACATTTGTGTGTAGGTTTACATATAATGTATACACACATACACGGTAATTACGAGACACATGGGTAGTCAGCACATTGTTTTCGTTATGTGTGACGTGTACCTAGCTACCTAAAGTACCTGCTTTATTATAGAGTATGTGTGAATACTAAGATTGGTAAAGAAGAACTCTGCTCCCACTAAAAAGTGTGAGTCAGGCCGATAGGTATAGGGCATGTAAAAAATGCATGTAGGAAAAGAAAATTCTCAGACCATAAACCTTGATGGGAAGAGGAGAAACAAAGAAAGAAAAAAAACTTTATGATAGCTGCCCAACATGCCAGACTCCCCACATAAGTATCAAGCCTTACATATGTCTGCATTACGGTAGCCTCATTGGCCCCCCTCTTGCTACAGCGGCTATTCAAATTTTACCATGTCCGCATGTGAGACTCAATTCTACTGCCTACATATACATAGATATATGTACTCTACTATTAAAGTAGGTACATAATGTACTTTGTTAGTACGTCATGGATTGTTTGGAGGATCCACGAACCAAACATATTCGAATATATATTGTTGAACTAAATTTTCTAGTTGGTTAATTACGGATGGAAATTCGCATGACGCCCTAGTACTAAGTAGGCAGTATGTGCCTTATAATTTGTATATGTAGGGAGTGGCAGATCTACGACGACCTGGTTCGGATTTCCCGGGTACCTATTGCGCAAACTTGTATGAGTAGTCCGTGACGCAGCGCTGTATGTACGCAATATCAATTTCAGAACCACTCAATGTCAACCCTAGCAAATTCTCTCATGAAATTATTCCATTTTTGTTCCATAAAAATACCAAATTTTATCTAGAACCTGTTATCGTTATGCATGCTTCTATTCGTTTTGATCGGACTTGTTGTCAGATGTTCCTCGGAGCCTGTCCAGAGAGAATTGAGGTTATCTGCACCTGATACTTGCGAGAGATGAGTGGAATTGAAGTGGGACGTGGACAAATCCATTACCAGCTACGATAGAGCACAACAGCAGGTTGAGCACATAACAGATCACGAAAACATCAATTCTTGTTGCTAAATCTCAAGTTACGGGGGTATCGAAGCCTTCAAACGTCTCTGAAACAATTGCAAATCTTGGTAAAGCCGGAAAAGCCGCCCATGTAATCCATTCACCAAATTGACCCCCTTCTCGTGCCATTCCCCACCACACAAGCGTCCCGTACTGAATGTATGCCCAATATACTGGGTCAACGTAGAAGCAGAGCCATCTACTATGAGTCTTAATCGACCCAAATGTTATTAGTGAGTTGGCCCTCCTCGTCTATGTCATCTTCCCGTCGATCAGGATTTCTGCCACACTTGATAACAGCCGCTTTCTCTTTCTGGCCCAAGGCCACTTGATCAAAACCAGCAGGTAGAAGTCTGTCGCCTTCAAGATACCAGACTTTTAGGCCGCGGGCCTTGTCACGTAGGGACTGTTGGTTTCGATCAGTTTCGAAGCCACCCGCTTTTTCCATCGCACTCCAAGAACATTTTAAAGAAGGATCGGCTATCAGATCCAAAAGTCGCGCGGTATCGGGTACCGACCATGGAATGCGAGTTTGCCGGACCTTGGTTGCATAATTTGCGCGTCGGATGTTACGAGCGCTCTGACTGAGCTCTACAATATCCTGTTCTTGTAAGTTGGGCCCCTCTTGCAAGTCATCTAACAACCGTTCACGGCTAGCTCTTCGGGCATCGGCGATTGGTGGCGATGGCAGCGGAGAAGTACTACTTCGATATTGTTGCGACAAACGTGGGCGCTTTGAGGGTGGTCTTTGGATAGTTATGGTATCGTTGCGGGTCCGTCTGGATTCGACATGAAGTTGCTCATTTACCTCAAAGTCGTCATGGTCCTCATCATCTCCGTTAAAATCGTTGGTGTTAGGGCTGGGCCGTTTTCCCATACGACTCAAAATTTGGATAGGCTCTAAGTGACGAATTGCATCTGCCGTGTCCACCGCCTTAGCTTTTCCCTTCGCGGCCTGTTGGTTGGATGGTGGAGCCTCCGCCGGTTTGTCCACTACTTTCTTCTCGCTCTGTCTCACAGCCGCCAAGACGGCAGCACTATCGATGAAATTTTGACTAAGTCGTTAGTTAGTATGGCTGTCGGTGCAGGCAGAACATTATTATAGACATACTTAGATTCTTGTGGTGTAAGTCGATCGTACTCGCCGTCGTCCATTTCTGATGAAGAATCGGAACTTTCTTCAACCTCATTATTATCGACGAATAGGGATTCTGACTCTCCACGTTCCGTCTGAGTGTGCAAATCCGCGGTTAGATCTATAGCTCGGAGTTTGTCTGGGTCCTTTGACGTGCGAAGCTGCTGATACACTTCCAAAGCCCATGATCTGAGGTCATTCGAGAGCTCTATCTGAGGGTATTCTTCATCTAAGAATGGCAGCATTTTGTCCCGGTCGGAGTGATTAGAGATTAACTTCTGTATGCAAGCCTGGTAGGCTTCGTAGTAAGGAAAGTTTTCATTGACTTTGATCCCGGCTAGCTGTTTGTATGGCCCCTTATCCAGTGCCTCTTGAGCGCTTCTTGCATGGTGCAGGGACTGCTCGCAGAATATATCGGCCGCTACTTCTAATGGTTCAGCGGAGGAGTCGGCGGCTATCGATTCAACTAAGTAGCGATATCGAATACGAAGCGATAGGTCTAGAGTCTTCTCGATGTCGTTCCCCGTCTGGAAATATGGCCCGAATAAAGACGGGAAAACATGATCTAGCTGCTCAAGAACGGGTTGCGGGTCTTTTTTCCTAAGTTGGACATCTATAATAGATGAAAGAAGTATTATGATGTTTCCAGAGTATATAGCTGTTTGAATTGTTGACCTCGTCGCCGAGTCATGGCCTTCAGAAAGGACTATTGGTTTAATAAACAGCGCGTTGTTGCCGGAGTTGGCAGTGAAGGGGAAATGGGCATGATCAAAAGCTTTCCTTGTACCATTCAATCTAGATTGTTCTTCAACGCTGGGGTGGTGGATGTCAATAGACGATAGAACATCGTACATCTTGTCGGACCAACGTCTCAACTTGGGGATATCAAAATCAAGCATATCCTGGACCCTAGCGGCCTCCATCTCCGACGATTCATGAGCATCATTTGTCTCAGATATCGCTTGATTCTGAGACCTTAAGTCTTCGGGGATCGAGGCCAAGCCTAGTCAGTTTTAGCTGAAGAGTGATGTGTGCAAACTTAGAGGGCATACCTAAATCACCCGGTCCAGGGCTAGCGCGGCTGGTAGGAGGGTTTGTGAAGCCATCGATGGCAACACCTTCTGGGCTTTTACGACGCCTACGCCGAGTACCGCGTTGCGTGCCTTGGGGATGTGTGTGGGATTCGGGTTCGGCAGATGCCTCAGGACGTCTAGTATGGCTTCGAGTTTGTCTTACGACCAGCTCACTAGCAGGTTCAACAGACCCGGTGCGACGCGTAGCCGGACGACGACGCTCAGTCATGTTAAATACTTACAGTACTTTGGTATGAAGGAAGCAAAAAGGATGTGACTAAATCGGTTGGGTTTGTTGTTGTCGTAGAATAAAGTAGTAGATAGACATCTGCGAACCCTCAGGGTTAGGGTTTTCACTAGTTAATGGTTAGGGTAGTCTCCCAATCAGCTTTTAGAGGTAAATAAACACGTCGTAGACCACATAAACTGTATGTGACGCACAGACCATATATACATAGATACATACATGTATCGGATTTATGTAAATTTGATAACTTTATTAGGTAGTTATGCATGTGTACATAGCTATCTACATCCATGGATACGTACGCACTGCCTTATCCTTATCCACAACCAAAAGTTCCCTCGCCCCCTTTTACCAGAAGCTACAGATTTGTCCAACACCATACTCTATACTAATTATTTCGCCCTTTTTTTCCCTCTCACCGGCATCTAGAGCTGGGGGATTTTCTTCTTTAGGTGTCGGTCTTTTCCTCGCTGATCTTCTTTCCTCTCATTTTGTACGTCTGTTCAACTTCACCTCTCTTTTTAAGAATCGTAAACGAACGGATCACCTTCGATATTTATTACGTCGATTCAATTGCAGCCACGTCTGTATAATCGAATATACTCGTCCGTCATTCCTCGGCCCGGTTGCTATCCGTCTCTTGTCAATTGCTTCGCCCTACCCGATACCCATCATGAAACTTACTCAACACCAAACGCGACTAATCCTCCTACTTATACCCTCTCTCACCTTGGTTACCTCTACGCTCGATACGAGATCCGCCAAGGATGCTCCAGCCCTTGTCAGCGTCGATGGCGCATCCTCCCAATCCCCCCTCGACTCAACCGTCGCATCATCCAAAACATCGAAATTCGATATTGGCACCAAAGATGCGCCTGTAGACGGTAAGGACGGAATGCCGCATGAGGGACCTTTCGTCAGTACCGACAAAGGACGCAAGAAGGGCGACGCCAGCGATGTTGTGGACTCCAAACCTCTTCCCTCGCTCAAGGACAGACCAATTGACCCTACAGTTGTCGACGGCAAGAAGATACCCGAGAGTAACGACGGGGTAATGGATGATCCTCATCGCCAGCCTCCTAAGCAAGGTACCACGGGTACGGAGGGTGGAGTGAGCCAAAAGGACAAAGCTAGGAAGGCCAAAGAGGGTGTAACTGGAGAGAAGGTCGAGAATGTGCCTGAGACCCCAAAAGAAAAACCCCCATTGCCGCACAGTGAGCAGGAGAAAATCTCGAGCGAAAAGGCCAACAAGAAGGAAAAGGGCAAGGCCGACCTACATCAGACCCCCGAAGACGTCGCCGGACTTGAGGTAAGATTATTGGATGTGTGTCAAATTGGCGGCGGATATACTAATCACTCCTCTATAGAAACCCTCGGACTTACCAGACAAATTACGCGATGACCCAAACCCACTCCCAGATTCGGCTAACAAAGACCACCTCGATGTATCGAAGCCCGCCAAGTCTACGACTAATACATGGGACCAAGGCGACGAGGGTAATGATGGCATCATTCGACCTTTTCATTCCTTCGTCCTCTCCCTTACCATGATCCTTTTCTCCGAAGTAGGCGACAAGACATTCCTCGTCGCAGCGCTCATGGCCATGAAACACGACCGAATGGTAGTTTTTTCAGCTGCTTTTGGCGCTCTGCTGGTTATGACTGTCGTATCGGCCGTGCTTGGCCATACGGTGCCGGCTTTAATCCCTAAGAGAGTGACAGCTTTCCTGGCCGCAGGGCTGTTTTTCGTTTTTGGCGCCAAAATGCTGCGTGAAGGGATCGCTATGGACCCGGATGAGGGCGTCACGGCAGAGATGCAAGAGGTGGAGATGGAGTTGCAGGAGAAGGAACATCTGGCGCTGAAGCAAGGAAGACGTCGTTCTTCTTTGTCTCCGTACACTCTAGAGATGGGTCTCAATCGTGATAGAAAGCCAAGGTCCCAATCTCGCTTCCCAACCCCACCTCGTAGCCCTTCAACATCGCCAGGCAGAAGTCCATCGCCTCGACGCAGTTTCCTCGGCGGGTTCGGGGTCGGCCTGTCGAATTTATTCTCGTTGCTGCTCAGTCCTGCGTGGGTGCAGACATTTGTCATGACTTTCTTGGGGGAGTGGGGGGATCGCAGCCAGATCGCGACGATTGCAATGGCCGCAGGCCAGGATTACTGGTGGGTGACGCTGGGCGCGGTACTTGGCCATGCATTCTGTACCAGCGTAGCGGTCATCGGCGGCAGGGCTATTGCGGGCAGAGTCAGTCTGAAAGTTGGTAAGTTATGATAAGCCTCTAGAAAACCGCTAGCAGCTGTACAAGTTATGACTAACGTGAGTTCCAATAGTAACGGTAGGGGGTGCTATTGCATTTTTGGCGTTTGGCTTCATCTACTTCATCGAAGCGTTCTACGCGTAGTGTCGTGCAAGAACAGCATTGAGCCAAGCGGCCCGTTTTCTATTATAATGATTTCTGCGAATTTAATACGACACGACCCAAGGGTGGTTCTTCGATTCCTAGAAGGCTGCCCACACAAGAAAGGGGCACGGCCTTTAGGGACATTGGATGAGAAGAGATCGACCGTCATAGGTGTATCATAATATGTTGCTGCTACTGATTCCAAAGGAAATGAAAACCGGTACAGGGGCGAAAGACGATATATGTGGTTGCATGGGCGGAGTTTGGAATATAAAATAAAATGAGCAGGCTCGTCTAAGGGGATTAAAGATGACTATCACCAGTCACGTATTGTAGAATCATTCAATGATCCCAGAGGCTGGAATGGAGGTTCATCTCTAATCTAAATATGAAATGATGCCAGAATACTTAACCATATATACCTATTTATATTGAAATACGAATGCGGCCAAATGCGTGGAATCAGCCGGGAATCCCACAAACTGTAGCTAAGATTCATATCGAGAGGTACATCGAGGCCTGATAGAAATAGACGTGGTGAATATATACCTAGGCACATACATACATGTATATGTAGGACGGATGAAAAAAATACGTGCCTTGGGTACCTAGGTAGGTATATGAGATCAATTGATGTGCATATAATATACCGACATGTACATGACGTACCAATTAATGTAGGCATATATACTAAGTTACAGTAAAAGGAGCCCCGACCCTCCACCCCCGCTCTTGCTTCATCCTTTAGCTTCGAAGCTGAGGTAGCTCGCGATGAACTTACACCGAAGCCCGCATCCTATAAATTGCCTTCAATCCGAGTCTTTAGCATAAGCGACACCCGCTGCTAAACTTTTTTTTTTGTATATATAGCACAACATATAAATGAACCATAAATTATAAAGAAATATTCCAAGTTTTCTACCAATAAATAAGATAAGCATCTTCGTCATGTGGAAACCACACGCTCCACCTCCTCCGCGAGTCACGAAATCCCCAGACCCAGACTCTGAGTCGAAACAGGTATATTTCAATATGTTATGGCGTCTCCTCATGCATTAATTGTTTACACTCCTAATGAAACTCCCACAGCGGAACGTCCGCCGCATTGCCCAGATTGTCAAATTAAAACCTGAATTTGTGGACAAGTATAAAGAGGTCCACGATGCCGTATGGCCCGAGGTCTTACAGCAGATAAAGGACTGCAATATACGAGACTGTGCGTTATCAATTCCCATCGTGACCATACGTGTCCATATCTACTTGGAGCGCCTTCTTGGACCCAGACTAACCTCTTTTGTTGTGGGTATTAAGATAGCATATATCACGATCCTACCACGGCTATCCTTTTCGCGACTTTTAAGTATGTTGGATATGACTACGCCGGTGACATGGAACGCATGCGCAAAAACCCTAAGGTTAGGGAGTGGTGGGCTATGACAGATGGCTTTCAAGAGGTGAATAGTTCAGAATCCAACGCATGATATTCAAACCGGACCGGACCACTAACTAGATATCCTGATACAGAGTATAGTACCCGGTGCTCAGAATAGCGAATCCGGCAATCCGGCGTGGTGGAAAGTACTTGACGAAGTATTCTACTTAGAATAGGCGGGATCCTTCCGACTTCGAGGGCAACGAAAAACTTATCGTATAAATACCACACCCCCAATGAAAAGTGTTCGTTAGTAGTAGCGAGTAGTCCACGAGGTTTGGTATCGACGCCGTTGTGCCGGCACGCCACGACCACTGCTAATCGTAAGCACAGCATAGCATATCCTACGATATGTCTTATTTCCATGATTTAAAAAGGCCACCTAGGACTCCAGAACCGCCACCGCCTCGGCCTCCATGTCTTCTCGCTTCGTTTCGGATCCATTCCTCTAGAAAATGCCGAGCAGCTAGTTTTCTTCCGTCAATTACCTTGCTGAGCACTTGAGCCTCCCCGGCGTCGAAGCTGAGCAGTGTTGGTATAGAAGTGATCATATACTCCATGCCAAGTCCATCACTCATGATATCAGGAGCATCAAATTGAACCTCACAGTATCCAACACCACCCTCATCTTCACCCACCCCGGACTCAACAACGGATTTAAGAAGCGGTGCTATGACATGGCACGTAGCACACCACGAAGTGGTCCAGAGAGTGATGAGGGGCGTACGAGAAGAAGATGATAGAAGCTGGTACGTGCGTAAATCATCGGGTCGGCGGACACTACCAAATATGGTCAGCCTCAAAAGAAATCCATAAGCCGTGGTGAGAGCGATAATAACAGTAGGAGTGGCCTTCCAAGGTTGGTTAAACGAGGCGAGCCGCCTAAACTTACGTAGTGTAAATCTGGTTAGTCGCGCTGAAACAACGGGATGTAGAGAACGTCCGGGAAGCCAAGGGGCTATTGAAGCCTTTCAAGGCTAGTAACCAGGGTCTGCTGCTGATTTTGTACTGCATCATGGCAAGTTGCATGGTAGAAAGTGACAGATTGGAATAAAAGTCTAGGTTCCAAAATTGGTACGTGCGCTCTGACGTGGTAGATCACGTATACAAGGTACCGGCGCCAAATGAAATGAAATACCATGCTATGCCACCTATTCACTGACGTATATTAAATCTATATGATCATTCATTTGACCCCTAGAAGCCTTATTTGCGACACCCTTACCAATCTTAAGTACGTATCACTACAAGACTCTTATAAATTGTAAATCCTTTGATTGCTTCAATGTAAATAACTACTGTACGCCACCGAACCGACCTACCGGCCTCCTACGCCAACCATTCATAATTCATATACGCCAAGATGCCTATGTAAATATCAAATTGAGAATATCCGTATATATCAGATTCCAATAACATGCGCACCCCGGGAAAGAAGTGCATTGGTATAGTTCTAGCTTCGGTTCGTATATAATGCGTAATGTCGTCCGCGACCTTCTTAAAACCGTCTAGAATTTTTCCATGAAATTCTTGCGCACCGTCCACATACGAGCCCTCTTGCCGTAGATGTACATGGGTATCGTGAAGAAAAGTAGGATAAGCTGAATGACGCCAAACCAGATAAAGACTATCTTGGATCCGTCATGAGTAAGCCATTCCGTAACGAACAGACTGAATACAAGTCCGTGGAATATGTTCTTGCTGAAATTCAGTGTAACCAGCGCCTCGCCGGCGTACTGTCTGTAGCTGTCGACGCAAAACGTGATGGATGTTGTAGAGCCTAGCGAACAGCCGAATGAAACCACTCCGAAGAATATGGTCGGGACAATCCACGGGTCGTCTACACCAGCCGACCATCCAAACCCCATGAGCCCAAGAACGGTCGTCACCGCCACCGGTGCCGCCATCACAAGTCGAAACTCGGGCTCATAAAGACCGCCGTTCCGACGGGCCATCGCTCTGACAATGATATCGCTAACTTTACCGGCCACGGCTGTCCCCAGAACACCGCCGATGAATGGCGATATGTAAACGAGGCCTGTTTGCAAAGCATTGAATTGGTATCTGCCTTCCCGGTAAATAACAGCAACTGACTCCGAGATGACAATTAGCCAGCCAATCGAACACGCATATATCGCGGCGGACCATAAGACTGCGGGATAGGAAAAAAGTATCAGGGGACGAATGGCAGCTTTCCACCACTTGTCTTGATTAAGCCGCCCGTAATGTACCTTTAGTTGTTGAGTAAAAGATTTCGGTGGTGCGTTTCGCAACGCATGCGTATAAGCCTGCCCCGTAGTGATAGTTGCTAAGTTGGAAAACGACATCTTCTCACTTTCCGTATCGGAATGGACTATTCCGGGCGGCGGGTGAGAAAACCGTCCTTCTTCTACACGGAAATAATCATCGGAGAGATGCTTGTAATATGGCGAGTTGGTACTACGCATATCTGGTGTTGTCGGGATAGAACGGCCCGGGGCTTCCCAGTTTACCCGCGACCGGGCACTAAGACCGGACTGCGAGCGGCTTACGTTTGGACGAGGAGTGTAAGACGCAGCATCGGTCTTGTCTGTAACTTCGGTAGGCTCCTGGTTACCATCGGCTTCAGATCCATCCCCACCGCCTGTTCGTATCGTAGAAGGCTCCGCTGTGGGTGTTGCGACGATGGTATCGCCAACATTTTCAGGGTCAGTTTTTTCTTCCTGTTCAAAGCCAGGCGCGAACCCAACATGCGCTTTCTTGTGTCGTGGTAGCGGGGTTGAGGGTGTGGGCTCATGATGGTCCTCTGCAGTTTTCTCATCACTCGTACCCGCCGCGGGTTTTTCCATATCGGGAACAGCGTTCTCATTCAGGTGCGACTTTGAGATCTGTCGAGCCGAAGATCTCCTACTGAACAGGCTAGGCCGTTTCAAATGTCGGCGTGATCTTGGTATTGGGGATCTGTCCCAGAACGTCTCGGGTGCGAAGAAGAATAGCAAACTGCCACAAAGTGCGACAATGATCGCAACCGTCCTGAATAAAACACGTAAGCCGAAGAAGGGAGACGTTGGATTCCCAGGCATCTCGCCCTATACTTGACTTACCAAAACACCCAGCGCCATCCAAGACGCTCAATAATAGCAGCACTAACGAGAGGAACCAGGTTCTTTCCACCAAGCAACAGTAAGGTATATACACCAATACGGTATGCCCGTTCGTGTAAAAAGAAGATCTCGGCAATCGTGGCTGATGGGAGACACTCGACAGGACTCACGGCAATGCCCTGAAATATCCGGGCTAATATTAGTGACGTAAAATTTGGCGATAGAGCACACCACACGGCCGATATGATGAAGAGTATTGCGCTGTAAAGGTAGACTGGACGTTTTCCGTATAGAATCGCTGTGGGTGAGAAGACCACGGAGCCAATCCCGAGGCCCATCATATACAGTCCAGTAGTGAGCGACACATCGGCAACATCGATATTATAATCTATTCAAGGATTAGATGAAAAATGTCAATTTATATCCAGCAGTGAGGATGTGCTTGTCTAGGCCTACCATGTGCAACGTCGGTAAATCCGGCTGCGATGAGAGGTGTAATTCCACCTCCAACCACTACGACGATACTAGTTAGTACGGAACATTTCCAGATCAAGTGTTCAACAACAATTTCAAGGTTTCCAACGTATATCAATATATGTTATCCGTTCATTCAGGTCGACTGAGATCCGGAGTTCGGACTAGTCCGAGAAGAGAATTGGATGAGGGGAGGCTTTCACGTCACATACTGCAGTATAGCCCCAACGAAAGCAAGGCAGAATCTCGACGCCACATCGGCCAGTTCAGGGGGTCATTGTGCGAGTCGTCAGGCTGGGGATCCAATATAATCTGCCCATCTTTGGTTTTTTTCTTGTCATCTTGTTCCTTGCGAGTGGGTTGAGGCGGTGGGGCGTCCTGGAAGATTCCTGTAGGAAGAGAAGAATGGGATGTCCTAGCCGGAGCGTTTCGAAGGCCCAACGGCTCATTTCGGCCTTGGGCGAGTAGTAACACGGACCCTATTCAATAGAGTCAATATAGTTCAAGCATCATAGACTTCATCAACTAACCTGGGACCTCTATAGTCTTTTTATCATTCAACATCCCCATGTTCCATTTCGACTTCTGGTCATTTTGGTACTCGCCATCAGCATCGGTCCTTTTCCGGAAGAAGGCCTTCCATAAACCCTTGGGTGTCTGTTCCTCTGCCTCCGCCATCCTTGAGATATCCTTGATTGCCTACGATGATGATGGTGCGGCAAGGCCGTTCAAAGTAGCCCCTCCGAATCGTCCGGATTAGAAGAGGTACAATATGGCGTGCATATATCGTAATAGGAATATTACTACAAAATGTTGAAACACAACAAATTTTAACATTGAATTATATCATCGGGAAAGCTAAACGACCACATGAGTTATACTACATAATGTAGAAGTGATCTAAAGGCGGATACTTACCAACAAAAGATTGTATGCTTAAATGGAATAGCAGAAGCGACGCTGGCTATGTCTCAAGTAGTTGACATAGACACCGACAAAGGGCAGCCAGATCTCGTCTTTGATGAAATGCCACGGGGGGTGGATGAAAGGGATGGCTTTTATAAGTAACCCGAAAATACGCAACGCCTTTCCCTGGTATGCAGGTAGGTAGTCATGTATATACTTATATGAATTTGGTTTCCCATGCTGATGCGAAACAACAACGACAGCATCAGTATAAACGTGATTTACCTATTCCATTCGGAGACTAGGGATTTGCGATTGCATCCATGTTTGCCTAGTCGGAATAGCGTGCTAACGACAAGATCCCTGGAAAGCCAATGAGACGACAGAAGATTGCCGTATATGGACCCTCGCAGTTGGGGGGTAGATTCTCCTACTGTGCAGGTGATCAGGCGGTGATGGGCACATGAGACCGACCAACTCGCCGCGGTCAGCCGCCAGAACGAAGCGGCTCTTACGTCGCCAGGAGATGTGCAATCAGATACCTGGATGTCTTTTTTTTTGCTAAACAATTGAGGTAAGATAGTATAGCGACGTACCCAAGTATTGAATTTGTAGGGATTTAATTGAATTGTCCGTCTGTAAGAATCCATCGTAGACCTCTATCCACACGGACCTGTAAAACATGTGAGCCGCTGAAGGCGATGAATGGGCTGGGTGGAGGGGGGAAAAGCGTCGATCATGGGCCCTGTCCTTCCCCACGGACCAGCGTAGAGCGGGCCAGAAGAAGAAGTTCAAGGTTGGAACAGCGGGGGTCCAGCGCTACCAGCAATTATCTAGGGCTTGAGGTCCCTATTAATGCGCTATGACGACATTTTACATGCTGTTAGATTTGGATCCATGGATGAATCCACTAACATGTGCACAAGAGGCTTGTGCAGCTTCCGTAAAATGATTTCCCTGAAAAATATCTACGCAATTACATATTCATATGCGTAGGTCAGGTAGTAAGGATTGGTTCAGATTAGCAGCAAGTGATGTGTAGATTACGTAGGTACATATATGTGTCTATAAATCATATGTGTATACCTTAGGTACCTAGATAGGTATTAAGACTTCCAAGGTTATCTACTTAGGCACGTTAGATACTGTATTAATTAAACCAGCACACAAACCCCCAATTTTAAAATTTAAATTAGGTCTTTTTATTTTATTTTATTCCACTCTACAACTCAAAAGTCGTCAAGGTTATACATATGATACGATGAGCACCTATCTAGGTACCTATATGTAACCTACCACCTGCACTTTACAATTGATGCTACTTGTAGCAGTACATTTTACACCCCGAGCCGCTGTAAGCAAGAATCTCACCTCCGCTCATCACCCCACCACCCCATCACTTACATCCTAGCTACCATGCTGCCATGCCAAGCGAATATTACCTTTCATGCTCTGCTCCCCACATTCAATTCTCAATTCAGTCATCAACATATACATGTATGTGGGCGGTCTGCTCATGATTTGTCACTTCAGTTACTCCCCCCTAGTCTTCGACTAGCCTCGATAACCTCCGCATCTGATGGCGTCGCGAATCCCGCCCCTCTTAGACCCCTACCTTCGCCTACCACCTGAGACATCGTTCATCCTCCTCAGCGGGGTTTTGGGATCGACCACGAACTGGCTCGTCCTTCGCTATCTCCATTCTCTACTCTCCACAGCAACAAAGGAGGAAAGCCTTGATTCGTCCCGCGTAGACGGTGTCAGCGTAATTTTTGCCAGCTTCCTGCGAGACTATGCTTTCTGGAAAGAAAACGCTGGGAAACTTGGTCTTGACCTTGACGGGCTATCTAGGAAGGGTAGATTTGTCTTTGTAGATGGTCTCATCAACCTATTCCATGAGTCCCACGGTCGTATTCCGGGGCGTTCGTTAGGAGATCATACCGGGAGGAAAGTTTTGTCTTCCGCGACGCTTCAGCACTTTTACACAAAAATGCAAGATGCGGCGACACAAATCCAGCGTTCCGCTCCAGAGCAGAAAACAGTTTTACTCGTAGACCAGATGGACCTGTTGTTAGCCGCCTCCGGAGACGATATCACAAGCCAAGGATTGAGGGAGACGTTGCTTGGCATCCGGGAAGTAAGTTACCTACCTAGCACACATGTTGTCCCGTATATATCAAATCGCTTTAGGCCCTCAGTAGATATTAATGATATCTCTGCTCTAGAAAGTCCATCTGTCCGTGGTCACCTTGTCTATAGACGAACCATTAGTATCGTCACAAACGACACCACTAGAAAAGGAACACGCAGCATTCGCATTATCATTAGCTCACGATGCCCAGCTCGTCATCAGTTTGAGAATGCTAGATACAGGTGCGGCAAGGGATGTGAGCGGTGTTCTAAGGGTTACGCCTGGTGGTGGGCGTAGTAGCGTTGATGGAGCGGCTGTAGAGGACCAGGAATTATTATATTTCGTAGCCGCCGATGGTGGAGTACGAGTATTTGAACGGGGCTAGTGACTATAGGCATCCGCATAGATTCCTAACACAGACTCGGCGCATATATATAAAGAAAGACGCGTCGGGCGAACTGGCTTTATCCTGTAGCACGGAACATGCCATCTGGAATCTTGTGCCTTCAATGTTCCAGACCTTAGTTATGTTCCCGCCCAACTCGATTCGTCCATAGGGAGACATATTCGAAGCCTACGCATAATAAAATACCCAGACAGCCAGTGTTTTTTTTTTTGTTCGCGCGTCACTGCAACCGGATGAAGCTGCCAGAGCATGTCAAATCGTGATGCCATTTTTGGTCGGAAATGCTAGCGTAACAGTTCCGCCGAACTCGGAAGATAAACGAGTCCATGATGAGCCAGTCCAAATGTCAGAAACACCGTTCCCTTTCCATGCCACTGCCATCACCCACCACTCTCTCGACCCCTACTTCATGCCTATGGTTTATTTCAGTACTGGACCCCTCGCATCCTTGGGTACACCGGTTCGGAAACCGTTCTTGAATCGGCGAGAGACGTCCTTCAGGTATCGAACGCGGCCGGTACCAACGGTCTTTCTGCGCTTAGCCTTCTCGCTCCAGTTGTCTACGAATAACTCGATTAGCCATGACACATTTCTGGGACGAAGCGCGTCCATTCAACTCCTTGGTATGGTCTCCTATCTCTAAAGGGCGAAAATCCACATACACTTTCGGGTCTTAGCGGCCGGGTATCCGCACGAAGAGCAGGTGTGCTTCTGAATGTGGAGAGAGCGTCGTCCTACAAACAAAATCCATTAGTTGAACTGGCCGATCATTCTGTTGACTGAATCTTTTTTTTTTTGGTCTTTGTTTCTCGTTTTTCCTTCCATCTTCCAACACGTAGGCGGGTCAAAATCCATTACGTATTGTTTGACCGCGAATATCGTTCCTAGAAATTGGTATCTACTCACCACATCGTCGGCACAGAGTGTGCGTCTTGTTGTGACGCTTTCCGAAGCTGGAAGTTCCCTTGGCTATATTCGAAGTTAGTCGGGTGGTGGGCGAGAGATCAATGTGTCGGAAGGATACGCACTCATCTTGGCGGCGAAACTGAGAAATAATTTTTGTCAGTATGAATGTTTCGTCGAAATATTATACTGGTTGTGGAGTATCGATATTAATTAATTATGGGAGATGCGTACCTTCAATGTGATCTGGAGAGGAAAAGTATCGTAGGAGAAAGATTCGTTTAGACTAGTTGATGAGGTGTGTGTACGTTGTGTTGAAAATTTCGCTAGAATTTTCGTGGGGGGGGAATCTAGAAAACAGATTATCCGATAAAAAGCCGAAGTGGTAACCCTAAAGATCCTTAGGTACCTAGGTATCTTAGGTAGTCGCTTCTCTTTAGGTAATCCGCCCAGATAGTCTTATATATTTTCCTTGCAATTAATAAAGAACCCACCCCAGCCCTCCTGGGATATCCACATATAAATCCACACCGCGAAGTATCTTAGTGTACATTACATAATACTTTTAATTATGTAAACTCTAAACTTAAGTAATCCACCTGGGCACGTACCTACAGTACAGTAGGCCTAGGTACTGTACTGTAGTCTCCGATAAGATAGGAGGGTAGCTGCCCCTCCTCAGCTTGTCATAGCAGGTTGTCCCTGTGCCTTCGCGCCCATGTGACGGGTACCGCCCTCTGATTAGGATAGCACCTTTGTCGAGCATCCTGAATAAATAAAAAGCCGCCTGCCTGATTTCGTATTTGTTGTAAGTATCGACTATATCAAACCACATAGGCGGCAGTACGGTAATATACTATTCTGTTTTTTTAGATCAAGTGTCGATCGCAAACCAAATAATTAAATTCCCTTACCTACACTTTGACCTCTTCCATCTCACCATATTTGACAACCAAGGCAGCCATATCCTTTGTTCTCCCGGTCCATCCATTTGTACCCGGCAGAGCACCAGCGCCGGTTCAACGTCGATAACTACAAGGTCCCCTAGACAAGATGAATATCATCTACTCGACAGTCAATACGATCCGGGACAAGTACACCCCCGTGAGCCACACATCTACCTTTCGAAAGACCGGCCAGATCACCCCCGAAGAGTTCTTAGCAGCAGGAGACTACCTCGTCTTCAAGTTTCCTACTTGGTCTTGGGCGGACGCCGACTCGGAATCGAAGCGCGTAAGCTACCTACCGCCCGGCAAACAGTTCTTAGTCACACGCAACGTTCCTTGCAATCGCCGCCTCGACGAGGATTTCGCAGGAGATGCCGGACATGAAGAGGCAGTTGTCGGTGATGGTGACGGCTTCAACCAGAAGGGTCGCACGGACGACGACGATGGGTGGCTGCGCACCGGTGGTCTAAGCAGCTCACAACCACTCAAAGCTAGAGACGTTCGCACCGTCGACGACGCGGGCAACGTAGGAGATAGTTTAGACGACGAGGACGAAATCCCAGATATGGAGGATGATGACGACGACGAAGCCATCATTCGAGACACCGACCCCCAGAAGAAAACAGGGTAAGCTCCTATTCCAACTTCTTTTTTCTTATTCGTTCCTCCCTTTCGGGGTTATCATATGCGCTCATATGCTAACCCCGTGTTGTCACAGAGCTCGCCGTACATACACCCTTTACATAATGTATTCGCCCTATTATCGAACACCTCGCCTCTACCTGTCGGGCTATTCCGAAGGACAGCCCCTCGCCCCTCATCTTATGATGGAGGATATTGTTGGTGACTACAAAGACAAAACAGTGACTTTAGAGGATTTCCCTTTCTTTGCCAACAATGTCAAGATGGCCAGCGTGCATCCCTGCAAGCACGCGTCCGTCATGAAGACCCTTTTGGACCGAGCGGACGCTGCTCTAAAGATTAGGCGCGACAAACTGAAGTCGGGTAAGGCAGTCGGAAACGACCCGGGTATGGAGGGTCTTGTAGATGAAATCAATAAATTGGACATCAAGAGTGCCGAAGCTGCTGCCGAGTCTAGCAACGATGATTGGGAAGAGGTTGAGGTAGAAGATCAAGAGGTAGCCATTCGGGTTGACCAATACCTGGTAGTATTTCTAAAGGTACGTGAACCGCTTTCCCTTCAGAGTGTCGTGATACCTTGCAGTACTACCGTATCAAATTATACTAACTTACTCATCTAGTTCATGGCTAGCGTCACCCCTGGCATCGAGCATGATTTCACCATGGGCGTGTAATTGTTCATACATGTTGCTGCATTTATCTAGGATTAATAAGCCTATCAATTGATGGGATGTTCCGACGGCGTTCAGGATTTGGATGGGGCGGTAATGAGTAGAGCATAGGGTCGGTTCTTGTCTGTCTGTCTGTCCGTCTATCTGGTCGGCAGGCTGTTTATGTAGAGGATACTAGTATGTGATGAGTTAAGCTGAACAAGCCCTTGCGTCGCGCCACCCATCCCGACACAAAGGCGAGGACATGAATTTTGCCTGGCACTTCTGTCCTACTCAATCATACCACGCAGGCTATAATAAGCCATCCCGGGTTGATAAGCACTTTGCTTCACCCTTTGGAGCGGACGTTGATGCCACAACTATACGGTACTTCATCTAATGTACAGCAGTCTATTTCCTCTACTTCTTCAAATGAGATTAGTAGATAATCTGTATCCATATGTAATTTCTATGTCGAAGAAATCCTCACACCAAGAAAGCCCGCAGACGACCCCAATGATACCTGGTCCTAAAAGAGGGCAACCCATGTGTCATAGGCATGAGCTCTCACGCATCTTTCTCCCGGGTTTGGTCTAAGGCTGCTTCGGGTTGACCTCTCCCGCAATCCTTTGGGTTCATTTTGACTGTCCCTTCTTCGTCCGCCGCGTCAGACGCCGATTCGGTAACGGGGGGTTCATCGCGCCAAAATTCCCCTTTGCCCCCGTAAAGGCGTACCATCCATGGCGGCAATATCCCACCTTGGACTCGCCAGGTCCAATGATCCTTTTCTTGTTTATTGGGTGGAACAAGCCGACCTCCCGATAGTTTCTCGACAACCCAAACCAGTGTATTGAGTGCAATATACAAGCAGATGCCGCCAATAAGCCCGTCGGCTATGCTGTACGTAAACGGCATTGTGGCGATAGTTACAAACTACATTGTGGAAGAGTCAGCAAATGCCAGGTCTCTGCGGCACGTAACGATTCTGTGTATAGGTTCAAGGGCTCTTTGTTTTAAGAAGAGAAAGATCCATTGGCCAACACAAGTCGAAGTAGATAACTGTTGAATGACTCACAGCAGGCACAGCATCACCCATATACCTCCAGTTTATCTCAGTCACGGCTTGCATCATCATCGATCCGACTAGTACTAGCACACATCCCGTCGCCCATGACGGGATCGAGGCAAATATTGGCGCAAAGAATATAGAGATGAAGAAGCATAATCCTGTCGTCATCGAGGTAAGTCCTGTTCGTCCACCCTCGGAAATACCCGCTCCAGACTCGACCTGGATCACAAGTCAGAAAATAGGGTATCACCAAAACATCTAATCCCGTGAATGTAGACGTACAAACGCAGTGACAGGTGGGCTTCCTAGCAGAGACCCGATAGAAATACTAATCGCGTCTACCATATACGCCAATGTCGAGCCCTCGAAGTCTTCCGTCACGGGGTCGATAACATTGGCGAACCGAGCCATCGAGTACTACGGCATCTATTATTAGCAGCTGTTAAATACCTCATAATTTCTCCTTACGAATAATTATATCAGTATAGACAATCCCTTGCAACTAACGGTCTCTATACTAGGAAATTTGCGAAGTTGGTAGAGTAGAGGCAACGCGAGAGCATGCTTACCAAAGTTCCGGTGCAATCGAGAATATCGACATAGAGAAATGTGATAAAAGCCAGCCCAAACTGGCCTCCGTACTCGGCGATATTCCACTGCTGAACAGTGAGGGTCCTGCTGATCTTATGAAAATCGACGACCTGCTTAAAAAAGTCGAATGCATCGTCACCCACGACGGTATAGGGGAAATAAGTAACAGAGGTACCACGCGGCCAGGATATGATGCTAACGAGAAGGATGCCAGCTATTATGGCCCCCTTCACACGATACATCATTAGGAGGACGGTGAAAACGCCACCACAAAAGATACCAATCCACATCTTCGGATTGCGCATCTTAGCGCTATCCGGGCAGAGCCCGGTGGTAGGGTCCACCAGCTCGGACGGGCAGCCGGCTAGTTCGAGTGGAGTGGACTGCGCACCGGTGACAAGTCCGATGCCCTCGCTATATGTGAACCCAATAAGGGTTAGGAAGAGGCCGATACCAACGCTCGTAGCAAGCTTTATAGATCGTGGAATAGCCCGCGCGAGCCATTGCCGGAGGCCGAAAAGAGCAAGGGCAAAAAACACCCAACCCTCCACAAATATCGCCGTGAGAGCCACCGGGTAAGGAACAACGCCGGTGCCGTGATACCCGACCACGGTATATGCAAAATAGGCATTCAAACCCATTCCTGGAGCCAAGGATACGGGGCTATAGAGGAGGGGGTGGAACACTCATCAGCTCTAAAATATGTGACGGGAAAAGACGGAGATACCCACAGATTTGCGAATAGCCCCATGCAAAACGAAGACAAAGCGGATATTGCGGCCGTAGCAGTGACAAGGTCACGCTTAACTTCAGCTGCGCATAATAGATATTCCTCGTTCCCCTTACATATAGGATCATCCGGTCCACCATTGCAGACACATGTGCCTTTCAATGTTATCAGCGCTTCCAATCACCGAGGTAATGAAGTCACTTGCCAAAATAAATGGTTGTAATAAGAAAAAGGAAAGCAAGGCTCAAGAAACATACCACCCGTGTCCGCTACGATGCTAGAGTTTACCGCGAGGATGTAAGCCATAGCGAAAAAGGCTGCAACTCCAGCGCGTATCTCTGTGAAAAAATAGGAGCCCTTTCTCTCCTTGGGCTGTTATGTTTTGCCCGGTAGAGCCTTGCCGTCAGCCATGATGCTTTCAACTAGGAATCGCAAGTTTGGACGTTGTCAACTTACATGGCCAGATCCTTCAAGCTGAAACCACCGCCCAACAGGACTCTTCGCGACCTTGGCATTGACATCATGAATCCAACCCATATTAGCAACCAGCAGCGTAGAGCCTCAGCGAGATTTCCAACGAATTACAGAATCAAGAATTATATAGAGTAGTAAATATCCGTATAGATCGAGCAACCCTTTCACTTGACGACGACTATGCCGCAGATTAAACTTTCACTGAGGATGCATCGGAACCACTGAGCATGATATAAAGTACAGAGCAATCCCGTGATAAAATATTAATCCTCTGGTAATAAGTTAAGAAGAAAAAAATTGGGGGCGCGAGGAGCTAGATGCGTAAGTAGCAGGCGAACGAACACCTGAAGAGGAAAGAGAGCGAACAGGATCCCAGCCAAATGGAGGAGTGTAAAGATGTTGATTCGTCCTCGTATTGGTCAGAATGGACTCTCAGCAAATCATATGAGATAATACCCCCTTATAAGTTCTTATCATTCCATCTTAGCTTGGAACATGGGTTGTTCTAGATTATCTCGACATACCCCATTTTACATATTTAGGTAACTTGGCTTTGAAAATTAGTCCCTGGGTAATAATAATAGCAATGATAAAAAATAAAAATAAACCCACAATAGGATACCGAAATCGAGTCAGGCAATTGCTTAACTCAGACGACAAGAATCATGATCTAGGTCTATGTCCGCCACTAAAAAAAATCTTGTTACTAGGGTCCTTATCATTTGAGTATATGTGAGGTTCACTGAACTTTATAGAGTGACAATCAATATATAGAAGAAGAAAAAAAACTATGTTGACGGGTTTGCACTGAGGGTAGATTCAGCTACGCTAAGCTACGACGCCAAGCTACGCCACTTATATGGATCTTTACCCCGATGGGCTGATAAGCTACATAATAAGTACATATACATATGTATGTAGCAGCGAAGGCACATATGGCATACCTAGGTACCTAGGTACGTGATTATGTACATATTGTACTGTAAAGGTACCTACATATCCATGGATGTATATAATGGATGTATGTACCTACGTATGTATATATGTAGATATGTAGACGTATATCCCCCCCTATGATCAGCATGATGATAATGTATAAATGGCACACGACATGTGTGGGAACAAGTTTGCCTTATCTCCGATGCAACTTCTCCTAGGATCGCCCATTTCTAGAGTTCCCACTCAAATTTCCCCCCCAACAGCGACGTTCCGATCTGATCGCTCCAGCTCCAGCTGCTTGTTGACGTTCTCTTGAACCTTATCTTGAACCTCTTTACCCTCAAACATGAAGGATAGTTCCTCTAGTGTCCGGTTATGCGTCTCCGGGAATAACGCGTACACCGTCGCGATTTCAACCAGGATCCATCCGCAATACACTAAATAATACTTCCATCCAATATGGTCTAAAGCTATTGGGTTTACGTAAGTATTGAAGAAAACGGCGAAGCGAACTGTTAGCTGTTGAACCGCGATTCCTTTAGCTCGTTGTTGGTACGGGAATATCTCCACCACTGTGGCATCCGATGTTAGTACTCGTTACATCAAACAATGCCCTAGAAACCACAGCGCTCTTTCAATAGACGCCGCGAATGTTTCCCTGTCTTGCCTGAAAGACCGACGACCGCAATGAAAGTATAACCAGGGCAGCTCACTATAAGTATACACCAGAGAATTCCATCCAATATTATAGAACTAAAAGCGCGTTAGCCACGTCAGAAACATCCTCGCGGGTGAAGTTGCGCGAGCTCACTGGGGAATAGACGAATATAAACACCAACACCGGGATTGCCGCCGTCGCAGTATTCTCAAGCGCAAATCTGGCTGAGGCTATCGTCCACACAGTGTAAACGACTGCAGTCCCGATAGTGCAGGTTAGAAACATCACACGGCGGCGAAAAAGAGGCGCGATTATAGCGATGGGGACAGCATTTATCAATCCCCAGCACGTATTACTCAGAATAACCTTTTGAACCGTGCGGTTATCTGTGATGCCCACGAGGTTCAAAATCTTCTTCACTGGGATATGTTAGAATACTTTAATGAACTAAAATTGCAGCTTCTCGGTTGTTATTTTCGAAACGGTGTCCATATCCCCAACCAAGCATTGGTAAGTAAGGGCTCGGCGATAAGGGGAAGAACCGTGTTGTTAGGTAGGATTTGATTCCACTTACTATGCAGTTGTTAGCACGTCGCGTTCAATGCCAGTTTATTACGATATAGAAAGAAATCCTATATGTAAACCACCGAACCTCACTGTAAAGTATTTCGTACGCACGTACCTATAAAAGCTTAGAAGCCCATTCCCACTCCACTGCGTAAAGAATCCCACGATGGCAGCAAGTAGGAAACGGCGTCTCATCGGAGGATCTCTGTACGCGATTGTTAGAATACGGTCAGGTTAAAAAGATACATGTAACAACACACCTATAAACATCGGTCCATGCGAACGTATTGGTTCTCTCCTGTTCTTGAGCAATAGTACTCGAAATCTGCGCGAATTCAAGACGGACAAATTCATCGCCATTATCCCCCTCACCGTGATACTTCTGGAGAATCGCATATGCTTCATCGCCGCGGTCGGCAGATATAAGAAAACGCGGGCTCTCGGGACAGAACGGAATAAAGCATATCTGGCACAAGCTGGGAACCAACTGTAGGAGAGAAGGCAGCCTCCAAGCCCACGCGTTGCTCATTTGGAACGTCCCATATGTAACCCCAGCGGCGACAATAGCACCTACGTGCCACGACGAACTGAATAGCGATGTCATTGTAGCCCTCTCTTTTTCGTAGGCCAGCTCCCCGATAAGCGAGGAGGCATTCACAATGGCGAAAGGAATGCCAAATCCAAGGACCCAACGAGAGGCGAGGAACATGTCACTATTTCGTGACCCGGCCTAGGAAGAGGAGAGTAAAGAAGGTCAAACTCAACACCATGCACCTATTATTCTCATCATAGGGGGTATGGAGTCTTCTACCTGTAATGCTGCACCAACGCAGAGGATTAAGGACCCAGCCATTATCGACCAACGACGGCCGAGGTATTGTGAAACAGCGGGGATGAAGGGAATCGCCATAAGCGCGCCGAGAGAATACATGGCGTTCAACAGGCCGAGTCGACCCTCGGTAGGGTTGTCGAAGTCTCCGATTTCATGTCAGCAAGATACTGCAGTAATAAGGTGTACTCATATAGATCCACCGTACATTCAACCCAAGATGCCACTGCTTGTAATGAGTTCATCATGGAAGAGTCAAATCCAGAGGTCCACTCAACGCCCATGGCGGATGGTATTAACATCTGTAAACTTCGTATTAGATATCCAAGCATGTCAAAATCCGTGTCACGCTAGACATATAGGGAGTATTATCCCGAAAAGGGATCTTTATGCAGGCAGATACGTCGCGAAGGTCAAGGAAGGCAAATGCTGATAAGATGCCGAAAGGCTCAGGAATCCAACTGACAAGATATAGTGCTCGTAGATTGGGCTTTTGGTACCATCTTTTGGTATCTACTTGCGCAATGGTAGCAAGACGAGGGTCAACAAGATGCTCTTTGTTTCCAATGATCGCCATTGTGCTAAGATCTCAATTTCAAACTACACGCAAGACAAGGGAAGAAGGGAAAAGCGAGGATGCCGTGAGAGAAGACATACCTGCTTCCGAGAAAGTGAACTATAATCGTCCAGTCAATTTTTTTGTACCGCATACTGACAATCTGGGAACGGGGCCCGACTATCCGTATCTCATCTTAGCCAGTATTCAGCCGACTACCGGCCAGTACCAAACAGACGAAAGCAACTCTAGGGAAAACGCGAAGGGGTTGCTAATGAGAGAGATAAAGGCCTATACAGATGCTTACACGCAGGAGGTAGTCAGGGCTAGGCCTTACCGACACAAAACCGTCCAAGCGGTTCCAAATCAACCCTGTATATTCCATTCGGTAACTTCAGGTTTATGCCAAGTCATAGAACAGCATAGAACTTCTAGAAAGGCACTGCGAATGGCATGATTCGCTTCGGCATACTGCGGGGCTAGCGAATGGAAGAATATATACAATGAAGGGTGCTGTGGGTTTTACGTTATGCCTAATTACAGTCTTCGGCCAGCAGGCCCCCGTTTTGATGGGCTCGCCTCCCCACGTAGGGAAGCTACGTCAAAAGAAAATAAGGGATTTACTTAGGATAGTAGAATTAGGCGAAGGAGTGCTGGCGCTTGGTATTCATATAACATGGGAGCTCGCTACGTGAAAGTAGTATAGGATTTAGTCATCGCATAATGAATAACATTGGGGCAACGAAAACAACATGGACGATCCAGATATAACCCTGAATTTAATAGAGATGAAAGAGTGCGGCGGGCGGAAGAGGGACAGGAGCTATTTCATCCCTCCGTAAACAATTCGGGTATTAGGGTCACCGTAAACCGTACCCAAAAATATCCGGGTTGCGTCCGTCCTAGGGTAAATAGGGACACTCGGGAAGTTCACAAGGCTGATGAGATTTGAAGGGTCAAAACACCAGATATTGAATTCATTCTACCTGCCAATGCGGTTGACAAGCGTTCACATCGTATCGTCACCAATCGGTAAGATTTTGTGACATGACTTGAATCTGTATTGGTAATTCCTCCACTTCGGGTTGTGTAGCACTACCATCGAGGCTAATGCGAAGACGATCGATGTTTAAACCCCATCGCATAACTTCGCAGTTGACAAGGTCATTCCACTTCATAATAAGGGGATGCTGATTAGCAACGTCCTGCGAGGACGCGTCGCCATCATCGCTAGATCCCTTCACCGGAAAAGTCCAGACACCGTCGGACGTCCAGTACTGAGCGGAGAATAGAGAATTGGCGCTGAGGTCTCCCGCCGCATCCGAGAGAAGCCCTATGGTGCGTTCCAAGGGGCAATGGCGATTGTCTTTTAAAGCGGCGACCACTCCCTCAAGTAGTCCAAGGATCCGACCCGCGGCTTGTCCAATGTTGGCACCAATATCAAAACCTTCGTCGAAACCAGCCTGGATACTTTGAGCCTTTCCAATAGTAATGCCATCGCGATAGCCCTCAGTCCTGTGCTGAACACGGAGTCGTCTCGAGTCTAATGACGGTACGTATCCACCTGGTAAAGAGCCGTGGTCGCTAGAGTCTGCTAGGACGACTGAAGAATTTTGATTGATTTCATTTCGACGAACTGACGTAATACTGAATTGCGATGGGATAGAGAGGTTCATTGGGGCGTATAAATCATGATCAAAACGATCTGACGGAGGTAAATGCATGATGTGGTAAAGGTAACATCCTAATAAACCGATTGTTTAAGACTTCAGCACTGGTCTGGATATATAAGATTTCTCAGGTTATTATTATCATAAACCAAACCCTTTTGCAAGGATACAGCCCCTCAGGATATTATTCATCCTTAGAAAAATGAGGTAAGGATAAAGTGGGGGAGGCAACATATGATATGGATAAGGATATCTAATCTTATCTAAGGAAAATATATTATAAATAAATATAAATAAAAGAAAGGAATATTTATATAAATTATTAAAAATTTCTTATATATTTAGTTACTTTTTTTATAATTTTTTAATTATTAATTTAAGATTATTCTTTTAAATATAATAAAAGGATTCTAGGTTTTTTTAATAAATAAAATATATTTAATTAATATTAATATTAAATTAAAAAATAATATAAATTATTTATAAGATATTTCATTATTATTATTAATTTTTAAAGATAAAATAAAAATTATTTTTTAAAGAATATTATAATTAAATATAAAATAAATTAATAGACCTTAATTTAGAAAATAAAAAAAATTAAATAAAAAAAAATTAAAATAAGAATTTAAATAATTTAAGATTTATTATTATGTGATAAACTTATGCCTTAAAAAGGTATAGTTGTTACTGGATTTAACTAATCCAAGGTGTCTTGATTTAAAGGTAATAATACTAATAATAAGTCAGGTAATTAAGTAAATTTCATTTATTAAAAAGGTTTAAAATCTTCTTATTATATTTAAAATAAATTAAATTAAATTAAAATAAAAAAGGATAGAAAAGGAAAATATTAAATTATATAAATTATTAAAATCTCTTATATATTTAATTATTCTTTTTATAATTCTTTAATTATTAATTTAAAACTATTTTTTTTATTATCTTATAAAAATAAAAGTTCTTTTTTTTAAAGTTTTATTATAATTAATTTTTATCTATTTATTATTATATAAAGATTAATTATAAATTATTAAATTATAATCTTTATTTTTAAAGATTTTTAAAAACTTTTTTCCTTTTTTTATTTTTTTTTTAAAAATATTATTTAATATATAAAAATATAATAATTCTTTTTTATTATTATTTATTAAATATTATAAATATTTATGATAAACCTATGTCTCGAAGAAATATAACCATTATTAAATTAACTAATCTGGGATGTTTTGATTTAAAGGTAACAGTATTAATAATAGATTAAATAATTAAGTAAGTTCTATTTGTTAAAAAAGTTTAAAATTCTTTCATTATATTCAAAAGAATAATCTTAGATTAATAATTAAAAAACTATAAAAAAAGTAATTAAATATATAAGAGATCTTAATAATTCATATAAATATCTTTCTTTTCTTTTTTTATATTAGATATATTAAATATGTTCTTTATATTAAACATATTAAATATATTAAATATATTAGATATATTATTGATTAATATATTTAAATATCTAAAATTATATCATTATTATCTTAAATCCTATTTATCTTTTAAAAATAAATATGGGATTCCTAATTTATGACATTATTCCTCCCTTTTTAAAATCTTTATTTTAAAGATTCTTTTTCTTAATAGATTCTCCTCTTCTTTCCTTTATTCTAATTAATATATCTTTTTTTTATTTTAAAATTAATTATATATTCTTATCTAAATTAATATAATAAATATAAAATTTATATTAATTATATAAAAAGATATATATTTTTTATTTTATTATATAATAATTATATTAATTATAAAAAAGATAATTATTTTCTTATATTTAATAATATATATTATAATTATTATATTTATTATTAATATAAATAATATAATATTATTAAAATAAATTTCTTTAAATAGGTTTCTATAACTTAAAAATATCTGGAAAAGGAATATCGGGATATTAAAAATAATCTAATTCATTTTTAAAAAAAACTTTATTTAAAAATTATAATAAAAATAAATAAATTATAATAATTATATTGATAAAAAGATTTTCTTAAATATTATAATCTTTAATTATTATAATAGGATATAAAATTATATAATATTGAAGAAAAGGATTATTTAATAGAAAAATAAAGATTGATAAAAGAGTAATAATATATTATTAAAATATAAATTAATATTATCTTTATAAATGATCTTTTTTATAATTTTTTCTTTGAAGATTTAAACTTTGATATATTATTAATAATTAATTTAGATTTTAATAATAAAAATCTTTAATTAATTTTTTAATTTTCTTATTTATAAGATATTCTTATGATTCTTAGATATTATTTTTTTTAAATAATTAAATTATTTAATAAAACATTTGATTTAATTATTAATAATTTTAGAATCTTTAATGATTTTGATATTATATTCTTTTAGGTTTTTTCTTTAATTTAATATCTTTTTCAAGTTTAACATTTTTAAATATTAATTTAAATATAATAATATAAAATATATTAATTCTTAATTTTATATTTATTAATAATTATAGGTAATAATTTATTCTTAAAAAAAATTTTTAATTAAAAAAGATTTTAATTTTTTAAAATTTAATTTTTTGTTTAGTTTTTTGATTTAAATTTATAATATCTTTAATATTAAATGTTATTTATTTTATAAGAGATAACCTTTATTTCTTTTTTATAAAATTGGGTTTTTAATTTTTTTTTGTTATAATATGTTATTATTTATTTCTATAAGAATTTAAGACATTATTTAAGCTTATTTTATAATATTAAGATCTTAATAATAAATATCTTTATTTAAAATGATATTGTTTTTAATTCTAAGGTTGTTATATTTTTTTAAAGATTTATACTTTATATTTATTTATTGAAATATTATATAAAGATATAATAAATAATAAAAGTTTTATTTATTTATTAATTTAAGAGTAAATTATTATAAAGAATTTTTATTTAATTCTTAATCTTTTTATTAAATTAATTTAGAATTTTAAAATAAAAAACTTATCTTTATTTAAAATAATCTTTTTAATAAATTTAAAAATTAAAATTTTAATTATATAGGTTTCTGTAAATAATATAAAATATTTATATTTTATAAATTTATTAATAATAATCTATATATTATTATATTTTTTTTAATAATTAAATATTATAATTTAGATAATTTAATAATAAAGTTTTATATTATATTATTCTATAATTTATTTGGAACCTTAATTAATTAAAGAAATTTATATAGTTTATATTTGATTTCTTTAATTTTATTATAAATATTATAGTTTAAAATGATTTCCTTAATTATTCCTTTAATTCCTAAGAAATCATATTTTTTTTATAATTATATAATAATCTTAAAAATCCCTAAATATTTATATATCTTTTATATAAATTTTTTTTATAATATTAATAATATATAAATTATCTTATTATATAATATTATATCTTTAATAATAAAATTTTATATTAATAAAAAAATTTAATTTATAAAAATTTTTTTAATCTTTTATTTTTATTTATATTATAATGTAATCAAATAAATTATTAATAATATTAAGGATTTATTAGATATCTTTTAGAATATTATTATTATTTCTTTAATTTCTTTAATATTAAAAACATTTACTTAAATATTTTTCCCATTTTAACATAATAAATCTTAAAATTAAAATATATAAAATTATTTATCTATTATAATTATCTATTATTAAAAATGTTAATAATTATAATAATCTAAATAAAATTTTAAAGGTGTAATTATTTTTAATATTTCTAATTTTTATTTTTTTTTATATTTAATAAATTATTATAAATTTTTAATCATATATCTTTTATTTTAATTTTAATTCCTTAAAGATCTTAAAAAAGTAAGTAATTAGATATTATTTTTTATTACTTTTTAATTATTTTAATATATATTATAATTATAAAAATTATATAATAGAATTTAAATAATTTACAATTATAAAATAGTTATTTAAAAGTATATAATTTAATTATCTTTATAAAGAAATAATCATTTAGATAAAAGATCAATTCTTTAAAAAAAGATCATTTATTGTTATTAATAAATTTATAATTAAAATAATCCTTTATAATAATAAATTATATAAAAAATATAATAAAAGAAAAAAAGAATTTAACATAATTAAAAATCAAAAAAAAAAACCAATTAAAATTTAGAATATTAATATAATTAATAATAATAAAAAACTTAAAAAAAATTTAAATAAAATTAAATATTATAAAATTTAATATAAAAAACCTAAAAGATAATTATAAATGCTAAAGGAAAAGTTAATTAATATAACAGTACTAATTTTAATAATATTTAATATTATTAAAAAAGAATTAAAAGATTTATTATATAATTATAATAAAATTATTAAATAAATAGAAGAAGAAAGTTTTATAAATTATTTAAATTAATTATTAGAATAAAATATAATAAATATCAAAAAACTTTAAAAATAAATAAAGACCTTTTTTAAAGCATCTAATTCTTTGTTAAAAGAAATAAATTAAGAATAAAAAGATAATATAAAAAGATAAATAATATTTTTAATATAAATTAATAATTAAAATATTATTTTAATATATTATAATAGAATATAAATATATTAATAAATAATATAAAATTAATGAATTATTTTTAAAAAAATAGAATTAAATTCTTAAATCAAAAACAATATATTATATATAATTAATTAAATAAATCAATTATCATTAATATTATTTTAATAATCCATAATTATAATTAAATAAGATAAATATCCTACATTTCAAAATATAAGAAACAAAATTAAAGAAGAACCTATAAAACTATTATTAAAATGTTTAAAAAATAAAGAATATTAATATTTAAAAATCTAAATTAAAAAGGAATAATTGAAAAAGGATAAGATTAAAAATTCATGTCATTATTATAAAAATATAAATAAAATCACTTATATATTATTTTATAAAGAAAAATAAAGAGAGATCACCTGAATTAAATATATATTAAGATATTTAAAGTAAATTATTTGATATTTAAATATCATTATAATATAAAAAAAATATAATGGCTAAAAAATGAAATAATGATTCTTTAAAAAAGAATACAATAATTAATAAATAATAAAATATAATAAAAAAATATTAAAAATATTATAAGCCTTATTAATTAATGAAAATAAGATGATATATTTAATAACAATAATTAAAAAAAACTTAATTAATTATGGAATTGATATAAAAAATAT